TCCCGGCAAAATTTTCAGACAGTCTGCCTCGCTCTTCTTTTCTTACTGCCCAAAGCTCCTTCAAGCATGAAACCCATTTCCCCCGCGCCCAGTCCCCAAGCCCTTATTCTAGGCTTCATTTTGATACTAAAAATGACTAGGTTCTGTTTTGACATTCTTTGGATTTCGATCAATCTTTCCCCGGCTCGATAAGCTAAATGAATCCAGAAAAATTTTGATCTAAAATGATCGAAATCTAAAGATTGGCAAAACAGAACTTAGCCATGTTTAGTATCAAAATGAAGCCTAGAATATGGGCTTGCGCGGGGAACTGGTTTTCATGCTTGAAGAAGCTTTGGCCAATAAAAAAAATCGAAGAGCGATGATAGACTGTCTGAAAATTTTAACCAGATCTAGTCACTACAGTCATCTATCCAATTGTAGGTGTTTTTTTCGACTTTTTCTCGACCATCCTTTAACGAATTCCTCTCATTTTTATGTGAAAAGATTCTCCTTTAAAAATCCAATCAAATAAAGATCATTTTTGTCTATTAAAGTTGAGTTTACGGTGGTAAAAAGTATGAAATAGTAAAGTGAGTTTTTTTCCCGTAAAATCCTTTCAAATTTTTTCCATTTTTTCATATTTTGCTATAGAAAAAGATATGAAAATCGAATTTCATTTTAAAAGTTTTTAAAACTTCAAATCTTTTATGCTTAGGCTTAGGCTTAGGCTTAGGCTTAGGCTTAGGCTTGGGCTTAGGCTTGGGCTTAGGCTTGGGCTTGGGCTTGGGCTTGGGCTTGGGCTTAGGCTTGGGCTTGGGCTTAGGCTTAGGCTTAGGCTTGGGCTTGGGCTTGGGCTTAGGCTTGGGCTTAGGCTTAGGCTTAGGCTTATTAGGCTTAGGCTCAGGCTTTTGATCGAAATTCAGTTGCCACAGGTTCCCATAGCCCCCAGAAAAAAAAAACTCAATCCTACCAATTTCCTCTTTCGAATTCGACCATTTAAATCAAATTTTGTCTTTTTTTTTGTGGAACAATTCACGAATTTCCTCGAAATATATTTTGTTTTGGAATTAGAGCAAAAATTCTATGTTGTATCTTGTATCGATGTTGGATCGATGTGATGTCCATGTTGGATCCATTTTATATCCATGTTGTATCCATGCTGTATCCATGTGATATCAATCTGATATCAATCTGATATCCATGCTGTATCCATTTTATATCCATTTTATATCCATTTTATATCCATTTTATATCCATATTTTGTCCATTCAATTTCCTCATGTGATCTCAAGAAAAAACGGCGCTCATTCATGGGTCAAAAGAAAACGTTTCAAGAATTGTAGCCAATACTTGTCGCCATTTTTTATAAAAAAATCCCGTAAATTTCTCGTTTATCTATTAAAGGCGACCAGGAAATTCTGAAAATAGAAATCCGATTTTTTTTTGTTGTAAATACGGAGAACTTCTTTGATCAAATCTTGATATCTTCGGCCTTTCTGCCTTTTTCAAACAAATATTCTTTAATATACTCTTTAACAAATCCTCTTTTTATTTTCCAATGCACTCAAATCAATACTGTAGGTAATCAATACTGTACAGTAATCAGTACTGTACAGCACCTACAGTAGCCGTTCTATAAGAAGAATCATTTATTATCAGTTTGTCAGTTAGCTGAATATCTTTTCATTGATCTGATAAAGCTGATAAAGCCGACAAAGCTGAGCCGACAAAGCTGAGCTGACAAAGCTGAGCTGACAAAGCTGACAAAGCTGACAAAGCTGATAGAGCTGACAAAAGCTTAACATCCAAGTTCGATACAACGACCCTTTAGGCCCTTTTAAACCTGGAAATACAAAAGATCGCTTTGGTTTTACTTGCCCTAGATATAAGACCTAACTACTGCTAGATTAAGTCAAAATCTCAGCTCAACTGTACCCCAAAAACCTCAAAACCCTTTTCAAACTCAAAAATCAATATCACTTTCCTTGTTTACAAAATCTGGGCGAAACAAAAAAACAACTTCAATCTCGCCTTCTCATTTCCCTCCAAATTACTGAAATTCTTTTCAAGGGCGCAAAATTTCACAACTTTTTTTTTTGTATGAATTTAATTGAAAGGACTGTCCTCTCAAAGAGATTTCCTCTCAAATTGGCAAAAGAATTCCCCCGAGAGTTTCCCCCATTTCTCTTTTCTTTTTACATTTCATTTCGATTTGATTTTTTATTTTTTATCTTCTTCTTTGAATGAAGATGAAATCGAGATTTTCGTTTGTTTTAATTGTTTTCCGCCAGAAAATGAGTGATGAGCCTCGTTAGGAGAAATGGAGGAAAAGAGTCAAGTAATTTCAGAAATTTTTTTTCTTTTGAATTAAATTATTGTTTATTTTTTGGGATTGATTTTCTTCTTGATTTAGTAATAAATGAATTTCCACTCAAATCTCCGCGCAATCTCTAAAGGCGCAATTTCTAAACGCGCAGTTCCTAAACGCGCAATTCCTAAACGCGCAATTTCTAAACGCGCAATTTCTAAACGCGCAATTCCTAAACGCGCAATTTCTAAACGCGCAATTTCTAGCGCCCAATTTCAACGCGCAATTTCTAAACGCGCAATCACTAAACGCGCAATTTCTAAACGCGCAATTTCTAAACGCGCAATTTCTAAACGCGCAATTTCTAGCACACCAAAACTTGGGTAATTAAACCGAGCGAGGGGTCGCCGCTCACCTTTACCCGAGGGCCGTGTGCCAGAGACCGTTTTTTCTTCCGAGAAGCATCAAAGGTACGCACAAAGGTTTAGGGATTTGCTTTATGCACAAAAATGGTTAAGCATTTCCTTTCTAGTGTAAGAAAAATGGCAAGTTAAGTGCACCAGAAATGGTGCGTTTATCGGTGTGCACAAAGTACACAAAAAACTAGCCATATTCAGCCATATTTTGATATCAAATCTGTCACTTTTTTACAGAATACCTTTACAGTTTTACTTTTTTTTACTGTCTAAAGTACTGTATTGTCTTTGTCGACAATTTGTCTTAATTTCTAGACATTTGTAGACATTTGTAGACATTTGTAGACTTTTGTAGACACTTGTAGACTTTTGTAGACAATTTTATCTACAATCTGTCTACAATTTTGTCTACAATCTGTCTACAATCTGTCTACAATTCAAATTTTACCTTGCTAAACTTATCCAAGCACGAAAATCTCTTTGATTTCCCCCCTTTTTCTTCACAAATTTTCCGTTTCATTTCTATTCAGCGTTAATCTGTTAAACGAGAAAAAAAAATCTCTAACTCTTTCAGGTATCAAAAAAAAGCGAATTTTCTATTGTCTACTATTCATCTACAAATGGATTACTTCTAATCGAAAAGAAAAAGAAAAAAAAAGTAATCCCAATCTCCACATCTTCTTCAATTTTTGTGATATCGATTTGATTATTCATTTGCTTTTCTACGTCATCGATTTCAGGAAAAAGCTCGTTTAGAGGTCAGTGATTGAAACAAAACAAAACTATCAAAAAGTTCTAACAAAACTATTTAAAAACCCTAACAAAACTATCAGAAGGTAGGCCTTTAATGGTTACTTTTAGCCTGATAGCCAAATCTCTTGAAGAATGCGTCTCCTAAAGCATCTTCTTCTAAAGCTCTTCTAAAGCTCTTCTAAAGCTTCTAAAGCTCTTCTAAAGCACTCTCTATTTTCTCGATTACCGTAATCTTGTCTTTAAGTTGTCTGATTCTATTCTATATTCTATATTCCATTTCAAAGCTAAAGAAAAGATTACGGTAAACGAGAAAATAGATATTGTAAATACTGTAATAATACGTAAAGTCGCGTAGTCGTAATCGTAATCACGTTTTTCGTATTTCATTCTTTTCAAAGCGCATTTTCTTTCAAAAAAATACCCTTGAATCTCAGCTATTTTTTGATTATTAAGCGCAAATTCGTGCTTAAACCAATGTCGAGAAAAACTCGTTCAAAACTAGACTACGCAACACTCCGCACCCTCATTATGGGGATGGGGGTACTATTACAGGATTTACGGTATATATGTCGTAGCCGACTATGAATGAGTGGATCTAGGAGCGTGTCCAATTTGAGGATTCGGAGGCGGTCAGATTCGTTTGGTGAAGGGAGAGGGAAGGGGGTTACGTAAAAGCCCTGCGCCAGACGACGAGCGATTACGCGGCCGCACAAAGAGCACAAAGAATTTTAGCTATTTTTTGATACCTAAGCGCGCATTGTAGCATAAACCAGTGTCGAGAAAAACTCGTTCAAAGCTAGACTACGCAACACTCCGCACCGTCATTATGGGGGTGGGGTACTAGTACAGTATTTACGGTATATATGTTACGTCCGAACATATGTCGAAAACGTATTCAAAACTAGACTACGCAACACTCCGCACCGTCATTTTTACACATTTATGGCTATTTTTAGAAAAAATAGTACATTGACTGGCTAAAACGTGAACTACAGATAAGATAAGATAAGCTACCGTAATCCTATTGTCATTTGTTCTTTAGTAATAAAGTTTCAAAGTTTACAATGTAAGAGCTTTACTATAGCTTGGCTTTGCTTTGCTTTACTTTAGCTTTACTTTACTATAGCTTTACTTTACTTTAGCTTTGCTTTACTATAGCCTTACTTTGCTTGCTTTACTTTACTTTACTCTACTTTACTATAGCTTTGCTTTACTGTAGCCTTACTTTACTGTAGCCTTACTTTACTATAACTTTACTTTTACTTTACTTTACTTTGCTATAGCTTTACTTTAGCTTTACTTTAGCTTTACTTTGCTATAGCTTTACTTTAGCTTTACTTTAGCTTTACTTTGCTATAGCTTTACTTTACTATATAATGCTCATACTTACAATCTTGTTTTGTTTTTAGTTCCTTTTATTAGTTATTCTGTTACTTTTACAATAGAATTTTGTGTAAATTTCTAAAGAAAAAGATGACTCAATTGAAGGATTAGTGATCACTGAAATCTTTTGTTTTCTTTGTGATTCTTTCAATTTTCAGATGGGATCGTGCCAAAGCCAAGAGCAAAAAGAGCAATCGCAACGAAATCGAGAAATCGAACGACAACTTAACCAGGACAAACGAGCTGGCAGTAGTATTGTCAAATTGTTATTGCTAGGTGAGGTTTTAGATGAAGAATTTGTAAACGTAGCGCTTCTAGTGCACTGAAATCGTTGATTTTCTAAGTTACTTGAAGTGAAATGATTGATTTTCACTTGCCAAATGATTGATTTTTAAACTAAACTCTTTCAGGAGCTGGAGAATGCGGAAAGTCGACCGTTCTCAAGCAAATGCAGTGAGTTAATTCAAGAATTTTCAGAAAGATTTTTTAAATCTTTCCAGAATTCTCCACAGCAATGGTTTCACAGAAGAAGAAATCAATGAGAAAAAGGCGATTATATACAATAATTTGGTTACCTCGATGTGCACGATTTTGAAAGCAATGGACAATGTGCTGTTGATCCCGTTGGATGATAAAGAGAAAGAGGTTTGTTGGAGAAAAGTGAACTGAAGTGAACTAAACGATTTTCTTTAGGAGAGATTTAATATTGGTTTAATATTGGCTGAAAATATAGGCTGAAAGGCTAGTCCCTCGACCAGCCTCCGGGACTCTGTAGGCTAGGGAGACTCTGTAGAGAATGATTTAGATTAGATTCAAGAAATGTTAAAACAATGAAATATAAACGGATTTACAGCTAAAGAAGAGTTTCTTTGCAGGAAATGAAATCGCGAGTGTTGAAAGTTCAAGAAATGGGACAAGAGAACGATTTGCCGACTGAAGACGTCTCGAATGCTATTCAGGTTTGAAATTCCCAAGCCTTGTGCATACCTTTCATGTCTCTGATAAGAAAAAGCGGCACCTGGCACACGGCCCTAGGATAGGCAAAACCGAAAAGCCCGTCAGCCGGTTTAATTACCCAAGCCTTGTGCCCTTCATGTCCGATAAGAAAGCGGCACCTGGCACCGGCCCTAGGTAGGCAAAACCGAAGCCCGTCGCCGGTTTATTACCCAAGCCTTGTGCATCCTTTCATGTCTCTGTAAGAAGCGGCACCTGGCACGGTCCGGATGGAAACCGAAGCCCGTCAGCCGGTTTAATTACCCAAGTCTTGTGCATACCTTTCATGTCTCTCGCAAGAAAAAGCGGCATCTGGCACACTGTGCAGATGTTACTGGCCAGAAAACCTTCTACCCCGGTTTAATTACCCAAGTTTGTGCGTTCTTTCGGTTTCTTTTCCTATCTGAAATTAGTGGTAAACTTGGGTAATTAAATCATCTAAAAATCGATGTTTACGTAAATTAGCCTTAAAATTGTTAAAATTGAGTATTTTTCTCGTCTAAAGTCCATTTTCAGGCTCTCTGGTCGGATCCGAAAGTGAAAAAAGCGTACGAGATGCGCTCCGAGTATCAATTGGTTGATTCAGCTAAATAGTGGGTTAAAGATCATTTATCTAAGTAAATCGTCCAAATGTTTTAGTTTTTTGGATAATTGCCAACGAATAGTCGAACCGGGTTTCCGGCCAACCGATCAAGATATTCTTTTCTCGAGAGTCGCCACAACGGGAGTTGTCGAAGTGAAATTCAAGATCAAAGATCTCGATTTTCGGTGAATCAATAAGACTTTCATTAACAAAACAGGTTATGGGAAGCTACAGTAGTCCTACCGTAACACTATTTGATAATCATTGTTATGTTCTATTAGCTAAAGCGCTCTCTAAAAGGTGCGCCTAAAAAGTTACGATAATCCGATTGTTTTTGGGCAAAAGACGCTTTCCATAGTTTAGTACAACGGTAACTCTAAGAAAAGGTGCTTTTTAAAGCGTGTCAGCTTTCAAAAATTACCGTAACACAGTAAACAGTGATTACTGTATTAAGAAAGTGTATTAAGACAGTATTTTTTGAAAGTCCTCCAAAAAAAGCAAAAACGGAATTGAAAAGTCGGCGAGTAGAATTGAACCCGCGAGCAAAGATGGTGTAGGTTTTCGAGTACAGCACACTATCCCCTAGGGTGCCGTTGATTTTTTTTCTTTGACAGCGTAACGCCCTCTTATAGATGAGGTCGAGGTTGCTCAAAATTAACAAAATTGACAAAATTGACAAAAATTGCCCAAACTTTGGACCGTTTTTCTCGAAAACCAGGGCTCATGGGGAAAAAAAATTAAAAAATCCATGTTTCTTAGGGCGTTTTGTACATTTTGTACATTTTGTAGTTTTGTAAACGTCTTTGTAGATAGATCAGGTGCCGAAAATCAGTGGTAAGTTAATAAGAAAATCAGCTATTTCAGCTCCCTAGTTAGTTGAGCGAAAACAGTGAGGCGAGCAGAAAAAAAGTGTTAGACAAAGCTATAGTAATCTATTTTGGATTATAAACTTAAAGAGTCAGCAGTTGAAATCAAATAGTAAGAACTGAACAAACTGTAATCAAAACAAAAAAGTTGAATAATCTAATCGATCTCATTTTGCAGAGTGTTCGACGTGGGTGGTCAACGATCGGAGAGAAGAAAATGGATTCACGCTTTCGACAATGTCGAGTCGATTATCTTCATCACAGCCATTTCCGAGTACGATCAAGTGTTGTTTGAGGATGAGACAACGGTGAGGGGAAATGGGATTGAAAAATTTTAATTCCAACTTAACAACCGAAAATTTTCAATTCGAAATTCCTCGAAAATCCCAAAAACAGTTTACCTTTCCAGAATCGAATGATCGAATCGATGCAGCTATTCAATTCCATCTGTAACTCAACATGGTTCATCAGCACTGCAATGATTCTCTTCATGAACAAAAAGGATTTGTTCATGGAGAAGATCCAACGAGTCAATATCACTACAGCATTCCCTGATTATGAAGGTTGGATTCGATTTTTTCAACAAAATTTAAAATTTTTCTAAGGTGGCCAAAACTACGAGGAAGCTGTCAACTTTATTAAGATGAAATTCGCGGAGCTGAATCTGAACCCAGATAAAAAGACGATATATATGCACGAGACTTGTGCCACTGATACAAATCAGGTAAGAATCAAGTTTTCTATTCTTTAAATAGCATTTAAAACTTGAAAATGTTCAGGTGCAACTCGTCATCTCAAGTGTTATCGACACGATCATCCAAAAGAACTTGCAAAAAGCTGGAATGATGTAACGAAAAAGATAAAACCCAATTTTTAAATTTCTTTTGATTTTTGCTCAGGTGTTTCAGATTCTCTCTTTCCGTGTGTTCTCCAATTTAGTGTCGAATTTTTTTCCCTATTCTTATAAGTCGTGCTTTCATAGGCATTAAACGTACCCAAATTTCCTCGAAATTCTAACCAAAATCGCAGATTCTAGCTGTTAGCTTGCTGGAACAAGCCAAATCCATTTGTAAATTTCTCATTTTTCGCAATATGATTATGGCAATAAATCTCGTTTTTTACTGTTCAACAAAAATCAACAAGAAACGATCAACAATATGAACAAATTTGACACCCGAACGTTTGAAAACTAATCTTAACTTAAAACCAACATGAAGAAATTACTTATCTTAGGGTTCCATTGATTCGAGAGCTTTGTAATACGGGGATTCTTTGTAGATGCGTAGTTTTTTCTGAATTTGCTTCGGCGTCTCTTGGAAAAGATTCTTTGAATCTCGTGCCATCGCCTAAAAAGAATGCCGTAATTGAAAGTAATGCAAAAGTGCACAAGTTTTTCGAACATGAAACCACAATTTGCAGCTTTGAAGCGAGTACAGCCCAGGTGTTATATACTTTCAGAGTAGCAAATTGGCAAAGTTTATATTGTTTAGAAAACGTTCTTTTTTCCCTTAATTTGCAACTTCTTTTAAAATCCTCACCGAATAATCGTCACCATGCCTCTCAATCATATAAATGCAGAACTCCATGTCCCTGTCGAGAAGTTTCGTTTTTCGGCCCGATTGTTTGTCCTCCAATTCTTTTGCTTCCTTCTCTAGTGAGCCGAGAACGGCGCCAGACTAAAATTATTTTATTATTTCTGGTAAGAACAGCCTTTTAAACATTTACACGTATTAACTACAAACTGGAAACTATTTTACGGAGAAGGAGGATAACGTACTAACACCCAGGACTTAAAAACAAACACAAACCTTAGCCGCTTTTTGTTTCTGAACGGATCCCTTCTTTTTCGCCTCTTGCACCGAACCGAGCTCCATTGGTATTTGATCAATTCCGCGACGCTAAAATGACAATACATGACAATCAGAAGCCTAACTTTACACTAGTACAACGTTAAAGTAATAAAACTCTTAAACGGTTACAATAATTTCAACTCTAAAAAACTCACGAAAGACTGTTTGATGGGCACAGCTTTATTGAGATCGGTGACGAGTCCCATCTCGGTGATGTTTTGCACCAATGTTTTGTCCTTGTCCCAAGCTTCCTTGATTTGTTGACTAAAATTAAATCAATTATTAAAATAAAAGCTAAACTTATGTTTGAAAAATAGCCTAACAAGCTAAGCGTTAGAATTAGTCAGGCTTAATGTGTCGAGAATTAAAGATAAGATCTGAAAACGAAAAATAATCTAGAAAATCAGGAGATCTTACGTTAGCTCAAAAAAATTAACAATCCTTTACTCAATTTTCTTTACAGAAATGTTCAAAAAGCACCAACCATTGCGTTTTGAGGAGTTTCTGCTTCTTGGCGGTCTTCTTCCGTGCGGTCACCACATTTTTCATGTTGTGGCGCACTTTTTTGCTTTTCTTTCCACCGTGTTTCACCGATCGAGGCATTCTCTGAAAAAATAAAATAAATTTAGGTTAAATAAACGAAAAATGAAAATAAAACCAAAAGAAATGAGAAAAGGATCAAAGCAAAAAAAATAAAAGTCAAACATTCACCTGATTTTATAACTTTATTGACATTAAAAAGATATTCAGTTAAACAATGAAATAACTTTTCGCTGGAAAAAACCATTTAGTCAGCTTATTTGCAAAAATAGCCAATTGCTGCATTCTTTCTCGATAGGTAAGTTCTAACTTTTTTGTTTCTAAATGTTTTTACCCAATTCATGGTCCCATTATCTGCTGTTTCGTGTATTTCCGCGTACATTTACCACATGAAATGCCGAAACCGAGATTTAGGACCACTTAAGGCTTTATATTTAGCATTTTAAGTGAAAAATTGCCAATTGCTTTGCTAATCGTTTATTTTTAGTGATGCGAGCAGTGATTCAACGAGTGACGAAGGCAAGTGTGACGGTTGGAGAGGAAATTGTGGGTTTTATTTTTGTTAAATTTGTTTTAAATTTGTCAAGTTTATCAAATTTATCGAAGTTGAAAAGTTTTGAGGCTAGGCAGTGGCATTTATTGTTTTAAATGAGAAAATAGCTTTAAATTCTTCAACTTCTATCAATTTTAGGTGGGGTCGATCGGTCGAGGGCTTTGTGTGCTAGTGGGAATTCATCGAGACGACAAAGATGACGACATGGAATACATCGTGAGAAAGATCCTCAACTTGCGGCTCTTCGATTGCGAGGGAAACGGCAAGAAATGGGACAAGTCGGTCAAGGATCTCGATTTGGAGGTGATTCTTGCACATTTTGATTAGTCAACTGAAATTTCGAGTTAAATAGCAGTCCAGGAACAGTTTTAGAGTTGCTATATATTAAATTAAACAGCCGCTATATATTAAATTAAACTATAAAAGTTCTTTAGGTGATCTCGATCTCGCAATTCACCCTATTCGGCCAATTGAAGGGAAACAAAGTCGACTTTCACAACTCGATGGGACCAAATGAAGCTGGAGCCTTTTACGCTCGATTTCTCGAAGCCTTGAAGAAAGCGCACAAACTCGAGAGAATACAGGTATTCAATTTTAGAATAGTAGATTAAAAAATGCTAAAATAATCTAAAATAACAATTTTATTAGGACGGAAAATTTGAAAAAGAAAAAAATTTTTAGGACGGAAAATTTGCCGCCTACATGTCAGTGAACATTGAGAATGACGGTCCGGTAACGATCAATTTGGATAGCAAAAATCGGGAATGAACTGATAAGTCATAGAATTTCGAATATCAAAACGGGTTTAGGCATTCTTTTGTCATTCATTTTTTTGGTTTTGTTGTTTTAGTGGTAATAAAAACAAATTTACACTCAAAAACCAAGAAAAAAACACGACTATTTGATTAGGCTTGTCTTGATTTGGCACAACTTTGTGATCAGTGGGCTGTGACGGCCTCCACGGCCCACTGATCGAGAGTATTTCGATCTGAACAGTTATTGAAATTGAGAACGTAATAACTGTCGTAATGCCATAAGAGAATGCTATCGTGTTCCCCTATCAAAATAACTATCGCAATACCTTAAACATCTGATTAGGGCTGTAAGACATTCGCTACGGTGTTACCAAAACTGCAGTAGTTCAATTATGGTCTATCTTTCCAAAAAAAATCTCAATCTGCCACAAAATAGGTGAGAGCTCATCGAGGAAATGATCAATTCAGCAAACTAAAAGCTTTTATAGAAATCCAAACAGATTTCCCTACCGTATTGAACATATTCGACCCTATCGACTGTGTCTTGTGATTCCCAATAATGAAAAGAACGATGTGAATGGGATAAGTGCAATAAGTGAGACGACCAAGGGGAACCCAAATGCTCCATGAAACTGTTGATTGGGCCTAGGCATATACGGAGAAGCTATCGTGGTCTACTAGGACTAATTTTCAGATATAAATAGTTCCCCGACTAGTGAACACTTGCTGTAGTCTATTGTCTTTGAAAACTAGCCCCCCAGGTATTACGGTAGGAAATGTTATTTTCATGATAGCTTTCCTCAAAATTTTCTCGACATCACCGGATTTACAGGCTTTAGGCAGACACAAATCAAGGCTCCATTCTTGCAAAATCCAGGACTGCTTTTATTGTGGAAAAGTTTTCGATGTAGATCCTGAAAAAAGCTAATTAATTTTAAAGTAGAAATGAGCTAGAAGAAATCCTAGACATGGGGGATAGATTTTGACTGATGTTGGCGTCGGTGAAAATGAAATTTTGGTGACCTCTTCGAATTCCTGAACCCGGTTTTCTCCAGGAGTCGAAAACTGAACAAAAATCGATTAAAAGCGGCTTTATATATGCGAATTGAATACATATCCGAGTGCTTTTTCCATAAAACTAGTGTTGATTTCATCGGAGCCGTTGCAATTGTGCAAGAAATTGACCACCTTTTGAAATGGTTCTTTGCTTGCTTGTTGAAATGCGGGCAGTTCCGAAATTTCAGTGCAAGACTTTTGAATCCAAAGAGTTCCAGGCGGTTGAATCAGCGATTAAAGTTATTGTGGCTGATTCGACTGTTGAAACCCCGCCAATCGCTTTCCGCGAAAGCCCAAAACAAACTTTTAACTTCCTATCTCATCTGAGCAATGTTTACAGAACAAAAGAAATTCCTGTTCTTTGGTGTCCTTTGTCCGACCGCGTAATCGCTCGTCGTCTGGCATAGGGCTTTCGCAAGGTAAAATCTCATTTGGGAACGATCTCAAGACAACAATGAAATCCTCTGAAAGAACTTTTTTGAAAAACTAAAGTTAAAGCTTTTGAACTTTCCAAAAGTTCTTCCCTTTTTGTCCAGCTCTTCGCCACTTCCCGTTTCCAGGAAGTGCCCAGAGTGCACCACGAGGAGGTGGCTGGACTTCGCACTCCGCCACCCTGTAGTCCGAAGACTCTTGGGATCCGAGGTCCACGTCTGGTCCTTGGCGATGGCACCGACTCCCGCAGCAAGAATGCTCAGCTTGCTAAGGTGCGCGCAGCGTAAGTAGGAGAATGCTCCGAAGTTACACTTTGTTGATGCTAAAAGGGATTGATCTGATCCCCAGTCGGTTTAAGAACCTCACGGTTCCTCCAATGGGGTGTCCAAACTTCCGCCGTCTAGACGACTGTCGAGTAGCGGACAGCTGACGGAAGCCGGAGCCCAAAGGGAGCATAATTGTAATCCGGTTACGAGCAACAGACCATTCTGCCTTCCTCCACGGGTGGCAGTGCGAAATAGTAGCGATTCCACGAACTTCAGCGGTATCCCTCACGGGAGACTGTGGGTCGTTCCACAACATCCTTTCGGTCAACCTTTCGGTTTGTTGCTGCTCGGGGCTTATTCGTACAATCGACCCGGGCCAGCCCATGGCTCCGGGCGCCGCCTTCCATCGAATGGGTTAGGCATCGACCAAGCGAGAAGCAAGCTTCTACAAACTCTTGTCTCCAAAATTCTTCATTTATACTCTTAAAACCAGGCGGACCGATGTGCGAGTGGACACAAAGGCAAACGAAGAGCGAGTCAGCCGGGTATATGTAAACCCCTTCTGCCAGAAAGTGCGCGATTGTGCGCGTGCACAAAGAACATTCCTCGCCGATGAAGCATTTTAGTTTTCGGGCCTTTTCTCAGCCATACTTTGACAGATTGGGCTCATTTTTATGTCAAAAGATGCGCCTTGAAAAACTGCGTCGGATGGGTGAGGGTTTGTTTGACGAAAAGTGAGTTTAAGTGGGTAAAAACGGGATTGAAACTTTCCAGTGCATTCCAGTGCAAATTTGGCAATTGTCTGCTCAAATCTTTAAGGATGAGTCCAATTTTCTTGGGAAATACATAATTAATCAAATTTCCTAATTATCGAAGCTAAACGAAGCCAACTTTCCGTCGAAATTCGCGGGAGAATATATGCACAAAGAAAATTCCATTAATATTAGGTTGTCCAATAAGTAATGCGTGTTACTTATTTCGAAACTATTGCGAAATCGCTTCGAGCAAATATATGCTCTTTTTAATCATCAGCATCTTGTGTTTATTTTTATATATTATTTTATTCATTTGCCTTTGTTTTATAATAGATATGTTGTTTTGCAGATGAAAGACAAAAAGTTTGTTGTCCGCGCATCAATGCTGTATGACTTCAAACGAGGTAAAACTGCAGGCGGATTGCCATCGAACTATCTGTGCCGCATTTGGAGAGGATTCGATTTCAATCAGCCAGTGCCAGCGCTGGTTTAAACGATTTGCGGACGGAAACGAGTCGTTAGAGGACGAGGAACGCGCTGGAAGGCCAGTCGTTTTTGATAACGAAACTTTGCTTAACACCATGACGGACTTCACTCTTTGCTCGGACGATGGAGAAATGTTGTTGATTGTTGTGGAGAATATATCGATTAATAAAGTTCTCTTTTGTTAATTTTGTGATATTTTGAAAATCGTGTCAAAACACGCATTACTTATTGGACAACCTAATAGTTTTTTTCGTTGTAGTTTTTCGACCTTTTCTCAGGCATCCTTTGACGAATCGAGCTCATTTTTATGTCAAAAGATGCGCTTTGAAAATCTCCACCGAGTAGACCTTGGGTTTGTGGACAAAAACTAATTTTGGGTAGGTAAAAACGAGATCGAAACTCTTGACAGTGATTTCAATTCTCTTAAAGCCATTTTGTTTAGTCACCAAATTTGGATCCAATTTTGGAAATCATTACATAAACTAAACAGTTTGAAGACTTGTTCTGCACTCTAGAAATTCGTACCCTGGTTATTCGAAAGGAAGCTTTTCAAAGAGATCTTCCGTTGTCTCGAAACTGATCACCAAGAGTCTCCAGTCAATGAATTTTTCATTTTTCTTCTCCCCAAAGGCTTTAGGGTCAAATGAGGGGTTGGGTTCAAAAGAAAGAGAAAGAGAAAGAGGAAGAGGAAGAGGAAGAGAAAGAGAAAGAGAAAGAGGAAGAGGAAGAGGAAGAGAAGGAGAAAGAGGAAGAGGAAGAGAAAGAGCAAAATACTTTCTTTGACTTACTCATTGTCACTTCGAGAACCCCAGAAAGAGTCAGTTTTCCATCAGCAGTTACTTTTGAGCGAATTTCTGAGTTCACAACTGAAGAATTTCCACTCAACAGCAAACTAGCAGTCCTTAAAATCCACTCTTTCCTCTGGTCAGTGATTTACAGCACTTACAGCACTTACAGCTCATTCTTCCATATTTATTTCTTTATTATTGTTTTTACATTTTTCTTTGTCAATTTAACAATTGTCCGGTTCAATTACCCAAAGAAATCTTCTTTTACACGATCTGAATCAATTTACATAAATTTCCCTTTCATTAATCTCTCATTTTTTCGTCATTGATCGAGAATTTTCTCTCAATTTTCGATCTCTTGTTCTTTCGAGTAAATTGAATTTTATTATTGCTGTAATTGGTACAGAAATCTGATTTCATTTGATAGTTACATTTGCGACAATTTTAGAGACTCAAAAAGAATTCGTGTTCACAAAAGAATTGGCGAAAAATTTGATTAGACAGATTTTAAGCAATCCAATTCATCATTTCAATTGTGCCTTGCGATTTCTAAAAGTTGCTGTACAAAGATTATCGAAAAGTTTAGCTTATGCTGATTTGGAGATATTAGTTATTGAAGATAGTATTTTATTCATTTTATTTTATTAAATCTGATTCTTTATTCGCTCGATCTTGAATCATTGAAAAGATCCTTGTGCGTACCTTTCATGTCACTCGTAGGAAAAAGCGGCATCTGGCACACTGGCCCAAATGGATACGACTGGAAAACCCTCGTCGTCGGTTTAATTACCCAAGTTTGTGCGTACCCTGCTTTTGCATAGGAAAAAGCGGCATCTGGCACACTGCCCCAGATGGAGACGGCCGGAAAAACTCCCGCCGCCGGTTTAATTACCCAAGTTTTCTGGGTACCCTTATTGCGCAAGGAAAGCGGCGTCTGGCACCCTGCTCCGGATAGGGACGATTAAAAGTCCCAAGTTTGGTGCGCCAGAAAGCGTGCGTTTACGTACGGGCACAAAAAACAGGAATTGGAAGCTGAAGCTGAAGAATCGCCGAACTGGAGCTGGAGCTGAAGAATCGACTAATTTCACTAATCCAGAGATCATTCTTGCAGAGTTTGTGCCTACCCTGCTTTTGCGTAGGCAAAGCACCCTGCTCCGGATAGGGATGATTAAAAGTCCCAAATTTGGTGCGCCAGAAAGCGCGCGTTTACGTGCGGGCACGAAAAACAAAAACAGGTCAATGATCATTCTTGCAGAATGATCATTGACCAAGATGACTGAAATTTCCTCTCGAATTCCTTTCCACCGTACAAGTTCTCCAATTCTAAACTCTTTAAGCTCAAATGATTGGTATTCATGTCGGAAAAAAGATGGAAAGAAAAAAGAAACGTTGAAAGATGATCTCTTTCTACTCAATTTTTCCCCAAACGATGAATTTTTCTCATTAACTGACTGATTCATTCAAAAAAAAAAAGCTAAGAAAAGACTAATTTTCCTTAAAAATTTCAATTTCCCCTTTGCAAATTTTGGCATTCGCAAATAAAAATAATCTTTGGAATTGAAAATTTGTCGATTTTTAGAGAAAATTCTTTATTCTCGAAATTTTCAAACAAAAAATAACTTTGGGAAATTATTTTTATTATTTTTATTTTCAAATCATCGTTCGGATAAGCTTCATTGTGTGGATTTGAATGAAATTCCGAACTCCCTTCTTTCTCAAAAAAAATTTCTCAGAGTTGCTGTTTTTGACAAGTTTTTAGAGAAAAGTCTCGATGATTTTGTTTGAAAATTTTTTTGGATCTCGAAGATGCGAAAATTTTACACTTCTATTTTCAAAATCCTTTCGATTTCTTTAATTTTTTTTCGTCCTTTGGATTTAGTAAATTGATTTAACACAAGGGTTCTCAAAAAGAAGCAAAGAGTTAAGCCCATTTAAGACCCAAAAAAGAAAAAGGAGAACCAGAAAAGGAAAATTTGAGCCTAAGATTGAAATTGTTAATTTTATCTTTTTTTTAGAAATTTGGAAAATCTTGATTTGACTTAGGCTTTCCGTGTGCGTACCTTCCATGTCACTCGTAAGAAAAAGCGGCATCTGGCGCATTGCCCAGGATGAGGGGCCAAAACGCCCTCGCCGTCGGTTTAATTACCCAAGTTGGTGCGTTCTCTTCATGTCTCTTATAAGAAAAGCGGCATCTGGCGCATTGCCCCTGGATGAGAGACCAAAAAAAGCCCACGCCGCCGGTTTAATTACCCAAGTTTGTGCGTTCTCCTCATGTCTCTTATAGGAAAAAACGGCGTCTGGCACACTGCCCCGAAAAAGAGCAAGCGGAAGCTCTCACCATCGGTTCAATTACCCAAGTTTCCTGCGCCAGAAAACGTGCGTTTACGTGTGACCACGAAAGAACAAAAATAAAACTGAATATTATAAAATTCTTGGCTCGAAACTCAAACCTGTTGGCCTTTATTTTGTGCATATCATTCTCAAACTTTGCTCTATTCTCAATCTTTTCCCATTCTCCTTTTTTTTAACCCGGAAAGAACTTCCCTTTTTTTCAGCATCGTAGGGAGATTTGGTGTGTAATCGGATCCCTTAAAGGCAAACATTATTTTTTTGCGGGAAACTTTTCCGGAGATATGCCTTAATTCATCAAAGAATTGAGGATTTTTAAAGATTTTGGCACATGGGCTATTGAAGAAATGAAGTTTGTGCTTGAATTTGATTATTTTCTCATCAAATTTTTCAATCACTAAAAGGAAGGGGTGCGTACCTTTCATGTCGCTCGTAGGAAAAAGCGTCATCTGGCACACTGTTCCGGATGGGGTCTCACCTGGAAGTGCTGGAAGGGGTCTCACCACCGGTTTAATTACCCAAGTTTTGTGCGTTCTCTTCATGTCTCTTATAGGAAAAAGCGGCGTCTGGCACACTGCCCCGGATAAGACCAGCCCGGAAAGCCCTCGGCGTCGGTTTAATTACCCAAGTTTGGTGTGCCAAAAGGTTCATGTTTTGAACGCACCAAGAACGAAAAGTTTTCAGTTAAAAAACCGAACTTTTTTTGAGATAAACAGCGAAATTTTCTTGTCATTTTTGCAAAAACCATTCAAAAAGCAAAAATTTCATTCCCAAGTTCAATTTCTTTGAAGATAACTATTTCTCATTACCATAAACATCAAAATTTCCATTAACATATTGGAATTGTTGAGCTTTGTGACTCCAAAACGATTCTCTCACGTACCAAAAGAAATTTTTGTGATGTAAATAGAAATTGCAACAAATTTCTTAAGAAGTTTGTTGCAATTTTCTACAAAAAAACTCTCGGACACAAAATCCAAAAAGAGAACATTAAACTCTTTGATTCAAAAAAAGTATTTAGAAGAAATTTAGAAACATTTTGCATTGATAATGTTCTCGAATCCCTTCATTCTTTTCCTCAATTCCTATATTTTAATCTCGATCTCGATTTCAATTGTACTTCCATTATTAAGAGAAATGGACGATTTATCCGCTTATCTTTTACCGATGGAGATTTTCTTTTCCGCATGCACTTTATTGGGAATCGCTGGCAATTTGTTGATGGTGATTGTGACGATAAAAGCGAAGTAAGTAAAAGATATTCAGGTAAGGAAACAAATACGGTAGTTATTCCAATATTTATCTATCGCAAATGCAAATTTTCGACCAATCTTTTGATCGAAAGATTGGTGTGCGTTCTTTCCATGTCGCTCGTTGGGAAAAGCGGGGTCTGGCACACGGCCCCGGGTAAGAGTGGCCGAAAAGAGCTCAGGGCCGGTTTAATTACCCAAGTTTTATGCGTACCCTTGATGCCGAAAAAAGAAAAAAGCGGCGTCTGGCACACTGCTCCCGGATCGGGAAGCCGAAAACCCGTCAGAGCCGGTTTAATTACCCAAGTTTGAAATGAAAACGACTAATCTTTCGATTCAAAGATTGGTGGGCGTTCTTTCCATGTCGCTCATAGGGAAAAGCGGCGTCTGGCACATTGCCCCGGGCTAGAGTGACCGAAAAGCCCTCCCGACCGGTTTAATTACCCAAGTTTTATGCTTACCCTTGATGCCGAAAAAAGAAAAAAGCGGCGTCTGGCACACTGCTCCCGGATAGGGAGCCGAAAACCCGTCAGAGCCCGGTTGAATTACCCAAGTTTGAAATGAAAACATCAAACTTTCAGAAATCTCCAAACAGCATGCCATAAACTAATCGGGATCACGTGTTTTGCCGATGTCCTCCATCAATCGGGTCAATTCCCATTCCTTTACGGTCTCTACACGCGCACACAATGGACCACGCAAGCCGATTGTTTTTATGTGCAAGTGAGTCGAAACTCTATTCTTATCCATTCATCCAGCGATTCTAGTTAGTCCCGATTTTCGGGGTTCTCACTGGTTGCGTGCTTTTGTTGAATCTTGGAGTCGATCGACTTATAGCCGTCACATTGCCCGCTTTGTGAGTTCGATTATCACCGATTATCACGCTAAAATCACCGTACTCCTTTTTCAGTTATCGTCAAAATCAGCAAACTCATCTTTATTTCTTTCTACATTTAATCGCTCCTTTAGTTTATTATTTTTTCTTTTTATTCTACGCATTTCAGTTCAGGAATGATCGGTGAGGGAATTTGATTGAATACTTTTATTAATCGTTTTTATTTGTTGCAGACCGGCAATGTGTGCAATTCCGGAATTCTTCGATGGTCCCTCGAATTCCCTCTGGGCTACCGTATCCGTCATTTTGAATGCGCTCGTCGTTTTTTGCTATCTTCTCGTTTATGTTAAACTTCGAACATCATCTTTTAGTGGGTTTAATGGTCTGAATTTGTAAAATACCGTACCCAACCCATTATAGGGAAAAAAACGAATCGGAACAGGAAAATTTGAGCCTGAGACTGAAATGGCTGATTTTATTCGTAGAAAATTTTGACAGTCTTGATTTGACTCAATCTTTAAATGTGCGTACCTTCCATGTCTCTTATAGGAAAAAGCCGCATCTGGCACACTAGGGGCAGCCGGAAAGCCCTCGCCGCCGGTTTAATTACGCAAGTTTGTGCGTACCCTTAGTGCTGCTCAAAGGAAAAAGCGGCGTCTGGCACACGGCCCCCACATAGAATGGCCGGAAAGCCTTCGTTGTCGGTTTAATTACCCAAGTTTTGTGCGCACCCTGGGTGTGGCTGGTAGGAAAAAGCGGCATCTGGTGCACTGTCTCCGGGTAGAGGTGCTCGACAGACGCTTGCCGCCGGTTTAATCACCCAAGTCTGTTGCGACAGACAGAAAGCGTGCGTTTACGCGTGATCACAAAGAACATGCACTAATTGCAGGTAACGCCGCTCGTGCCGTCTTCAAATCTCTCTTCATCACAGTAGCCATTGTCTCCTGTGGCTGGTTCGCGACAATGTTCACCAATTTTCTTTCGGTGGCTTTTGGCGCAACAGGGAATACGATGTTTTTGATACAAGTCAGTTTCGCGTTTACTGGATCACCAAAAATCCTAATTTCCATGCGAAAACGTTTACGGAATTTGTGCGTTTCCGGGAAAATTCTCAAAAAAGCTGAATGAAGCGGTATTCCGGTCAATTTCCCGTTTCAGACATACGCTGGTATTCCGGTCAATTTCGCGGCCGCGTGCAATTTCCCCGTTTACTATACGATAAGGTGAGGAAAAGTGATTGTTTAAGTTCTAGCAAAGATAATCCGTTTCCTAAACATCGTCAACAATTTACCGTAATCTTTTTAGTAAATGGCTAGCTTTTGAGAGAGTTGACACGATTTAGAAAAAAAAACAAAAACACAAAAAACGCAACCCAATTTCCAGTACGGAACACCGAAACGCGATTCGCTCGCTTTTGTTTAACAAAAAGCCGGAGAAATCCGGGGAATTCCCGACGGCGACAAACAATACAAATAATGAGGTGAGAACAATGAAAAGATTGAAAAAATTGAAAAAAAAGCATTGAAATGCTATCATTTTTAGAGTTCGTTTCTCATCAAAAGTCCGGTAAATAGGTTTTTCTTTTTTCGCAAACCTTGCATGAGACAAGTTGGCCTCCATTCCCATTCTAGATCTTTAGTTTTTAGTTCGATTGTGATATATAGAAATTAGTTTTTCAGTTACTTTGTGTTATCCAAGTGATAAAAAGCATCCTTCTTTAAGTTGCTGTAAAGTCTCAGTATCTCGTTACAGTATGCCGGAAGGATGAAAGCTAATGGATGAAGCTATTCCGACATACTGTAATCGGTCGAATACTGAGGATTTACAGTGCTGAAGGACAGTTTACGGTTTAGGCGATTAACTCCAAATTTCCACCACTTTCAGTCCCGACGCTCACCGTCAACCATCGTCACATCTTTTGATCAACGCCGATGCAGTCAAGCCAGAAAGCCGAGTGTCTCTCCCGCAATGATCTCTATTTGTTGATCTCAATGTTTGAACATAAATGTATTTATTACAAAGCCGAAAATCCACCAACACAAAAAAGGAATAGCCGTACACGTTGTAAGAAAATACTAACATCGTTTAGCAAGAGAAATCATCTAGCACTTTTGTCAGTAGTGTGAATCAATATGGCGAAAAGGTGAGTGCAATCTCCTGTCAACTGAAAAATGTGACAAAAGAGCATGTAAAACACATCATGAAGATGTGATTTGAACAGTGGAATACAGGATAGAGGAATTGGATACATTCTGCAATGAAAACTATTGTAAAAATATGTACTGTGAAAACAAAACGCACGAATACACCAAATAAAATATTGGGTTAATCCAGTTATGAATGCGCGTTTTTACTATTTTGTACATTTCTCAAGATATCGAACAGATGTATATGAGTGTTATATATCATTCGAAAGCTGAAGATCTCCTCTACATTTTGGAATAAAAAAGTTTTGAATTCATTCAACTTTTTGGGAAATTGACTGCACAAAGGGAGAGGTCGTTTTCGAAAAAACCCATTCCAGCTTAGCTATTCCTCAAATTTTATGGTGTAATATAACCGCCCAGAAAAGAAAAGTAAAGATGCTCTGAAATTGTTATATTTTAAAAAATAGTTGTATTGATATATCTATTGGCCAAACATCAAACGGTTAACTCAATTTGAGCGGAGCCAAAACTTGATCCAAAGGCACCCTTTCATTTTTTGGCCACCTCTTCTTCTGTGCAGTCAATTTGCCCAAAAGCTGGACAAATTCAAAAACTTTTTATATCAAAATGTAGAGGAGATCTTCAGCTTTCGAATAATACTCATATAGATCTTTTTCTTGATTTCGATACCTCGAGAAATTTACAAAATAGTAAAAAACGCGCATTCATAAACTGGACAACCCAATAAGTAGCAACCGGAGAAAAATGATACATGTGAAGGAAGAAGAGTCGCCAAATAAAAAGTTGGCTTTCGTGAATAAACATGGCGCGAATCCCATCGTCGACAACCGTCTAGTTGCTGAAATTGGAAAGATTATACCATTTTTACATATGCCGTTCAGAACCGATGATTTTAAACCTTAAGTGAAGCGTTAGTATCAATACAAACATAAAGTTACCCTATTATATCTAAACTAACACAGTTATGTGCTTTATAACTTTCGATATTTTTTAAAAACAGATAGCCTTGCATGCATTAAACCCAAAGATTAAACCAACAACTAGAAGTCATAGAGATTTCGTTTAGTAAGTGAGCCTTGAAGAAAAAGTTCTATGACCACTAGCTGCAAAATAAAACGCTGGCCGGAGCTCTTTTTGCCATAGAGCTTTGCTCCAATTCGAGTAGCTAACTACAGCTTCACGAGTTGCTCGTTCATTTTCGAGATAAACCCATCAAACTTACTTTCTAAAAATTGACAATATATTTTGGTTAGTGATTGCAAAATAGTATTCAAAAATTATAGAGAAAAATCTTACTTGCTGGATCCGAAGAGTGAGAGAAGCATCCAGAAGATGTACACAATGTCGAGGAAGATTTGGATCGCTGCGAAGATATGGTCTTCTGGAGAGATCTCGTATTTGCGGCCGCCCATCAACATCTAAAATAACTCCAATTATTTTTGAGAAGGGGCTCAAAATATAAATGAATATGAAACATTTTGTGATTCAACGAAACATAAGCTTATGTTAATAAAAAGCTATGTTGTTGTCCTAACAAAAGTTCCAACAATTGAACACCGTAAATAGTACCTGAACATCGATGGCTAAGTAGAACATGAAGAGCAGAGCAGCCAATCCTGCGTAGACCGAGTGAAGCCAATAAATCTATAAAACACAAATTAAAGCAAAAGTCGTTAAGCCGTACCTTGAAGAAAATGCCTCCAATGATGGCGAGCAGTCCAAAGGCGAAGAGGCACATCGACAAGATGAACATCACTCCCATCATGCTAAATGAGAATCGTATAGTAGTTCGGGTAATGAGTACTTAAATTTTACCCACACTCAATTTTAATTACCTGGTCAGATCGTGCTTGGTAACGGTAGCAAAAATGATGATTGATCCGCATGCAACAGTTGTAACGATGAGAGCGAGCAGAACAATATTGATGTCGTGATGAGCTAAACATTTACGATGATTTATTTGAAGCAAAAAACATTGACTTCATAGCCCTAAGAATTCATTAAACGCTTACCGGTGATCATCATCGTCATGAAGCCAATTGAGACAGTCTAAAATCAAAATATTAGTAAAGTTAAATTAATTTCCCTTGACGCAGATAGTAAACCAAACTCACCATAATTCCGGTCATGATAATATTCACGGGGAACGATCGGCGCACACTCTCGCAGCACATCAGCACCAAGTAGACAACAATGAAGACACCGCTAAAATATGAAGTAAAATATTGGATAAAGTAACTTGTAAAAACTCACTATGAAGCCAAGTAGAGCCCCATTGAGCGTTGCACGGATGCTTTCAAACCCTCGTCGAACCAAGGAATCGCAGTCATCACGGCGACAACAGCCAACTAAATCAAAGTTTGAGAAACAAGATGATATGTTTAGTGTCTGATCATTTTTATTCAATGAAATAAAGTTTTAACGCTCCTTTGTAAGACAAAATAATTTTAGAAAACCTACCATGATAGTAACGAGGGCGAAAACTTTGCGGACGAAAGCGGCTCGAATTGTCGCATTAGTGAATCCGAAAGCGTACTTGTCAGCCGCACCTCCCTCCATGTGATGATCAGCGGCTCCGGCGTGCGGCATCGGGTAGGGTGCAGAACCTGGGAAATAAAAGTTTGATGCAGTTTTAGCTTACGACACTTAAACTTTAATCGTACTATCTAGAATTTAGTATTCTATCAAAACAACTAAATCAAAGCAAAAAGCAGCTAATAAATTATGCATTGCGCTCATTCGAAAGTCAAGAATACAAATGAGATCCAAAAACTTTCTTAAGTTCTTAGATTTTGTTCTTTGTTCCAATTTTCGCATTAGAGCGTGAGTTTTTCGGTCACCCAGACCTCACAAGTACAAGCAAGTCATTTGTTTTCTTGACGTCGAGAGTGACAAATGACCACACTCTTCCTTGTTTTTGTGTAACTTCTTATCTTACACACTTCTATCTATAGCTTCTTGCCAGACCAAGTAAAACTTCAATACAACACCGGCTCATAAAGAAACCTTTTAAGCATAAAATATTTGCAAGATAACAAGCAAATTGTTTAGCCACATAGCTTCAGCTACAGTCTACAGCCACAAGCACATTATATTGAAGTTTTACCTTCATTTATTCTTTCAAAATCCGAACCTGCTTGTGATGGAGATGGAGCCCATCCAGGCGGCGCGGGTGGTAGTTGCTGTTGTCCTTGCCCTTGACCAGGAGGATACGGATTCTGGTATTGAGGGTTGTAGGCGGGTTGACCGTATCCAGACATCACTAAAATAAAAAGATTAATGCGAAATCGAAGAACAAAATCGAAGAACTCGTTACAAAGTCAAAACTCGGAAATACAGGATTGAAAAATCATTAGAAAGGCAAGCAATAAGAAGAAAAATTGTAGCTAAAGGTGTTGTTTACAAGAGAAAAGCTGCAGTTGAAGGTAAATTAGCTAAAACGAAAACAAACTACATTAAGAATTAATCTTTTCCAATCACAAAATCAATCGATGTTACAATAAAATTTGTTTTCAACAATTCACAAAAAAGCGCGAATTTTCCTATGACTAACCATGATATGAAAAGAGAAAATGGAGAGAAAAGTGGCGAAATAGGGGCTTTCGTCCATTGCATCGATCTCTCATTTCTCTCATTTCTCTCAATATTTCATCGCCGAGCACAATCAATACTTTCACCTCTCCTGGAGTAAAAGAGACAAACAGCACATTGTGCCCTCTATTGCGCAACGTGTAAATCGAGATTAGATCGCACAAAAAGTGACATTTAATCGTTATTCGAGGGTTCTGTTCAGATTAAGTGATAAGCTGATAGAAAACTTTGGAAGAAACAGAAAAAACATTTTTATGAAACAGAAATGGATGAATGAGAAGCGAAAAGAGTGTGACTCGAGAAAATAATGAGGGAGTGGGACAAATGCTACCTTTTTTTGCGCACCCGGCACATTAGCGCATCTTTTTTTGCGTTTTAAAAAAGCTCTAAAAAGCTAATATTAACCAATTTCTATTCCAAAAGTTGTTTTTCTGGGTAATTTTTGGGCGCAAAATCCTATTTTGCGGTGGCTACTTTGCGCCAAATTTTTTTGCGCGACTGGGTCATTTGCGCAACTCGCCATAACTTTCTTCTAAGTCGGCCAATCTTTATGATTTTGGTGTCATTTTGTTACACTTGTTTGGATCTACAAAATCTACAAAATGACACCAAAATCATAAAGATTGGCCGACTTAGAAGAAAGTTATGGTGAGTTGCGCAAATGACTCAGTCGCGCAAAAAAATTTGGCGCAAAGTAGCCACCGCCGGATAACGCAAAAAAGAAAATAAAAGTGGTAAGAGCAAAGGAAAAATAAATAAAAGTAAAGAAAATAAAAATAAAAGCGCTAAATAAGGCTATTTCTGTTTTTTTTAATTGGTTAAAGCCACAAATCCATGTAATAGAATGATTGTCGTTCTATTAAAGCTATCACGGTTTGTTATTCTAGCACTTGAACCTCCAAAATGATTAACAACATTGAGACGACGAGACGAGATTTAGAAAAGATTAAGACTTGATTTTTCATCGATAACTTCTCTCAATAAAGGGCTTATCATTGTCCAATGGAAAGCTTCTTAAGTCAAATGAAAGGGAAGCTTCTTAAGTCAAATCCAATCTTTTTAATGTGGGAAAGAGGTTAAATGAGGAAATTTCTACAAAGCCAATAGAGCCAAATGAAAGAAATTGAGCATGATCGATTGGGTTAAATCGAAAAGATTACGATAGTAGGATAGACACAGATTACGGTAACTGGTACACAATTACAGTAGCCTATCTGTATTAGCGGCTAACTTAACTAAGGAAATCAAAGCTAGGAAATCAAACCAAATTTTTTCTTCAAATTCTTAGTTTAACCTAAATCTGATCTGATTTGAAAAATATATCCGGCGAAAAATGATTCAATTTGATAAGAAAAGCTGAGTGTTTTTTTTCATTTCAACAGCTAAGAGAAGCCAAAAAGAAAGAAAATATTTGCGGAAATGATATTTTATATTTTTATAGAAATTGATAGAAAGAAAATAAATTTTTCGTAAGAAAATAGGGAAAATAGGGAAAAATCGAAAAAAAGAGAAAAACTTCTATCAGTTTTCGGAAAGATTCTCTTAAATTCAAAAGAAAAACTTTCAATTTCATCTTTCAAATTCAAAACTTTAATAGAAAAAGCTAGGTAAAGCTAGGTAAAGCTAGGTAAAGCTAGGTAAATCCTCTTAAGTTCAAAAAAATGACTTATGGCTGTAAGTCGTATTGGCTGTATTGGCTGTAAGTCGATCGATCGATTCTGGTGTTGATAATCCAGAGAGGAGAGCCAAGAAGAAAGTTTTCACATTTGCTGTGCTTTAATTTGCTTTAGTTGTTTGCTTTGCTTTAAGTATTTGTTCTGTGGTGCGTATTTGACCTACTGCAGTATACTGTACGAGTAAATCTTGTATAAACGTCCACACATCATTTAGTAATTGGACTTCAAAGGTTTGATTGATGAAAACAAGGCTTGATTTCAGAGTTATAGTTCTAGATTTGAATTGAAATAGAAACAAATGAATATGAGCTATATGGATGAATAAACAGCATCTTTTAAATGAACAGCATCTTTTAAAGAATCTAAGTATGATCAAGATTTCCCATTCTACCTTACTCTTAATTGTTTGGCTAATGCTAGAAGCTAATGAGTATGCTAGAATGGAAAAGTTTACATGATTGGAAATGGAAAAGAATGGAAAAGTTTACATGATTCTTGAGGATTTATCTAGTAAAGAGACTAGATAAAGAAAAAAAAATAGGCATTATTTTTCTGTAGTCAAAATAGGAATTGTTTTTGTAGCCAAATAAATGAAGAAAAGCTTGTTTTTATGTTTTTATCGTAATCAGGTGAAATGAGTGATTTTAAATGCTTTTTTGATGGTAACGAGTTTCCCTGGAAACTGGCGACATTTCAAAATAGAGAAAATGATTGAATGGGCCTTTGGGCCTGTAAATGAGCCAAGCCAAGCCAAGCCAAGCTTTGTACTTTGCGCTTAAAAATTTAAACACACTCCTTCTGGCGCACATTCTCTTTCTCTTCATTCTCTTTCACTTCATTCTCTTTCTCTTAAGCTTTGTTCAAGCTCTGAAAGCTTTGTTCATTGCGCACTAAGAAATCATTTAGTTTAATTACTCAAATCACAAATTTACACAAAAGGATTGAATTGAAGGAACAAAGAACAAAGGAAATTGATAAAATGAAGAGTTCAATGCACCAGAAATGATGTGTTTACATTATAGAAAGTTCTGGAAAAAGTTTTGGAAAAGTTCAGAAAAAAGTTCTGGAAAAGTTTTGGAAAAAGTTCTAAAAAAAAATTCTGCAAAAAGAAATCGATTTTAAAATCGAAATCAAATTCAACTTCACCCACCGTCTTGCTGGTGTTGATAGCTTTCCTCAGGACGATAGTTTGCTGAAAATCTAACTAATCTATAATAGCTATATAGCTATATATGTCGTAGCCGTTTACGAAATTCAGCCGCTAACGAATGAGGGTATTTCCGGGCATCCAATCAAAAAGTCACCCACATAAAAAATGTTCATAATACATATATTTTATAATAAATTTTTGAAATTAGCTCATTTGGTTGAGTAGAAAAATTTTTTTGAGCCCCCAAAGTTTAGGTTCAAAAAATGGCTATAAAAAATTTTCTACTCAGCCAAAAAACTTGCCTAATAGCTCATTTTGTAGCCAATTTGATGTGGATTCTTAAAGTAAAGCCATCTAAAACAATTTTTCGTTGAAAGTAGGAGAAAGAGGGTGAGGAATAAATTCAGGGCAATTCTCAAGTGTGAAAACAGTGTAAACGGCTACGACATATAAATCTACAATATATAAAGTAATTTAGCTTTTAAATTATGCTAATTTGAAAGTTTAAAGATCAATTTCCCAATACGAAAATTTCAAAAAATGACTATCGAAAAATTCTGTGAGTCATTTTTTTCGAAATTTCGAAATTTCTTGTAAACATTTGAAAATTGTTGAAAATATTGTGTCATCTTGGGCATGGGACAAATGCGACCTTTTTTTTGCGCACCTGGACATTTGCGCACCTTTTTTTTTGCCATTCCGCACATTCCAGCTGGAAAAGGCCTTAGGAAAGGCTGTAGAGCTTCGAAAATATTTCCATATAAGGGAATCGTATGCGTAGATTCCGAATTTCGATAAATCAGACCTCGCTGACACGTCAAATTTGGGCTAAAAGGCAAAAACTGCGTTAAGCGTTAAGTTGCGTAGTTTTTGCCTTTTAGCCCAAATTTAACGTGTCAGCGAGGTCTGATTTGTCGAAATTCGGAATCTACGCATACGATTCCCTTCTGTGAATACATTTTTGAAGCTCTACGACCTTTCCTAAGGCCTTTTCCAGCAAAAAAAAAGGTGCGCAAATGTCCAGGTGCGCAAAAAAAAGGTCGCATTTGTCCCACCCCCGAAATTTCTTGTAAACATTTGAATATTATTGAAAATATTGTGTCATCTTTTCAATTTAAATACTTTAAATACTTTAAATACTTTAAAACATTTAAAAGAAAGTAGAGATTTAAATGAAAACTATTTTATGATTTGTTTCAATATTTTGGTTTTAATATTTTGGTTTCAATATTTTGTTTCCAATCATTCAAATAATCTTACCCGTTGCCTGATAGGCGCTTCGATTCCCCTGACCAGACATTCGCTCACTCTAAAAAGTTTTAGATCATAAAAATTGCATTTATGCAAATTGAATTTAAAATCATCTATTTTTACAATAAAATCATCTATTTTTGTTTATGAATAAAGAAAAAGAGATCGATTTTTGGGAAAAAGGGATGGAAAGGAAAACAAAATGATTGGCAATTGAAAGGGAAAATGTGAGAAATGAAAAATATTCTTAAAAAGTTTGTAAAATTGAAAATCCATAGATTTCTAGATCCCTAGAGCTAGTTTAATAGCTGAATATTCTTACATTCGCTTAAATATGGCATAAAATGAAGATGGAAAAGCCGTGAGTGAAGAATTTTGAGTTCGCTTTTGAGTGAGCGAAGAAATGGTGATGCTAAAAATTGATCAACTATTCGCGTTAGACTCAAATATACTTATATTCTTTGCTGTGTTTACAAAAAGCCGATTTACTGGGGATCTACCATAGGTTTAAGGCCAAGGTTCAGTTAAGAATATTGAAAGTATTTAGCAAACAGAAAATTTAGCAAACAGAAAATTGATGCGACCTGTAGAAGAGATAACGAAAGACTGAAAGTGGCTCAAGGCAAGTTTCTTTTTGTTTCTTTTTGTGCTTTGGAGTCTTTTTTCCCGTTCACTCACCCGAAAATAAGGAATCGATCCATAGGCGGTCAAGAGATAAGCAACAGTGGCAAGACGGGAAGATGAAGAAATGAGAGGAGTTGATGTGGAAGTGGATGGGTGAATGGGATGACAGAGATGGGGATGATGCGAAAGATCTGATGATCCTTCAATTCGTCCATTCATTCGTGATCGAGGCATTCATCGTGCTAAAAATTCATCTTGTTAGAGCTATCTTTGTTCAGGTATTGGAAATTTGGCAAGGCGGACAAGGCAAGGCAAGGAAAGGCAAGGCAAGGCCAAGCAAGGCAATGCAAGGCAAGGAAGGCAAGGCAAGGAAGGCAAGGCAAGGCCAAGCAAGGCAAGGCAAGGCAAGGAAAGGCAAGGCAAGGCAAGGCAAGGCAAGGCAAGGCAAGGCAAGGCAAGGCAAGGCAAGGCAAGGCAAGGCAAGGCAAGGCAAGGCAAGGCAAGGCAAGGCAAGGCAAGGCAAGGCAAGGCAAGGCAAGGCAAGGCAAGGCAAGGCAAGGCAAGGCAAGGCTTGGCCAAAGTGGCAAATCAAGCTATGCCATAGAACGCGCGTTTGTGAGAACACAAAATAGCTTCAACAGAAAGAATAGCATCATTTTCATGCCAAGCCAATCCAAAGGCAATGTTTTAGACCAATTATAGCACTTTCCATCTCATTTTTTTATCTTCTCGTCTTGTCCAGGTTCAGAGCTGATTTGTCAACAATTCAGAGCTGATTCTAGAACCAAATTTCCAGGCTTTGGATTGTAAGGTAAGCAAGGCCAGGTTAGGTTTATGATAAGCTGCCTATTCTAGGCTAGACCAGATCTAGAAAGTGCTCTGATTTGTCTAATTTGATCTAAAACCTTGCTTTGGATTGGCTTGACTTCGAAATTTGGCTTTTGCCAACCTCCAAACTTTTAACAAAGCTAAATTTGACCAAAAGTAAATTTGACACTGTAACTTACTCATTTATTGTTTCCCTGTTTCAATTTGGCACTTGTAAATACTTTCAAAAACTGATCAAGCAAATAAATAATGAAATGATTGGATCAAATGATTGGAATTAGAGATCCTTGGAATAATGTGGTTTATCTGTTTTAGGTTTGTTATCCAATTTCTCTTCTTTCCCCCAAATTTCCATCTCTTTCCTTTCGATCTCTTTCCTTTCCATCTCTTTCCTTTCCCCCTTTATTCCATTCTCATCTATTTTCCCCTTCAAATTTTCCCTTTTCTCAATTTCTTTTCTTTCCTAATTCCCATAATTAGTGTCCATTCCATTTTCCTCAAATTTTTTTCGACTTAAATTTGTAAAACGCATAGAAGAGAGCAAATTTTTAAATGAAATGACGTTCGGTTTTAGGGGAATTTTGAAATTTCATCTTCTTAACAGTTTCAGGCTTCAGCTTCAGCTTCAGGCTCCAGCTTCAGGCTCCAGCTTCAGGCTCCAGCTTCAGGCTTCAGGCTTCAGCTTCAGCTTCAGGCTTCAGCTTCAGAGATCATTTAAATAACCTTTCAAGTTTAAACCTTGTAAATCTAACTGGTTCATTCATCTATAACTACAGTAATACTGTAGCAATAGAGTACTTCAGGCTTATCAGCATTGGCTATCCACTGTACTTCTTAACTTGTCGATAACTATAGTAATCTGCCTGTAGTAACCCAGAATCAAGATAACACAAAAATTTCTTTATTCAACACAGAGAAACGAAAAAGAATCGAAGAATGAATCTCACTGAGGTATTTGAAAAGGATTTGAGGGAGAAAACTTCAACATTGTACCCAATCGCTCAATCTCACTTGATCATTGATCGATTTCGATCGAATATCATAATCAAAGACTTGTGTCGAAGTGAATACTGTTATCACAGAGCTCCCGGTGACAACAGCTCCCTGAAAAGGTTGTCGGACATTTGATACCCCTTTTCCCATTAGCAATCCAACTTTGCGCTCAAATATCTTGGTGTTGGGTGGTCCAAATTAAATATTCTTGGTATCATTAGATGCGCCAAATCTTTCTCTATCGATTGGTACAAAAACTATATTAATTGGACAGTTCAACACCAAGAAATTGGAGCTTAAAGTTCCCAATGGCAAAGGGGCGGAGCGCGTATAAAAGTACTTCGCCAGTCTAACTTTGAGCTCAAATTTCTTGGTGTTGGACTGTCCAATTCAAATAGTTTTTGTACCAATCGATAGAGAAAGACTTGGTGCATCTAATGATACTAAGAATATTGAAATTGGACAGCTCAACATGAAGATATTTGAGTTCAAAGTTGGATTGCCAATGGGAAAAGGGGCGTGTGCCCCACAATCCCTGAAATGATTGAAAGCTACTGTACTAGTTCTGGAGTACTGTATTAGAGTATTATAATGTACTATGTTCAAGCTTTAGACAGTCTTATCGCTTTAGATCGTTTACTCACTTTGACTCCACTCGGCAAATTCGGATAATAACTCGAGATCCTTCCCTGGAGTGTTGATTGATTCCAATATTCGTCATAAACAGCAAACTCATTTCCACTCTAAATTTGCATATAAACCCTTTTATCTGTTGATTTGCTGTTGCAAAAATCTGTTACTTACACTCAAAAGTATCTGTTGTCCATCAATCCATCTCAACGCGCCTTGTGGACTGAAACCAATTGATGGCAAGCGTTTCGGGTATTCAGCGTCAAGGGTAAAACCACCTCGTAAACGAGAATAATAGTAACCGTAAACCTAAACTCAAAACTATGTAGAGATCTAGATCTAATGATCTAATGTAGAGATCTAATGTAATTTTCATTTAAACCCACTTGTCCACTCGAAAACAACAATGTCAATCCACTATTTGGATCGTTAACAACAGCTTGCACAAATGAAGGAGATGATGGGAAAAGTTGACGCAATGAATAAACCTAATAATTACTTGAAAACTACCAGATCTTCTTTCTTTTCTTTCTTCTTTCTTCTTCCTTCTTTCTCTTGGGAAGTTAAGGTATCGAATAGGTCAGTGGTTAGAGTAAGTAAAAGTCTGGAAGCTGGAAGTCTGGAAGCCCAGCAAGCCCGGCAAGCCCAGCAAGCCCGACAAGCCTAGCAAGCCTAGCAAGCCTAGCAAGCCTAGCAAGCCTAGCAAGCCTAGCAAGCCTAGCAAGCCCAGCAAGCAAAAGGTCAAGGGTTCAATCCCTCCCTACTTGCCAATTCCAAATGCAATTACATGCCAATGCCAATCCTTTCTTTAATATTCAGTCTTTCTAGATATTCGGTCTTTCTAGATATTCGGTCTATCTATTATCAGATATTCTTTTATCCCAGAATAACGATAAAGATTTTGTAACGATGTAACGAAAAAGATTTTTGTTAATATTTTATCCTATACTTACTTTAGACACTCGTCGATTCACCAATTCATAAACTTTTGTGCCTTGGAAGAGATAACTGTTCCCATTATCAGCTGAATAATATTTGATTCCTTTTTCTCAATTCAAATTCACCTTTAGTGAAGCCATCAAGTCGAGTCGGGCAATCACCGCCAGAGCTGCCACTCGAGCCACCAGAGCTGCCACTCGAGCCACCAGACCAAGCTGAAAATGGATAGTTGAAAGAGTTTTTTGTACTTTGTGCTTGCCCATCAAAACACACACTTTTCAGTGTACTGAAGTCTTTAAGATAAAAGAAAGATGGGCAAAATATTGCTTTAAATAATACTTACAAGATCCTCCACGCGATCCAGATCCTCCATTTGATCCAGATCCTCCACTCGATCCAGATCCTCCACTCCATGGCCTCGATGTCGTCGTTTGATCATCATCTAAAATATAAATCAAATATTACATTACTAAGTTTAATCTATTATTCTAATCTTCTATATAATAAGATATTAATATATTAATATATTAATATAATCCTTTCTATATATTAATATATTAATATAATCTTTTCTATTAAGTTGTGAATGAAGCTTCAGCATTAGTTTAGCTATTTTTACATTTTAAAACAATTTTTTTAGCGTAAAAAGTCAAAAATTTATTTCACGGATCATTTGAAAATCATTGAATTTGTTATTCTAAAAGATTTCATTATTAAAAGATTGTTTTTTAAACTTACTCCCAAAGATTCGATCCCACCAATGCGATGATGATTTCGTGGTCGTTGTCGGACGTTGAGTGGTGCCTGGAGAACACCATTTACGGTTTTGATTCAGTTTATTTTAGTTTAGATCTAGATTAGCTTAGATCTAGATTAGTTTAGATCTTAGCTACCTTATCTTGTATCTTATATGTTTAGCTAGCTATCTTTAGCTATCTTTAGCTAGCTATGTAAGTTTTGAAAAATGCTATCCATTTACCCCATCCTCCCGAAGATCCCCCTCCATTCCAAGAAGATCCACCGCCGGAAGATCCACCGGAAGATCCCCCTCCATTCCAAGAAGATCCACCGCCATTCCACGATGAACTCCCGCCACTGCCACGACCTGAATAGCCATATCTTTACGTCTATTGTAAAAAGCTGTAATCAACTTTGTCAGTTTTTCATTTAATCAATTTCATTTTGATATTATTGAGTGAGTCTTGTGATTCCTTATCGAATGATATCAAAATTAAGCTGATCATTGGATCATTGGATCAACTGGATCATTGGATCAATTGGATCATTGGATCAATTGGATCAATTGGATCATTGGATCAATTGGATCAATTGGATCATTGGATCAATTGGATCAATTGGATCAATTGGATCAATTGGATCAATTGGATCAATTGGATCATTTGATCAATTGGATCAATTGGATCAATTAGATCAAAGTGAGAGTACGGTAGTTTCATAAAATAGATGTCTTTTAGAAAAGAAAGTAATTAAAAAAGACAAATCAGTCAAAACAAACCATAGATATCCTGGATTGCTTGAATGTCATCTTGTGTCAATTGTGGCTCGTTATAGTTACCATTTCTGTCAACGGTACTCTAGAAAATAGATCTAACGGTGATTGATCGAACGATAAACTTCATTAGGTTAAAAAGCCACTTGAATAGGTTCAAGTTGAGCTTGCAAACCTCAAAATGTTTGAAATAAGACAGTGCCGGGGTACTGTAGCTTGCAGTTGCATTTTAACAATCACCCACTTGATAGAAAGGTGCCATAATTGCTTTCTCATTCCTCGAATGGGATAAACCAATTGCGTGGCCACCCTCGTGAATGGCTACAGCTAACAGATCAGTGTAATCGTTGCTGTAAATATAATCGTGTAATTGCATAGCGTAATCGAATAAAATCTAGAGAATCGAATAATCTAGATAATCTAATCAAATCTAGAGAATCTAGATAATCAGATCTTTACCCAATCTTGTTTGCATCCCTATACGCCCAATTCTCGTCATCGTCAAAGTGGAGGATCCCGCTTTCGGGCATTGTCGCATGAGCAAGGACGCCACCTAAAATTTCCTTTGATATTCTTCTATTTTTAAGATCTTCTATTTTTAAGAACTTCTATTTAAGATTTCTTCAATTATTTTATTACGATTAAGTTAGAAATTAAGTTAGAAATTTAAGAACTTTACTTGATTCTAAGCTCAAGCCTTTAGCGGAACAAGCTTTACCTTCATTTACCTTCATTCACTTTCATTTTACCTTCATTTTACCTTCATTTTACCTTCATTTACCTTCATTTTAACGTAGTACAAGTAGTGTGTTAATTGTGTTAATGTGGCAAAAAATGTGTTAATTTTAATGGGTCTTATTTCGATTAATAAAGTTTTGTTTGGATCAAGTTATGGGATTTTAAATATTCGAGTTTAAAACGCCACAATTATTTCCGGACAACCTAATATTATCCAAAGATATCCAAAGATATTCAAAGATATCCAAAGGTATCGAAAGATATCGAAAGATATCGAAAGATATTCAAAGATATTCAAAGATATCCAAAGATATCCAAAGATATTCAAAGATATCCAAAGATATCCAAAGATATCCAAAGATATTCAAAGATATCCAAAGATATTCAAAGATATACAAGTATTATTCAAAAGTAATTACATAAATTAAGCTAGATTTGAAAAGAGAATTCAATATTGCACAGTTTTACAGCTTTTCGGATTTTTTACTTCAAGAATTAGCGAGATTTGACCGCCGAAAGTTCTTGAGATTCGCTACCTCCCGACCTACCTCCCGATCAATAAAATACTTCAAATTAGAATAAAATAAAAACATACCTTGTCCATCAAAACTCCAAGGATCTCCATGGTCACGGACACCAAATCGGACCTGAAAAATAGCGCTTATCAGAGCTGTACCGAGAGAGGAAAGAAGTACATCGCTGGCATTCTCCTCTCGAGATACAACCGCAAGAGAAAAGTCAAGAGAAAAGTTTTTTAAACAGATTTCTCTTAGTTTACAATACCTGTTTATAATACTAGTTTATAATACTAGCTTATCATACTTGTTTTTACTTACTTGTTACTTGAAAACACGTTGATCTACCTTAATATCACCTCCAGAAGAGACTTCTCTGAACTCTAGCGGTGTCACCGCCGCCCATTTAGCATAAGCCTCCGAAATGGCTCGTCTAAATCACAATGCTTAGTTTAAAATTTAGAATTTTAACACTGAAAAGTCTTTGTGATCCGGTAATGGCTGTCAATCCAGTAATGGCTGTCAATCCAGTAATGGCTGTCAATCCAGTAATGGCTGTCAATCCAGTAATGGCTGTCAATCCAGTAATGGCTGTCAATCCAGTAATGGCTGTCAATCCAGTAATGGCTGTGAAATTCCCTTTTCTCTGACCTCACTTGATCCCTGGGCAAATCGGAGGAGAAATTCTCGATCGAGTACGTCAATGACGTTTTCTTCCATTTGAAAGCAGCACCTAGGGAATTGGAATTGGAATTTGAAATGTTTAATTTACTATTTAAGTTTATATTTATAATATTGATCAATATATTGTTCTTATTTGATGCTCTTATTTAATGTTCTTATTTGATGCTCTTATTTAACGTTCTTATTTAATGTTCTTATTTAATATGTTTACCTCCATCAGTCACCGCTAGAACGTCCATCATTCCGCACCGGGGCTGTGCCATTTTTTGCTTTGTTTGATCGTCGAGCTCTCCAGTTCGCCGCAAGCCAGCGAAATCTTGGAATTTCCTAGAAAATCATTGTTTTGGATGACTAATAATCTAAAAGCTTCTTTTTTTCAAATCAAACAATCCAAGACTCACAAGATAGCCGACTTCAGAATATCTCTGGCTGAAGACAAATCAGCGGAAAATCCCCGACCTCCAGGTGCAGCGTTCAACGAGTTTCCCACATTCACGTACCCGAAATTGTTCAAATATTTCTAAAAATCTATACTTAGATAGATATGGATTACTTTAATCTTTTAGATTTAGATCGATTTAGATCGATTTAGAGCTTTCTCTATACCTTTGCATCATCCTCACTCACAGATCCCCGATTTCCGGGAGTGCGAATGTTGGAAGAGCTCGAACTTGAGCTTCCATGAGCAATATCTGAAAGCATATTTAAATTTAGATATTTAAATTCAAATATTAGCATATATCGATCACTTTTATATAGATTTCATCAAACAAACTTTTCAAAAAGTCCAAAAACCCGGCCTCGGCTAGTCCAATGGCGCCGACGACGAGCAGCAAAAAGCGCATGCTGAAAATTGCTAACAAACTGTAAAGTTTTTCTGTTTTTATTTAAAAATTTCTTTCTTTTATATGAATTTGATTTACAAAATGATCCTTTTAAAATAAAATAAAAGAAGAAAATAAAGAAAATAAAGAAAATAAAGAAAAGTGATGGAAAGGAGATCCTTGAGAACTATAGATCGATTCAAAAGGCATTTTCGGATGGAAAAACAAGGATTCTATAAAAAACAAGAGCGAATTGTTGTAGAATTCTATAAATTCTACAACAATTCGGTTGTAGAATTTATAGAATTTATAGAAAAAGATGAATTTTGCAAAATATGACTAAAAAAAAGGAGTGTAGCCAAATTTCTGTTAAAATTCTGAAGTAATCATTGAAAAGATGTAGAAAAATCGAATTTTTCACCGTATTACTCGCAGAAAATGTATCAAAAACACTAAATTTTATCTAAAAAGCTCAAAAACTTTCCTGGAGACTCATCATTTTCAAAAAAAGAGAAAAAAAACAACACGGACTCATTGGATGAGCCACCCACAAATTTGGCAAACTCTAGGCGAATTGTGAGTCATTCAAATTGAGAAAAAAAATGAAAATAGACAACTCATTTGAAGAATGAATATCAAAAGATGTCAAAAGATGTCAAAAGAAAACTTTTTAATTTTATTTTGATTTTATTTTGATAAAATCTCCAAATCCAGAGAGCTCTTCAAGGTCATTTCTTGAGTTTTTTTTTCTCTGTTTATTGCAAATGATAGCTCGATTGATCTGTTTTATTTTTGGGATTAAAAGAATCAATCGGAAATGATTAAAAGAATCAATTGGAAATGGAAATGATTAAAAGATAGAAGATTAGAGTTACCGTAAATACTGTAATAGTACCCCCATAATGACGTACCCATCTCCATAATGACGATGCGGAGTATTGCGTAGTCTAGCTTTGAACGAGGTTTTTCTCGACACTGGTTTATGCTACAATTATCGCTTAGGTATCAAAAAATAGCTGAAATTCTTTGTGCTCTTTGTGCGGTCGCGCAATCGCTCGTCGTCTGGCGCAGGGCTTTTACACAACCCCCTTCTCTCTCCCTTCAACAAGCTAATCTGGTCGCCTCCGAATCTTCAAATTGAGCCTTGATGGTTGGACGCTCCTAGATCCACTCATTCATAATCGGCTACGACATATATACCGCAAATACTGCAATAGTACCCCATCCCCATAATGACGGTGCGGAGTATTGCGTAGTCTAGCTTTGAACGAGTTTTTCTCGATACTGGTTTATGCTACAATTAGCCCTGAATTTCAGCTATTTTTTCATACCAAAGACGCATTTTTTGAAAGTACGGGCGCTTTGAAAAAAATGAAATACTAAAAAACGTTTGCGACTACGCGACTGTACGACGGAGCAATGGGGTACTATTACAGTCTTTACGGTAGCAAACTTTCCCGATGTAGGGTCTCGGGTAATTAAAATAAACTTTAAAAAATCGTTTTACACAAAGAGAGCCTATAGTTTTTTGTGATTTATTAAAAATTATTGAGTCTAATTGACTTCTAGAACCAATATCACGTAAACAAAAACGTCAGAAAGTCAGAGATCTTCGTTTCCAAGCTTATGCGACTGGGCGACTTTTTCAAAGCTTTTTTTAAAGTTTATTTTAATTATCCGAGATCCTACATCGGGAAAGTTTGCTACCGTAAATACTGTAATAGTACCCCATTGCTCCGTCGTACAGTCGCGTAGTCACAAGGGTTTTTTAGTATTTCATCGTTTTTCATAGCACCCGTACTTCCAAAAAATACGATCCCAAGTTCGTTGTCCAGATTTTTGACTGATTAGTCGCCCCTTAAAGGCCCATAACTTTGTCCAGAGGTAATATTAGTAATAACTTTTTCGATAGTTTTATAGAGGAGACTTCTTTCTTTGAAATGATACAAAATAGAGCTTTATCGGATCATCCAATCACTTGAAAAGCGAATCCAACTTGATCAAAAGAGATCGGTTTGTTGTCACTTGATTTTCATGGAATTGAATAATCAGAATAACCTCTAATTTGCCGCATTTTAAGGCCTAGAGTGTCCTCTATAAAACTATATAAAAAGTTAACAAAAAAACATATAAAAGTCTCTAGAATAAGCTCTCTAAAATAATATCTCTAAAATAATCTCTCTAAAATGGACCTCCAAAGCGTGACCACTCATTCAAAAGTCTCTAAAATGAGCCGGGCAGAAAAGGCCCCATGACCGACTGGCTAAGGCCCCTAAATCCCGGTCGGGAGATCAAGGGTTCAATCCCGTTCACCAGATGCCTCGTTCTTTTTTTCCTATCTATAGATGATTTTTTTTCCTACATTTAGGGCTTAGGGGTTGTTTGTTTGTACCACATTATTCGTATCAATAAAACTATATGACTAGAGCCTTTCTTTTCTCTTACCTATTCATCATTGACGCAATTGCCTCAAATCCCGAATTCCTCAAACCGTTGCCCTACCCCGCTTGTCCATTCAGAAAAGCAATGAGAAATTTTCGAGGGAAAAAAGTTTTGTTTCCAGTTTCCAGTTTGGATTCAAGTGATAGTACAGCTGCTTCGATGCCGAATTTTGAACTGTTTTCATTTATTAATCAAAGCCAACTCCCAAAGACAAGTAAGCAAAGAATAAATGACGGAAAACTAGGATTATATCCTAAAACCGGTTCATTTTCAACCGAATTCTCGCATCTCTATGCAAATTTTAGTTGATGAGTTCGCAAAGAAAAACCTTTGAATGAGAAAGGTCAAAGATAAGAATTTATGGAAATGAGAAAATGATCTCAAATCTCAATCGGATCTCAAAAAAACAGATTGAACTTTTTTAAGTCTTAAAAGCAGCTTTCCTCGAAGAAGAAAAAGCTTTATAACTTTTCTTTAAAACAAATTTTTCAAATTTTATATTAGATTTGAAAAGGCTGACATTTCCAGAATGGTACCAGCAAAAATCGTCGAATGGTTGAGCAATATTCTGATTTGGTTTTGTTCTTTGTGCGTTCACGTAAACGCAAACTTTCTGACAACTTGGGTAATTAAACCGGCAGCGAGGACTTTCCGGCAGTCCCTATCCGGAGCCGTGTGCCAGAGGCCGTTTTTTCCTATAAGAGACATGAAGAGAACGCACAAAACTTGGGTAATTAAACCGGTGGTGAGACCCTTCCAGCCTTCAGGTGAGACCCCATCCGGAGCAGTGTGCCAGACGCCATTTTTTTCTTATGAGAAACATAAAGAGAACGCACAGCTGGAAATATCAAACGTTTACCCATTAAATATTTCAAATTTTAAATATTTTTATTTTTTATCGGGAAAGACGCAAGTCTTATAGTATTTTAGACGATAAATTCTTTTTGTCGATGTCCGGTTGTAGATTTTCTTCTTTGTCGGGCTCTTTGTGAGCGAACTGAATGATGAGAAGTACGGGAATGGGTTGAGCTTCGACGACTGAAACTCTTTTTTTTAAAAAAATGATTTATATAGTCTGGTTTTTTTAAAAGCTACCGTAATTCCATTGCACCGAACATTCGAGATTCTTCCTTTAGCCCTAACTCCACAGTCTTTCTTTAACTTTCCAACTTACATAGTACTTCGCATTTGATCGGGCATACATTCCTCATAAAATTCATCCAATATTGCATCCTCATATGATGGTGGAGGTGAAGTACCGCAACTCTGCGCTCCACCTTCAGAGTAGAGTGGAGGAGCTGGCGGCTGAAAATTCGAGATTTATAACTACCGTAATGTCTGTCTGTCTGTCTGCTTGTCTGTCTGTCTGCTTGTCTGTCTGTCTGTCTGTCTGCTTGTCTGTCTGTCTGTCTGTCTGTCTGTCTGTCTGTTTGTCTGCCTGTCTGTCTGCCTGCCTGTCTGTCTGTTGTCTGTCTGTGTCAATTTTTGTATGGATTCGACACATTTTGCGCCACAACTTTGACGATCGATTTCTACCACTTCCTAACATCCAATTCAGTTCATTTTTTTTAAATGTAGCTGAGACTCTACGCTACGTTTAAAAAAAACGAATACGATACGAATTTCATGTTATTTTCATTTCAATCGAATCGAATTACAATTTCATGTTTTTAATTTTTTGAAAGATCAAAAGTACCGACGCGAGCGGGAGTCGAACCCGGGTCGTGTGGGTTAGAGACAACGCTCGCACTGCGCCATCTACTAGAGCATGGTCGAGTGGTTAACGCACGCGTCTTTAGAACCAACGAAAGAAAGAGGCCGCGGGTTCGCCGCGGTCTCGCCGCGAATTCTTTTGCTTTTTGTTCCAAAAATTCCAAAAGCAGCGAAGCTGTTATTCTAATAGAAGGGTGCCTCCTGAGCCCTTGAAAAATCAATTTTTCCGTGAATAGGTCAATTTGGATCAAGAATGGAATAATATGCCATCGGCAGTAAAATTAGAAATGTGATTTTTGAAAAAAATTGAAAAATAATTTTTCAGTTTTGAATTGCAGCAAGCATCCAGTACCCAACTGACCGTAGTTTCTGTTTTGTTATTGTTATCGATGAGATTTGTCTCTTGTGCTTGTCGCTTCGCCGCGGCTGCAGCCAATTTTCGAGCCCTTCTTGCGTCTCTCGCTTCTGCAACTTTCATAAATAAACTTCTTTAATCTTTTTGCACAAATTACGGTAGAGTTCTCATCGTCACTCACTCTGAATTGTGTTGAAGTTCTTCTCCCTTAACCTTTCAGTGATTCTCTGCACAACACGTCTCGTTCTTCTCATTTCCACCACTTTATCCAATTCCCATTGTTTGCATTTGTTGATGCCGATAAGCATTGCGACAACCATTCCTGAACAGAAAGGTTTATATTATGAGATGTGGTATCATTAAGAGGAATTTCTTGACACTGAATGCAAGAATGCAAATCAATTATCCAGTTTGAAACTTGTATATCCGTTCAAAATTCATGAGTACTTCACTTTAAAGCTTAAACAAAACAACGAGTGTGGTTTTTTTTGGCAGTAATCCTCAACTTTCAACAACACTCACCAATACAAAACAATATTGTCGGCAAGACTATCGATTTCATAATTTCGTCTGAAGGCACCATAAAATCCTGATTCATCGACATGATGAAAGGATGAAGAAAAATTGAAGCAGCAATCTTGTCAAATATTGTTGTGAAAAGGAAAAGACTTGCAATAGTCTTGAATATTCGTTGAGTAGTTTATTGAGGGTGGGAGGCCAAAAATCGATAGCCGCCGCGGGGGCCCTTTGGGAAAAAATGTGGGGAGAGACGAATTAGGACAAGGAAAAGAGGAAAAAAGGCTGACTCGAAAGCTTAAAACCACATTGAAGACACTAACAAAAGCGCTAAAAGGAAACTAAAGGCCGTTGAAATGTGAAATGTTGAAAAATAAAGATTTACATCATCAACTGAAAATTTTGTTGTTGTGGTTTCATCTGATTCACTTCACTTTAACATTTTCTCTCCATGTCACTTATTTTTAATTGTGTTTTTGTAGTTGTAATGCTTCCATTGACAACCTACTTTTATTATACCTCACTTCATCAATAAATATCAAAATCTCAAAATCTACGGTATCAACTAGATGTTCAGTCACCCGTTGTGAAAATAACATTCAGAAAAACAAAAATTCAAATGAAGAAAACATTAACAAAGCGTCTAAATAAAAAAACAAAAGTTTAATGTTGTTGTGGCGACTTGGCAGCTTGGACGGCGGCGGCTGGACCGAGCAGAAGCTGACGTTGTTGAGCAACCTGAAACCAAGACGATTGATAATCGGGCACTTTTGCTGTTTATCCCCGCAACCGCATAAAATTTTTTTTTGTGGTTTGGGTGGGGGCGGACAAACGGCAAAAGTACCGATAATCGTTAAGAAAGATTTATTACCTAAAGTTAATTCCCAAAAAACAACCATCCACTTTAAGAAGCTAACTCAATTACTCAATTCGCAAGTAACTACGAAGATTGAAAAATTCAGGATGTTCTGATTTAACACTTCAAGAGCGCTCTGTTTATCTTTTGTCAACTACAATAAATAAAGTAGATAAATTATAATACCTGTGTCTTTTCAAGGTCGCTTCGTTCTTTCTCAATGATGTACGGCATGAAGAGAATCAGTGACGATGTAGCAGCTATCCAGACGGCATTTCTTGTCTAAAACAACATTATAACCAACGATAAATTTGCTTACGAGTGTTAAGAAGTAAACAAGAAAATTTAACTAACAAAATTTTCTCTTAATGCACCTCTACAAAGTGGCAAAATAAATCTGGCAGTAGCTGCTAAATATTAAAGCTCAATAATTTAGGTGTAACTGTAATTCAAAGCATGATCTCTTACTAGCAGTTGTATACCCACTTACTTTATCCTACTATCACAATAGAATGAACCTTTAAAAACTTACAAGCCAGAACCCAGTTGAAGCCGACCACTTCGTCCAGTCGACAGTACCGGTGACGAACTTTTGAAGAAATGATGGAAACATCTCCGAAAGACCTAAAAAGAAAACAATCATTCAATAGAAACGCTAGCTTTTCATCCGCTAAAGCAAATGTAAAAACCAAACTTGCTTAATGGCAAACTAAATATAAACCTTTGACGTACACCTATCCAGCCAAAAGTCATATTTTAATAACGTATTTTCAAATGAAATTAGCTAGGCAACTATAAACTAAAAAATAGATTAACCATTATCTATTGAACTGAGTAGGTAGTTAGGAAGTATAGGCAAAGGAAAAACTGTATCAAAATACAAACCTTCAAATCTTTCCCACAAAGTTTCCTCGAGCTCCTCGTCAGGCACGTGCTCCCAGTCAATGGCGCTCATCTAAATCAATAAAAATTAGCAAAACTGAAAATAATGTTAAAAAAGAAGTGAAAGAAAGAAAATAACTAAACAATGACAATTCATAAAATCATGCAAAAATTAAAGAATTGCATCAATGACTTTGAAAGAATTTCTCTTCTTGAAAAGCAATAAATAGTGCACTTAGCCTACCGTACATCACTACGCGACGCAACCCGAACACTACTGTGTCGCCTTTTCGAAGCATTTTTTCGCTGCGAATTTTCATTTTTACGGTTTATTATTCTTCTAAGAGGTTTGACGTTGGAATTATTTTAGTTTTACTTTAACTTTGGCTATTCCTATGCTAACATGAGAATTAAATTGCCTAAATTTTACCGCTAGGTGAATTTTTTGTCATCATTGAGCCACTTCTCCAGCTTTTGACTACTACCATTAAATCAGTCCTTGAAACAGTTTGTCTTTTTGTTTTTCTTTATGATCGTTTACCTTATCTTTCAAATTTAATCTTTTTGTGTTCAGGGTACAAGATGGGACGTCGTATTCGAGTCCAGCGTAAAGGAAAGAGTGGAATCTTCAAGGCTCACACTCACCACCGCAAGGGAGCTGCCAAGCTTCGTGCCATCGACTATGCCGAACGACAAGGATACATCAAGGGCGTCGTAAAGGACATCATTCATGATCCCGGACGTGGTGCTCCTCTTGCCATCGTTCACTTCCGCAATCCATACCGCTACCAGACGATCAAGAGCACTTTCATCGCCGCAGAGGGAATGCACACTGGCCAATTTGTCTACTGCGGAAAGAAAGGTGAGCTTAACTTCATTTATTTAAGTTTCATTTAGACCAAAGATTTAACCAAAGGGTTAAATCTTGTCAAATTTTGCACGTTTAGTAAAGAGTATGGTTTGATAATTGTTGGGTTAATTTTTGCTCATTAATAATTTGTTTATTTTAGCCCAAGTCCAAATCGGAAACGTTGTCCCAGTTGGAGAGCTTCCCGAGGGTACCGCCATTTGCAACATCGAAGGCAGAACTGGTGATCGAGGAGTGCTTGCCCGAGCCTCAGGTACATTTATTTGCAATTTTCATTCAACGTTTATACTTCTAGGAAACTATGGAACAGTTGTTGCCCACAACCCTGACACTGGAAAGACCCGTATCCGCCTTCCATCTGGAGCCAAGAAAGTCATCGCTTCCATCAACAGAGCCATGATTGGTATCAAAGCCTTTTTTGTCAATAATTATTATTGAATTTTTAGGCCTCGTTGCCGGTGGAGGCAGAACAGATAAGCCTATGCTCAAGGCCGGAAACTCGTACCACAAGTACAAGGCGAAGAGACACAGCTGGCCACGAGTACGAGGAGTTGCCATGAACCCAGTTGAACATCCCCACGGAGGAGGTTAGTTTAAAATTTGTGATTTTGATTACGTGGTATCGTGATATCTACTGTTTTGTACCTTATACTAAACTACTTTTTTAGGTAACCATCAACACATTGGACATCCTTCAACCGTTGCTCGTGGAACCAGTGCCGGAAAGAAAGTTGGTCTTATCGCTGCTCGTCGCACGGGAAGAATTCGCGGAGGAAAGGCCATCGCTGCCGGAAAAGACGAGGGAATTTAATTTTGTTGTTAATTTATGTTGCATAAAGATTTTGTTATAATCTTTTGATTCTACAATTATAAAATCTTTACCCTGGGTGCACTGAGTTGTAAATGACATAACATACTCAATTAAAGCAATCGAAAAAGTTCCGTTTCAAGATTTATAATGAATCAGAAAGATGTCGGGTTGACATATTAAGTATTTATTACGACGTGATCGCCAGCTATCGATAGTCGCACTTGGGCTTCATGCTGTTGTCGCAGCTTGTGCGGGCGAACCACATTTCCGTGACACCTAGATTCTTTCATTGACTTCCCGCAAAAGGGGGCCGCTTTTATTGTTGAAGAAACCGGTAACATGAAAACAAGATCAAGTTTTCCCACCAAACAACAGCTCCAATTATTGCTGCAATAACCATAACGATGAGAGTGAACAAAATCAGAAAAGAATTCAGTCCATCCGGGTTCATCGCTCTGAATCGTATGTTTGATTTGTATAGTGTGGTTTAAAAGAAATTCGAGGATTAAACGGATTTCGATTTAGCTTGAGAGTTTCAAAGAAACTAAAGAATAAAAACGAAAGTAGCCCTTTGTGTGTTCGTAATGTGATAGACTTTAAGGAGAGAATGGGCATGGGGAGACAGACAGCTGCTCTGCCGTCTCCGCCCTTCCCTCTTGGCTTAAGGGGGCTTTAGAGGGGCACAAAGGAGGGACACTCACTCCACTGCTGCTATTCTCCATTGGGATCGTGCATATTCGACGAGAAACATCCTAGTGGCATTCAGTGCTCACAAGATATAGAATGAATATGAAATCACAATTGATCATATCAATTCTATACACGAAAGACGGTTACCCCGCGAATCTAACGGAAAATAATAAATCAAATCAATCATTATAGCGGCTATAGCAAGAAAGAGGGAATACAAAGTGGAGCTCTGTCCCTTTTATCACACAAAAGATCTTTATAGGCGATGAAAGAGAATCAGTGATATTCAAAAATCAAGGCATCAGATAAGCTTTCAATGTTTCAAAGAAAAGGGCCACTTTTCTGCACACATCCGCAGGCAAAAGGTTAAAGGAACAATCTGACAACAAATTTGATAAGCTTGGGCAAGAGAAGCAGGACGGCGATGAAACTTAGAAGGATGGGAAGATGTCACCAGTCACCAGCGTCTCCGCGAACTCCTTCATCTCGTCCCACATTGACTGCTCCTTTATTGTCGCATCTCCAGTGATCCATTGATCTCCGTAGTTCGGAACATATTACTGCTGAAAATCGTAAACACACTCTTTCTGGTGCACTCGATTGTTTATCTTTCTCGTTTTTATAGCATAAAGATTTGAGTATAGCAGAAAAGGTGTGTTTCCGTTTGTTTGTAAATACTTGAACATTAAAATTCACCTCTCTATACAAAAGATTTTTTTTGTTTCAGTTACATAGAGCATAGAGGAAACTGTCATTCTAAAAAAGATTTTTCTTTTTAGACTTACGTTGTCTGAATAAAAGGCTCGACTTTGAAGATTCATCCGCGGATCATCGACAAAAGAAGCCAACCCACTCGACAAAAACGGCATCGACTTCAGAGGACTCCAATTCCGAGTCGGATATGAAATGTACAGCATACTTTCTTGTAAATTTTTCAGTTAATTTTTAGATTTAAACTCTTTACGTCGACCGATTTCAACGCCAGAGTCGACAACAAAAGATGGAGGTGAATCGAACGATGGAAAACCAATAAAGAGGCGAACAAATAGGTTGGTTTGGTGAAATTCATTGAATGTATTTTACCTAAATGGTCAAGATAAAGCAGCTATTTTTAGTTTCATAGTTGACGATGATGAGATTGGGTCGCCACTGGACAAAATTGAGGACGAGGATGATGAATCGGATCAGTCAGAAGAACCTTTTGACGATGAAGACGAAGGAAGTGATGCCGAATCGGTCGTTGAAGTGAAAAAACGGGTTATTGATGACAAGAAGACGCCAGTCGGTACGTTATTTTGTTCCTTAACGCTTTTCTCGTTAAAGCACTTCTGTTGCAATTAATATGTTCTTAGGCAAAGTTCCGGTTGCGCTATTAAAGTCTACCTTCTCCAGTCCTTCCATGAAAAAACCAGCGGTTGGTTACTCATTCTTGCAAATAGCTAATTTTGTTTTTTAGATTGATGGAAGCGAGCATTTTCTCATCTCACTGAATGAACATTACAAATACACGAGACATTCGCCGAGAAGTTTATAGACAAAGATTTCAAGGTAAGACTTTTTAAGAAAATTCGAGCTAGTTTGAACTTTTAGAAGAATCGTGTTGAATTGGCAAAGTCCGTCTTCAAACATGTGAAGAGCAATTTGCCCGAAGATTTGCCGATCATTTGGAATCCACGACTACGAAAGACGGCTGGTTTTTGCAGGTAATCGTTAGCTATTGTAAAGAGAACCTTTTAAACTTTTAGGTACAAAAGACAAAAGGGCGACGATTTCGTGTCAATTGTGAGAACGGTTACTGTCGAACTTTCCACAAAGGTTATCACCGAACCAGGTAAATGTTTGATGGGATTTCTTTCATGGATAAACGTTAGAAAGGCTCCGAGACACGCTGATCCACGAACTTTGCCATGCTGCCGTTTTTCTCGTTGACAAAGTCGAGGGGGATCATCATGGGCCCTATTGGAGTAAATGGTTGGTTTTTATGGGCTATTAAACATCTGTTAAGCTATAAATTTTGCGCTTTTTAGGGCAAACATCTGCATGAAGCGTCATCCAAAACTTCCGTTTGTCTCTCGTTGCCACAACTACGAAATCGTCGCCAAATACCTCTACTTGTGCAATGGATGTGGGCAAAAGTGAGCGGCTTTGGTTATTGTGAAATTGGCAATTGTAGGGTCCGACGTCATTCAAAATCTCTGGACATCAGCAAGAAAATTTGTAGAATATGCCAAGGGCGTTTTGAGCTACAGGTAAGCTTTTAGCTGAAATCCTCATAATTATATTATCTTCAGGTACTAACGAAGGGCGAATACAAGCGACGGTCGCTCACCACAACACAAAGCCCCAAAAACACATTCGCGAAATTCGTCAAACTGCACTATTCAACGGTGAAGAAACCCGGTGTTGCGCAGAGAGAGGTTGATTTTTCTTCTTGAACTTTCTTTATTCAGGTGATGCAATTGTTGTCAGCCAAATGGAAAGCTGAGAGACCGAAAATGGAAAACGATAAAAAGAGCCCTAGTGAGGGCTTCAAAATAAATTTTGATGAGGTATTGTTTGGGATGATTGTGACGTCGAAAATCTAGGGATTTGGCTTTCCTGTGCTGGACACAGACATTTACTATCAGTTAGAATGAACCCAATCTTAAATTTAGCTTTCGGTCGACGAAAATGAGGCCCCAATAATGCCCAGCTCTTCACTCGGACTCTTCCGATGATGATTCAGATAATCAAGAAGTGTCACTCGATATCAGTGTCATACCTATTATTGATTGATCTGACTTTTTTGTTGCTTATGATTTATCGTTTTCTTTTGACTATTTTATTTCCCAGTTTATGTGTCTCTTTGCCGATTCAATTGAGTTATTGTGATATGCAGAAACCTTTCTATTCCTTTATATTGCCATGTCTTTTTGTTCAGCTAGGTCTTCAATAAATTAGTTTAACTTAGATCTAAAGCTTGAGCTTCTAGGACTATGCCGGATTGATTTGTTGGTGAGAATAGACATTGACTAACAAAATTTTTGAAAAAATATTGACAGGCGGCTGATTTTTGCTTATTTTACCTCTTAGGAACTTGAATTATGTTATCTTTTTGTATTGTTTTTTTGAGGTTCAGGCTCAAATTAGACATTTCTCCACAAAGATGAATAACGAGTGTCTTATGACTATGCAAAGTTGCCACAGAACAAGATGCTTTGAACGATGAATCACTAAAGCTAAATGTAGCTACTTAACGCTTCACCAGTGAGGATGAGTTTAAATTGTGCTCTTCAAGTCGTTGTCTTCTTGCTTTTGCAGTAATTATTGTGATTACCAGTGATTATTGTAAACTCATTTATTAACCAGAAAGATATAGTAGTGGAGATTTCACTCCATTGCATAACGAAAATAAGACATATAACTTGAACTTGAAAAAAAACTCGACTCAAATGCGAACGGAACGTTCGGCTTCCTCTCCTTCATCTGCTGGCCTCTTCCGAGCTAAAAACAATTCAGAATATTTTTTGAATAAATTAAATAAACTTACGGTTTTTTTCAAGGTCGTCAAGCCTTTCCCTGATCTCTTTGATGTATTTATCAAGGGCTTGCTCGTTCACGAGGGCATTCTGGTTTGATTTGATGGCGTCGTCGTTCATCACCTGGTCTCTGGCTACGCCAATATTCTTCTCCGAATCCCATTTGGTGAAATATTGGTCCAATTTGCCTCTCAACGTTTTCCTTTGATTGGCGTTCGGATCTCCTGAGCGTGAAGTACGTGAATCCTTGACCTCGACCTGGAATTAATAGGTTTTTTAGTTTTTAATCAAAATAAAGGTTGTTTGTGTTATTAGTTGCAAATAAAAATAATTACCCTGAAATCGACAATTCGCAATTCCTTCACCAGATCGTCTCTTTCTCTTCCATCGTTGATCTCTTGTTCCGTAGGGGGACGTCCGACAAATCCATGGTTACCCTCATTGTTTATCACATCTAACAAGCGTAACAACCATCGAAGCATCATCAGCTGATTGTCCGCTGCTGCTTGATCCCCTGGATTGACATCTGGCTTTCGAAATTTGGCGTCTAAACTAGGTATATTTCATTGAAAAAGTTGAGAAAATTAACCTTCAGAACCCTCTTCAGCACGCATCCGAACCTCGGAATTTCCCTCAGCTGTGTAGAAACCATTGACCAAATTAGCAGATATTACGATTAAAATAAAAAAAGAATCTTACTCATGTTTGTTGCCAAATATAGGCATCCAGATCGAAGTGCATCCGGTATAATGAACACTTTGTCCGCTCCGATCCCCATCAAACCGAATAGCTTATATACGAACAGTTCTTTCAAATCGACGGGTTCCTTCTTATTGGAAGCACCGCCGGATTTCCTAGGGGTGTCGCCCATAGTCTTTACATAGTAAGACTCAGTTTGACCGTTCGAGCCCTTTACCTCAACGATATAAGCACGCTAAAGTTAAGTACATTGGCATAGTTCGGAGAAAAAACGAATTTACCTGCATCCCAGTCCCCCTCTGTGGCGAAATGGTATTCACTTCCTTGTCGCGAAAAACCTTTTTTGAAGTACTAGGTTGGTGCAAATGAAATTTCGTTTTTTTACAAACATTAAAGTCATCCAAAATTTTTTTTGATAACAATTTATTTAAAACAATAAGCACCATTATTATCTATGACATCCCTCCAACGTTGCTACAGATTGCGGATCCCCTTCTCAAAGAACGCTTGATTCTGTGATGCAAAGTAGTTGGTCACCCAATTTTCGACTTCTTTTGCATTCTTAAACTGGCAATTCTCAAGGGAATGTTGCATCGATCTGAAAAGGTGAAAATCGGAGGGTGCTAAGTCTGGACTATACGGCGCATGTGGTAAGACCTTCCATCCTAGCTTCTCTAGTTCCTTGGAGCAAGATATGGCTGATCGGAACGCGTGCTCCCAGATTCTCAACACTCAATTGATGTGGAACCCATTATCCATTACGATTTGTCTTTCCAATTATTTCCAAATGGCGTACAATTGTTGAATTGGAGATGTTTGGCAAGTTCTCGTGTTGTTTGCATTGGATCAGCTTCAATTCATTGTTGTCGATGGCTGTGGCACGATGTCCATGCGATTCGTCTTCAAGGGATTCATTACCATCTCGGAATAGGGCAAACCAGAGCTGGCATGATCTTTCGGTGATAACCTGTTCTCCAAAGGCGGAACAGAGATCACGATGTGAATCAGCAGCGTTTTTGCCCATTTTGAAGTCATAGAGAAGACACGTGCGCAGAACATACTTTTGATCCACCATGATCTAAAGCAAAAATCAATTAAAAAGTGAAAGCTCTGACTTTGAAAAAATGCGAAAATAAAGTAAATATCCAAGAGTACAAATGCACAAAAGAACATCAAATAAGCTCTTCAGATTAAAAAAATAAGAACATTTTATATCGACCGAAATTTCTTTTGCACCAACCTAATAGGTCTCAACAGCACTTTTGAAATAATCTTCTACGTTGAGGAGCCACCAGCCGAATCTCGCGCCCCTTTCGTCACGTTCGGCGATGAAGTCGGGATATGCGACGAAGAAATTTGAATCATCGAGCGGTTTTAGTTGTTTTAGGGCTTGCTCAGCAACGCTCTTTTTTTGCTTCCTAAGTTCCTCCTCAGCTAAAGATGGGCCTTCCTTCTCGCGGTTGCTAAGATCCTCGTACGCGTCCGCTTTCATCAGATATCCCTCCCAATTGCCAAGGCGAGAATGTTTCTAAAAAAATAGATTTCGATACTTTCCAGCCATAAAACTTAATTGAAAACCTTGCCTAGACAGTGAAAAATAAAAGATTCAACTTACCACAAAAATGGTGCAGTCAGCTTCTATTCCAGCGGTTCCTTTCAAAGTACCCCCGAAATCAAGTTCCTTCTCGTTCAAAAAAACTCGTTGATATTCCGGAGCGATTTGAGTAACATCTAGGATTTTTTGCCTGAACGTCTCCATTGTTGCCTAAATAAAGGCCTTTAAAGATTAAATGAATTAAAAACAAACCTCTGCATCAATTTTGAACCCAGACTTTCCCACCGTCCCTTTGTGATCTTGCAAACGGACGTCGATCGTCAGACCCATGGCTTGCTTGAGATCTAAAAGATAAATTAATATGTTTAGAAAAGAATCGGAATGACGTGCAGAAATGTGAAATTGGAGGGAGGGGAAGGGAGTACTTTCAAAACGCGCTACAAAAACATTCTAAATTTTACGGAGGGGGAAGGAAACTTATGGGCGAGTCGAAATAAAAAGTCGCAGAACACCACACGACTCCACCACAAAATGGAGAAAAATGAAAAGAATGGCAAATGGGGAATTTTGTGCGGAGTACGGTAGGACATCCACGCTTTAGAAAGCGCGCCACACCACTTTCGCGTCAGCCCTTTAAACCGCACGTAAATAGGAACCTAACTACATGTTGACTGTAAATTTCCTTTTTGTAAATTAAAATGGAATGGGATTTCGGTGAGCGAGAAATTTGGCGTATGAAAAATGCTATGCGTAGGCGATAAAAAATGACTATTTTAAAACATATTTTAGGCTTTTTGCGTATTTTAGAGTTAAAAATAGCTAAAAAGGGGGTAAAAATTGAGTGCGGCATTTTTGGTATATGGGTGTGCCAGAGGCGGCATATATATGTATACTACTCTTATCGCGAGCTCGATAATCAATTCTAGTTAGAGCCCAATAAACGGGGCCTTGAAGATTATAAAACAGTAGAGTTAAATTTGTGTTATTAGGTTGTGAATTTGAAAGCGCTGTTTGAAATACGGGATCTGAGTTGGGACACCGCTTCTGTAATCTTTGATCAATGTCAACAACGGGAGCCATTCAAGATTTATCGAGCATGGCGAAAGTAAGCATTCATCTTTGCACTGGGATCTATTGTTCACTGTTTATTAAAACTTTGATGTTTAGTTGTGAGCAATGCCGCTCAAAACTATGAGTTGAATCACCGCGCAAAAGGACGAACCCATGCGGGCAAGTTTAAATTTATGTAATGGATTGTATTTGTTTGTTTTTAGGGGTGTCACTTTACAGCAGCACTAAGGGATCATTTCATGATGTCATCAATTCCCTGCTCGTCTATAAGTGGTTATCGTACACAACGAACCTCGGTTTCAGGGGCATTTTTAGGGGAATTACGCGATCTATTGCCAGCATTTGAACACTTCACTCACGGAAACATGATTGAATAAGTAGTTCCATTGTACATTCTTGTAAATATCTTTCTTACTGTTGTTTGTTTGTAAAATTTTGATTGTTATTGTCTAGGAGTTTGTCATTTTTATTGGAATAAATCGTTTTATCTCATTACCCAATCACGAGCAAAACGCTATTGCGACGTTTATTCTTTTAACCTGTCGATGATCTTTAGCTATCAAGCCGATATTTTAAATCTGTCTTGTTACAGTTATGAGGAGTTTCACATTATGCACACGATGGACCTTTTGGATCGCTCTTCGCCAACTTTGCATCAATCATCCAAGTTTGCCCACACCGATTATCAATAAGAAAAAGCGAGCCGTCGATGTCGCCGTAATTGGGGCGTCTAATGTCGGAAAGGTTTGTTTACCTAAATTACTATGGTCATTTAAAATGGGTTAAACGTACCAAATTCAATGGGTGAATTGAGCCAGGTGAATTTTCTTCCTTTTCTTTAAATAAAATCCAATGTCGCCTAGTTTATTTTCTCTATAAATTTCGTTCCTTATCTCTCGAAATTTGGTTACATATCTCTCTAAATTTGGTTCCATGTCTCTCTAAATTCGGTTCCTCATCTCTCTAAATTTGGTTCCTTGTCCCTCTCAATTTGGTTCCTTATCTCTACAAATTTGGTTCCTCATCTCTAAAAATTTTTTTTTGTAAATTTGATTTTTAAAAGTTGAATTAAATGAATCAAGCATTTACGGTAATGAATCTCAAATTTCAACTTGGCGGCTTTTGTCCAAAAGACACCAGAATACAGCTATGTACAACGAGCGACTGTGGTATTCCGTCATTTTATGACGAGTGTTTTTAGATTAAGGTTTAAGAGGAAAAAGGGTCAATTGCTCTAATATTTAGTCGGCGATACCCAAGAACTAATACATTGTTATAACAATTGAATCGATCTAATGGGAAATTCAATTATAAAACTTATACTAGAATTAAAGTTTTTATCACTCGATCAACTTTCTTCCCGATTTTCTTAATGCAAATTCGTTTAGTTCCCGCAAAAAATGGGATTCGAAGATGAACTTCCGCCGGATATCGTCCGCTTTTGCGGTTTCAACATGAATGGAACCGATTTTCGGACAAAGTGTGTTAGAAGAAAAGAAAAACTTGAGATTTGAATTGAAATGAAAAGAAAAGGCAAAATAGACATTGTTTCGAGCAAGTGATTTCCAAAATTTATCTTCAGATTTCTCTTGGACGAGCGATCGATGACGATCACTCCGTGCGCCGAATTCGGTCTAATCTCAATGCAATCAATCCCATTTCTCTTCTTTCTTGTCGTTAATATATGTCTCGTTGAGGTGAGGGTTTTAATATTTGGGGCTATAAGCCTAAGTCTAAGTCTAAGCCTGAGTCTAAGCCTGAGTCTAAGCCTAAGTCTAAGCCTAAGTCTAAGCCTAGGCCCAAGCCTAAGCCTAAAAATTCATTTTTAAAAGCTATTCAGCGTCATTTCCCTCGTTTCCAAACATCGAATATTTGGTGGTTGTTCGTGATGAAAATGTGTATCTCAATGTTTACAGCGATGATGTTATTCTTGATGATTTTGATTGGAACCTTTTCGTTGTACAGGTACGTTTTAGAGAATAACACTCTTTAAAAACTTTTTTTTAGGGTGAAAAGCGTGGTGATGATCGAGTATGGCATTTTGGGGATCTCGTGGGCGGTTGCAGGAATGACTTGGGGTCTCTCAGTGCATTATAACAGGTCTGGATTGAGTTGATGTTGAAATATACTGTAGCTAGTATTTGTTTTAACATTGGATAGATTAAAATGAAAATTTCTGCAGTTGGACGCGTACGAGAGCGCTGATCGTCACCGGGTTTTTCGCCTCCAAATGCACTTTTCTCATCGCGGCGAATCGGTAAGCGATTATTATGAAGTAGAATTTGTAGGATTTAAAAATTGATATTTAATTACTCATCTAGATGGATAATGTTCGGCTTTTTGGATATTCGTACCCTTCTCCCGTTCACCGTCGCAATCGCTCACATTTTGTATTCGATGCTGAACTTTGTCGAGTGGAGAATCAAGAGGTGGATAATTTTATCAGTTAGATTCTTTAAAAATGAACTCTTTTAGAAATTCTGATGCTTCAACGGGCCCATTTTCTCCATTGGATGGCCGTCCATCGGATTACATTCGTTTAGATCGAGATGCCGATGAGGAAGCGGGATTTTTCTCTAAAGTAAGCAAAAGTTAAAGAAAATCTCCTGTTTTCGCTAAATTGCTAAAAAATTTGAGTACTTTGTTGCTACAGGATGTCTAATTAAAAGCAAAAATCCTTTTTTTCAGCTGTTTTTCTGTTGGACGAATGCACTGGTGAAAAAAGGAGGGAAATATCAATTGAATGAGGTTGTTTTGATGATTTGAAAAGGAAATATTCATTCGAATTTTAGTTGGACGATGTTTTCAATCTCCCACCAACACTCCGTGTGTCGACAATTGAACGACAATTCGTCGAGAACTCGCCGACTTTCTTCTCCGATGCACAGCAGTTCTCGATCGCGAGGTCATTTTTGAGTTGATAGATTTGATGCTAAAGTAGAATGTTCTAGCTTTGTAGAATTTCGATTATGGTTTTTGAGTTCGAATTTCTATTGATATCTATCCATTTTCAGATCTCTTCTCTCCACTTTTGGCGTCCAATATTTCTCGTTGGCTATTTTACGAATCATTGCCGATGCTTTCAACTTTGCAAGTCCAATTCTTTTGCATCTTCTTGTCAATTCTTTGGAGGATACAAATCCAAGAGTGAGCTCAAGATCAGATCTCAAAAATGTTGAGTAAAGGTCTTAATAGACATTCATTGAAGAACTTCGGAAAAACTTTCTTACTCAATGTGATTTTTAAAGTTATTTTAGAGTCATAGCATTAGATTAAGATTACTGATTCTCTTTAAACGCACTTTTTAGAAAGCAATCTAATCACGAACTTTACGAACCTTTTTTAGAATGACAGTTTCCTCTATGCCTCTCTTTTGATCATTTGCTGCTTTGCTGGAGCGATTATCTTCACTCATTTCTCATATTATGTTGAAAAGGTAACTGAAACACTTAAATATTAAATTATTTTTCAATTCAGATTTCTCTAAAAGTGAGAGCGGCTACTGTAATCGCGATCTACGACAAATTGCTTAAAGTTCCTTTGGCCGAAATGTCCTCATTTTCGTCAGGTTTTGAAAAATGAAATTTTTCTAAATTATGTTTTCAGGGCAAATTCTCAATTTCATTTCAACGGACGTCGATCGAATTGTAAATTTCTGCAATTCCTTTCACGCTTTCTGGAATTTACCACTTGAATTGGTGATCACGCTGTATCTTTTGTATAGAGAGGTGAATTTTTTGATGTTCAAGTATTTACAAACAAACGGAAACACACCTTTTCTGCTATACTCAAATCTTTATGCTATAAAGACGAGAAAGATAAACAATCGAGTGCACCAGAAAGAGTGTGTTTACGATTTTCAAAAGCAATATAGAGAAAAATGGGTAATATTTAGGTTGGAATGGCGTTTATTTCTGGTCTTTTGGCAGCGATTATATTGATTCCAATAAACAAAGTGATCACATCGAAAATTGGGAAAATGAGTGAGAAAATGATGACAGCAAAGGATCATCGGGTTAAGGTTTCTTTTCTTTTCTTTAAAGTATTTCTTAATTATTTCTAAGTATTGATCATAAACATATTCTATTGAAGTTTCTTTTTGTATCTTTATATATGTTGTGTCCGATGTAGATTTCCGTCCGATTTAGATTGAAATTATCGCGGACGTCCGATTTAGATTCAATCTAAATCTTATATAGATTGAACAATAATACGTCTTATATAGATTGAACAATAATATAAACATGCTTAATATATGTTCTTAAGCGTTTTCTTTAGTTTTTAACTTTAATAGGATAATAGTAAGCATTTAATAAGAAAACAAGAAAACAAAAAATTCTCAAAAAAAGATAATAAAATTTCTTTGAAAAGCGCAGAGAATTGCAAAAAAACGCTTAAGAACATATATTTAGCACGTTTATTATTGTTCGATCTGTATCGGACGTCTGATATAGACTTTAATCAATAAAAGACCTTTGAAAATGCAGAAAACTACAGAAAACGCTTAAGAACATATATTAAGCATGTTTATATTATTGTTCAATCTATATAAGACGTATTATTGTTCAATCTATATAAGATTTAGATTGAATCTAAATCGGACGTCCGATATAGACTGTAATCTAAATCGGACGTCCGCGATAAGTTCAATCTAAATCGGACACAACATATATTTAGATTCAATTGCTAGATATTCTCAAATTCTTTGACTACTATCAATAATATAATGAGACAAAGAAAATGTTGACAGTAACTTTGAGTTGATTTAATGGCTCCCTTTCGAGTTTGTTAAAGAATTTGAGGTTTTAATTGACTTGGATTAGCCTAGAAATTTTGAAATCAACTTTTAAGCTGATAAACATTAAACAGAAACTAGATGAGCTAAGTTGGTTCACAAAATCGCTGAGAAAATTCAAGTCAATTAAGTCAATTAAGCTCAGCAAGCCTACAGCTCAAGTTTCTCAGCGTCTAGTGAACCAATGAAGCTTTATTTGCTCCAATTCAATAGCCAAACACTTTTTCTATCTATGGAAGAAAAGAGAAGAAAAAACAATATTACATTTAGAAGAAATTTTTGACGTTTAAACTCCGATCACTACTCAAAACACTCAGAAAATAGATAAAAGCCTATATATTTTTTTCCCTAGATGATCACCGAAGCAATGCATGGGATTCGCACCGTCAAACTCTGCGCATGGGAGGACTATTTTCAAGAGAAAATCGGGAGATTAAGGTAAAAGAAAGTTTCTTTTCGAAAAAGATCAATTCTAGAGCGAAAGAGTTGAAATATTTGAAAGCGAGGAAATATCTGGACGCAATTTGTGTCTATCTTTGGGCGTCGGCTCCACTTCTCATCACGATCTCTATCATTGCCACATATACACTCGTCTTACACGAAAAGTTGACAGCGGCTAAGGTGAGAAATATATATTTTGAAGGGTTTTTATGCTGAAAAATGTAAACGCACACCTGCTGGCGCATGAGAAAGATGATAAATTGATATCATATCGTATCGATAATTTTCAATTATTTCAGATCTTCACAGCTCTAGCTTTGGTCAATATTTTGATCATGCCGTTGAACGCTTTTCCATGGGTTTTGAATGGACTCGTTGAGGCTCTCGTTTCAGTTAAAGTAAGTTTTGTTGCACTGTACTGTGCTGTACTGTGCTGTGCTGTACTGTACTGTACTGTACTGTACTGTACTGTACTGTACTGTACTGTACTGTACTGTACTGTACTGTACTGTACTGTACTGTACTGTACTGTACTTAATGTTTCTATTACAGCATTAATTTTTGACTTGAAAAGCCACAATATAAGCATATCCTCATTTTCAGCGACTCGAATGGTTCTTCGCGTTGAAAGAGTTCGATCTGCACGAGTTCTACAATTTGACACAAAGTAAAAAACCTAAAGAAACTTTTATCATCAAATTTCAGATGAAAAGGAGTTAATGAGCGTGAGAAGAGGATCGTTTTATTGGAAAGATTCTTCGGAGAAACGCGTTTCGAATGTGTCGATCACTGGGGAAAAGGTGATTAGAGAGGCTAATGAAAAAAAATATAGTAGTTAAGTTATACAGTCAACAGTTGACAGTTAACAGTTAACATACAATTAGATATTTCTTTCAGGGTTCAATAGTTGGCGTTTATGGAGAGGTCGGTTCGGGAAAGTCGACTTTTCTGTTGGGACTTCTCGGCGAGACTCGAGGAGAAAATTCGGCTATCGGATTACGGTTCGAGTTTGAGAGTTTGAGCATATATTTTTATTAGAATTTTGGAAATTTCATAGCCTGAGATTTATAGATTTAAAGATTTAAAAGCTAAAATTCCAGACAAGAAAGCGTTTCACAAGGAATCGCCTACATTGGACAAACGCATTGGCTCGTGAGAGGTGGGTGTGATTTTTCGTTCTCATTTCACCAATAATATCTATTTTCTTTTGTTCTAGGCACCGTTCGGGACAATATTCTCTGCGGGAAAGATTTCAATCCGATTTTCTACGAGAAAGTGATCGCTGCGTGTTGTCTTCAAAAAGATATAAATGTATGGGAAATAGCCGCTACTTTACTAAACAAATATGTTTTTTTTTTACTTTGTGCCCAAAATTGGAAACACATTCTTTCTGGTACACTGAACTTTATTGAGCAACGACTTGGTGTCACCGGAGAAAATTTAAGAATTTGAGTGCACCAGAAAGGAGACGTTTTACAAGCACAAAATACAGAAGAAATCTTCAGAATATGCCTGGTGGTGATCAATATGAGATCAGTGACAATGGAGCGACATTGAGTGGAGGACAAAGAGCGCGAATATCTTTAGCGAGAGCTTTATATCAGGTATGAGAAAGAGAACATAATATTAATATTATAGAAAGATAATATTAGAAAGGAAACATATTTTTGACTTGAATTTTAGGATAACACCGTCTATTTGTTGGATGATCCATTCGCCTCGCTGGACAAACCGGTGGCGCATACAATTTGGACGGAAGCTATCGAGAAAATGCTTAAAGTGGGTGTACTTTGTGTTTCAAATCGTGGAAACGCACCCTTTCTAGTGCACTGAAATGTTTCTTTTTAGAATCGAGGGAAATTGGTGATCGTCAGTTGTCATAATATTCAACTTTTGAACAAAGCCGATCACATTTTGATGTTCAACAAAACGGGATACATGCAAAAAGAGGGTGGGTTTGACATTCACAAAGCTTTGAGTTCGTTTTCTGGCTGCTCGTTTGTCTGTAACCGTGGCGCAGTCGGCACCGCGCTTGTCCACAGCCCACAAGAGCCGGGTTCGACTCCCGGCTATGTCATGCTTTTGCTTTTTATAAAATGAAATATAAGATGTATAACTATATAGAATTCTAGGCCTAGGTAACTAAAAATCATGTAAATCGAGCCATAGGGAACCGAGAATTAGCCCGGAGAGACAGATAGACAGACAGACGAACGAACACTTATATATAGTAGATTCTTTATTTCTTTACGTGTTAGGCTCTCCAGCGGAAGTGTTCGATCAGGAGCTGATCCCGGAAAATGTTGTTGAAATAGAATCTTCGGAAAAAGCACGGGTAAATGAAAGCTGAATTGTGTTCAGATTTGTAAATGAATTTTGTCAAGAAATTTTCGAATTCAGGAAGTCGAAGAAGAGATCGAATTCGTCGGGACACAAGATGAAGAGAAACAGGTAAGGAACAGGATAAACATCAACTCAAACAAAAATTTCATTTCTAGATTTTTGAAAGCATTTAAAAATGAGATCTTTGCTTTATCAGCAGCTAAATGACGAATCTAATTAATCTAAGCAAAATTTTAGACCGGAAGTGTGAAAGTTTCAATTTATGGAGCCTATATGAAATCGGCGGGAATTTTCCTTTCAGTCGCCATCATGGGAGCACTTTTAGCAATGCAGGTACTTTTTACATGTAAAAACACCCCATCTAGCGCACTGGATTTCTTGATTACTTGAAAAATGAAAGCTTTGAGTGTGCTAGAAAGGGTGCATTTGCAAGGAGAGCTTTAGGTAAGCTTTAGGAGAGCTTTAGGAGAGCTTTAGGTAAGCTTTAGGAGAGCTTTAGGAGAGCTTTAGGTAAGCTTTAGGTAAGCTTTAGAAGAGCTTTAGGTAAGCTTTAGAAGAGCTTTAGGTAAGCTTTAGAAGAGCTTTAGGAGAGCTTTAGGTAAGCTTTAGGAGAGCTTTAGGTAAGCAAAAATCTCGCTGATATGTGGTTGGCTGAATGGACGGCTTGGACGGGGGAAAATGTGACAAAAGTGGAAGAACAGAATAATTGGAAAGGATTGTTATCTGGAGAAAGGCATTATGAGTGAGATTTTATCATATAATATATTCTTGTTTAAGTTTTAAATGAAAACCCATGATTTCAGACTTCTCACCGATTCGGATTGGGATCGATCAATCTATTTCCTTTGTGTTTACGCAATCATTGCTGCCGCAAATACAATCTTCACATTGATTCGGTGAGTGATTTAGATGGACTTTATTATAAATAGAAACACAACAAAATTCCTCTTTTTTTTCAGCGCTTTCCTTTTCGCTTACGGTGGAGTGGCGGCAGCGAAGAAATTGCATAAAAAACTTCTCGTGAAACTTTTAAAGGTAAAAATGTTTGTGAAAGCTTCTCAAGTGTTTCTAAGTAATTCTAAGTATTCCAACTATTTCAACTATTCCAACTACTTCAATTCCTACCGTAAATACTGTAATAGTACCCCATCCCCATAATGACGGTGCGGAGCGTTGCGTAGTCTAGCATTGGACGCGTTTTTCTCGACACTGGTTTATGCTACAATGCGCGCTTAGGTATCAAAAAATAGCTGAAATTAAGGGCTATTTTTTGATACCAAAGACGTATTTTTTGAAAGTACGGGTGCTTTGCAAAAAATGAAATACTAAAAAACTTTTGCGACTACGCGACTGTACGAGGGGGGTGGGGTACTATTACAGTATTTACGGTAAGTAATTTTCAATATCTCTAGGCTTCTCTACAATGGTGGGATCGTACTCCGTCAGGACGGGTGATTAATCGAATGTGTTCTGATGTCTACACTGTTGATGATAATCTACCGTTTCAGGTTTGATGATAATCTACCAAAGGGATATTTTAAAGCTGAGGAAACTTTGGTTCTTTTAAAATTTACGAGTTTTTTTGAAAGTTTACGAGGCTTAAACCTATAGTCTGCAAGGCTTTTAAAAGTTTGCCAGACTTTTTGAAAGTTTACGAGAATTTTGAAGTCTTTCTAAAGTATTTCCTTAAGCTTTAACCTATTTTTATTTATAAGTTAACATTTTTAAAACAATAATTATAATCATCAAGAAAAAAAGGAACGGATTCTGCATACATAAAAGCAATTTCAGTCAAATTTTCCTAGGCTTTTTTTAAAAAATTAGTTTTGTAGCCGAAGCCATCAAAAAAATCATAAGCTTTTGTGGATATGAGAACCAAAATTTCTTCTTCAAATTGGTTTAAACAGAAGCCAGTTTTGTTTTGCCAGCTTTGATAACTGAAGCGACGCCTTTGAATTCAGTTGAACATCGTGCTCGCCTCACTCTTCAATCTGATCGGCACTCTCGTCGTCACCCTAATCGGTCTTCCAATTCTCGTACCGATCGTGCTCGCTCTTTTCATCATTTACTATTTCACTCAGCGATATTATCGGTAGAAAAAAAAGGAAATTTTGAAACTCTTTTCCAGATGATTTGCATTATTGAATTGCGAGAAAAGATAGAAAAAATACCAAAACTTACAACTAGAAATTTCTTTAGACGTACAACTGTTGAACTTAAACGGCTTACTTCCGTATCGTTATCTCCTCTATATTCTCATCTCTCCGATACAGTCAATGGATTAGCCACAATTCGGGCACATCGCTTTGTGAATAGGTAAATGAAGGTTGAAGAATTTGAATCATTGCAGATTATTGTAAAAGATTACTCAAATCTCATTCCCACAGTTGACTGAGGTAAGGAGATTCGGGAAAGATTGAATTTGAAATAATTTCAATCTTAACACCAGCATACTTTTAAATGAAGAGTTTTAGAATGACACATAAACTCCGGGAGAAACTGTCAGCATCATTGAGGGCTCAGTTCAGCTCGTTGGCTGCCGGGAAATGGTTGGCAATTCGTTTATCGCTTATTGCAGGTAAGAAGAAAGAAAAGAAAAGAACTATTGGGTTGGGGAGAATGAGTCGGCGCCCAACTTTAAAGGGACTTTTTGCACGCATAAAGCCTTCTTTAAACATACGTTTGGTTTCATCAAAAGGATCCACTATTTCTCTACAAAATGACTTTTGAGAGATTCCACAAAGCTTTTCTTTCGTGGAGCTTATGAACTTCCAAACGCAGCTGGTTAAAATGGCAAAGAGTCCGACTCATCATTTGAACAGTTTCTTTCACATAAACCTTCTTTGGTGTTTATATAAAAAAGATAGAGCACATTCAATTACTTAAGTTGCCAAATTTGCAGGAAGATCCCACCAATGGTTTTTTCTAGGTCACAGTTTGTAGTTTTTGTGAAAAAAATGGCTTTTTCTTGAGCGGAGGCGCTGTTTGAATTTTCTTTTAAATGTCATTTTGTAGAGAATTCGTTAACCATTCTACTCATATCAAACGCATATTATTTGACGAAGTCGAATAGAAGTTTTAGACTTTTTTTTTCGATTTTCGGCGCTGACTCATTCTCCCCAACCCAATAGTTAGTTGAAAAACTCTGCATTTATATTTCAAATGATTATATAAATGCTTAAACATTAAATGCTTAAACATCATTCTTTTAAATGATGATGAGATTGTGAAGACTGGATTACTGGATTACTGGATTACTGGATTACTTTAAACGCTTTTAATTGAATAGTAAGATAACAATGAGTTCTAATATTTCTATTGTATAATATTTGTATAACACCTTTCTTTTGCTATTTTATCTATGCAATGCAATGCAATCCAATGCAATTCAATGCAAATCATTTTGATTTTAAGTGGCCGTTGTGAGCGCCGTCTCATTGGGTGCCATCATTCAGCATCGAATTCATCCAGTTGAATCAGGTAATGGCTGAGAAAATGTTAGAAAGAGAAATCGTTATCGAAAGAATATATCAAGCGCCTTTATTTAGGTTTAATCGGTTTGGCGATCACATATGCTTTGTCATTGACCTCATTACTGAATGGACTCTTGGGATCGTTTATTGAAACCGAAAAGGAAATGGTTTGTGTGAAAAGCAAATGGGAGGAATTTCATTAACCATTTTCATTTATCCATTTATCCAATAAATTGAGTTTATTTTCAGGTTTCTGTTGAAAGAATCGATGAGTACATTCGAGAGGTGAACGAGGAAAAAGATGAGAAAGAATTCGAGGTAAGAAATGGGTTCTAAAGCTTTCAAGCTAAAGGTTCTAAGTTCTAAAAAAGTTGTAAAGGTTCAAGAATCAATTTGCATATAGATTGAGATTTAAATTTACATTTAAATTTACATTTAAACGATTTTTAGTTGCCTACAACGAATCTAAAGATCGATTTTGACAAAATCTCATTAAGATATGAGAAGGGATTACAATTGGCGCTGGATAAAGTCGATTTAAGGTAAATGACATTGGCTTAGGCTTAGGCTTAGACTTAGGCTTAGGCTTGGGCTTAGGCTTAGGCTTTAGGCCTAGGCACAGGCTTTTGATCGAAATTCAGTTATTTTGAATGGGCAGACCAATTCAAGGCCAATACCTTTATCTAGAGACTAGTTTATGCAGAATTTTTGAGATGATATTGCTGAAAAACACTTCAGGCTTTAGAATCATACCAAATAGAGATTGTTTGAATGATCCAGTCCAAAATTTCCAAAATTTACAGCGTTACACCCGGCGAACGAGTGGCGATCATTGGAAGGACTGGAAGCGGAAAGAGTAGTCTATTTCAGGTACCTTATTTTCTCTAATAGTAGTGCACCCTGAGCGTCACCTAAATTCCTCGAAATCTCGAGAAGCGCTTATCAGAACCTATTGATGTGGGGTCGGAAAATGTAGCTAACGATGAGATCTAGTGGGGGATTTGAGCGTTGAGCTTCTGGGAAAACTTTGGAACGGGAAAATAGTGACCAACTCGGCTCGTTGGGGTGCACTACTATTAGAGAAAATACGGTAAATAAGTTCACTTTTTTTTTTAAAATGAATTACTTATCTAATCTAGAAATGGATTAACTTACTTAATCTTTTGCAATTCTCAGGCACTTCTGCGTGGTGTCTCATTGGAGTCTGGAAAAATTACCATTTCTGGAGTCGACATTGCAAAAGTTGGACTTGATGAGTTGAGAAAGGTTTGGATTTGGATTTGATTTGGAGAATGAATGGAGAATGATTGGAGAATGATTGAAGAGTGATTAAGAATGGTTAAGAATGATTGAAGAACGGAGATTTGATGAGAATTCAAATAAGAATTCAAATAAGAATTTAAAGAAAATTTGATTTGAAGATTAACTTACTTATTTTAATCACTTTTAGAAACGAAAATTTTAGTGTTTCGGTCTTGTCCCGCAAAATCCTTTCCTTTTCTCGGGGACATTGTGGGAGAATTTGACGGTCGACTCGGAAATGGAAACTGATCGGGGAATCGTTGTGAGACTCGTGAGAAATGCTGGATTGGGTGAGGGAAGAAGATAAAATAAATGTTTTTCTTGCAATAGTTCATCGCGACATCGCCACATCGCAACAAATCGAAAAGAATTCAAATTTTTCTTCCAGAAAACCTAATCGAACGGGTTGGCGGCTTGGACGGAGAAATCGCTGAATCGGGAAGCAATTTATCGCATGGAGAGAAACAAATCATTGCGCTGTGCCGTGTTTTGATCAGAAAACCAAAAGTGGGGAAAAGAATGGGAAAAGAATGGGAAAAGAATTCGAAAAGAATTCGAAAAGAATCAAAGAAGTCACTTCTCACTTTAGATTGTTTTAATCGATGAAGCCACAGCTCACTTGGATTCGATTTCACACGAGAGAATGCTTGGATTGATTAAAGTGAGTGGAAAAACGAACTAACTAACGAACTAACGAACTAAAGAACTAACGAACTAACGAACTAACGAACTAACGAACTAACGGACTAACGAACTAACGAACTAACGAACTAACGAACTAACGAACTAACTAACGGACTAACGGAGTTTGCTGGTAAACGCACCCTTTCCAGTACACTGAAATTCGTTTTTCTGGCAACAAAGCTAGTGTGCCACAAAGCTAGTCTGCCACAAAGCTAGTCTGCCACAAAGCTAGTCTGCCACAAAGCTAGTCTGCCACAAAGCTAGTCTGCCACAAAGCTAGTCTGCCACAAAGCTAGTCTGCCACAAAGCTAGTGTGCCACAAAGCTAGTCTGCCACAAAGCTAGTCTGCCACAAAGCTAGTCTGCCACAAAGCTAGTCTGCCACAAAGCTAGTCTGCCACAAAGCTAGTCTGCGTTCTTTGTGCTCAAAACTGTTAAGCGCATCCTTTCTGGGGCATGCAATTCGCATTGGATTCCCATTGAATTCACATTGAATTCACTCTCGAAACGACTTGGCGTCGGCTAGAAAAACGAGGATTGACGTGCACGAGAAAGGGTGCATTTCCGCGATAGCACAAAGTACAAAATGAATGAAGTTTCTGGAAAGAATCGAAGAAAAGAGAGCATTCGTATGCTAATTTCTAAATGCAAATTTTCGGTGATAACAGAATAACTTGCAGCAAGAGCTTCCCTCGTGCACTCTTCTCTCGATCGTTCACAATTTGCACGGTTTGGATTCGTATGATCGCGTGATCGAGATGGAAAACGGGAAAATCCGATGGCATGGACCGCCACAGCAAAGGCATCAATAAAATAGAGATGTTTTAATAGCTATTTCAAAAGCTATTTCAAAAGCTTGCCATACTTTCGTCGATCTTTTTCTCTATTTTGTTTTCATCGAGCATTTCTCTGAAAGGGTAAACAAGATTGTGATTTATTATTTATTGCACCAAAGATTCTATTATATATATATATATTCATACTTTATTCAGGGCATGAAATAAAGCGTAATCAGTCAGACAATACACAAATCTACACATAATTACATAGAGAAAGATGAGATATTTTACTCGGCGATGTGGAGGCGGGGAGAAAAGAAGATAGATAGAAGATAGGCTTCTTGCTTTAATAACCTCAGGCCATGAATGGGCCAACCCAGTGGAAGAGTGAACTCCGCTAGAGAAGGGATCTCTAGTCAGCTCTAGAGAAGAGACCTCTAGTCTGGGCGCACGGGCTAGGGAAGTGAACCCTAGGGGGGCCGAACCCCACACCCTCAGTTTGGAAGTGAGCACTTAACCAACCAATATTAGGTTGATGCAAAAGTCTTTTTCATTTTTTTCGTACTTCTTTTGAAAAATAAAAAAGTCATCAATTAACCTATGGTTTGCTCTAAATGAAAAGTGTTTATTGTTGAATTTCCCATCTTTTTAAGTCAATTTGGGTTCACTTTCAAGCAAATTCGAGAGTGAAAACGGGTTTTTCATAAAAATCTATAAAAACCTCTATAAAGAAATTGGCTGAATCAATTTCTCTGAAAATCTGAAAAAATATCTAACTTTTTGTGCTCTATCTTTTATTTATTAACATCAAGATTGGTTTCCTTAGCTAAAGCGTCTAAAATGCATCATCGAGCCGTCGCCTTTTTTTGACTACCCGATTTCAGGCTCTCAAAAAAATCTAGACATAACGCATTTTAAACTCGTTTTAATGTCATTTTGCAGAAAAATAATTGGCCTTTCGAATGCAATAAACCGTTGTTCAAATGGTGCATTTGTTACTTTTTAACGGAAGTACGAAAAAAATGAAAAAGACTTTTGCATCAACCTAATATCTATTTATTTTTCATTTTTCTTTTACTTAATTTATTCAGGTTGTGTCAGAGAAATGTAAATAAAGAAATAAAGATGAATTCTGATTTTAAATCGACAAATCAATCGATTTGTTTTGTTTTATTTTGTTCTGGGACCAAGACTACCTTAGCTATTTATATTCTGTATCAGTAAACGCGAAATTTCTGGCGCACTAACAGCCAAACATGAAAGCTACGTATAAAGGAATTTCTTTTCTTTCTAGATAAAAAGAAATTTTTGAAATTGACGAATTTCTAGACGAGAATTTCTGACGAGGGCGCGCGTTGTCGTGGATGAGAACGATCTTTGACTTGGAGGGCCTATTCTTCTTCAGGGATTCATTCACCTTTCCCAACAGTTCCCTGTATTTGATTGCATTAACGGTCGTCTTGCTATCCAGCAACTCCCAGTACACCACCCCCTCCATATCGCAGAAAACGCAGAGCATAAACTTCTTCTGGCGCAAATCGGACTTAGGGTCACTTTCGGGTTTCTCGCCTGGCCCCACCCATTGCCACAGAGTTGACCGGTGACCCTCGCTTGCCTTGTCCCACCTGGACGCTTCAGCTCGCACTCTTGGTCTATCACAGCTTGCAGGGAATCTCATGTTGGCTACTCGTTTCTGGTGGGTATAATCGCATTGGAACACCGTCGAGATCGTTCCACGTCGCAATTTAGCCCGTAGCCAAAACGTAACCAAAACGTAATCGTTCGTAGCCGCTAACGAATCATTCGTAGCCGTGTTTACCAAATTCGGATCGGATAAAAAGATAAAAATAAAAAGCTCAGATAAAAAGAAATTGAGAAATTGAATTTTGAAATTGATGAATTTCTAGAAAAAAGACACTTTTTGTTGTCAAACAATGACTATTTCACAAAAGGAAAATGTCTCTAAAATGTTTATTTCATTTGATTTTCATTTTCATTTCAAACTTGTTCAAGATGAATATTTCTCATTCTCTGTTGTTTGATTGGCGTTTTATTGGTTGAGGTTAGCTGAAAGAAGTTGATGGTATCAAGGAAATGTTTAGTCAAATCATCGAAACAATTGCACTTCAATGGGTGATTGTTTTCAATTGGAGGAATGTTGTAAAGAAGAGTTTTGTGACCCGATCACCCAATTTCATCGTATTTTTTATAATCAATTATCAGTGTTTCAAGGGAAAAAAAGGACTTATTTTAGAAAACTACCTGACTTTTAGAAAACTACCCGACTTAAGCTCTTCGTTTGAATTCGATTTTGATTCAGCAAGAAAATAGAGACCAAAATTGAGCTGATCAAATAAAAACTAGTGGCTTGATTACAGTAGTTTTAGAAAATAGACTAATTATTAGTTGACAGATCTATTGGGTTGGTTGGTGGAAAAGTCCTTTCGGATTTTTTGGGAGAGTACCTTAAATTTGTCGAATTTTGACGTTTTATAGCTCATCCTAAAGCTGAATTCAAGACGGATCGATTGGTAAAAACCGTTTTGAGATATCTCTTTTCTAAAAGTTTTTACAGCTATTTTAGTAAAGGGCAGTAGAGGCAAAAATGACTGTTTTCACGTTTCGTTAGTTTTCCGTGCGGGAACCTAGGCTAAAAACATGTGTTTCGTGATCAGCGTCAAAAATAACCCCTAGACACACAAAAATAACCCCTAAATTTTAGGGTACAACAAAAAAAACGAGAAAAACGAAGGAAAATCGCGAAAAGCGGCGGAAAGGCTATTGATCTGAGGGTCGCTGGTTCGACTTCCACCGGTGACAATATTTTTCAAAAATTTTTTGCTAAGATTCTGAAAATTTGTGTCTAGGGGTTATTCTTGACGCTGATCACGAGGCATATGTTTTTAGCCTAGGTTTCTGCAAGGAAAACCAACGAAACGTGAAAACAGCCTTCGTTTTTCCCCTTTTTTTTTGTTTTATCATTTTTTTGATGTTGTTAGAAGGCTTTTTTCAGGAATTTTTCACGAAATCGTTGAAACCAATTCCGGATAGTTCGTTCGGTCACGAAATCGGGTCCATAAACGTCAGTAATCTCTCGATGAGCCTGTGCGGCATTGAGTTTTCGGTTGAATGCATACAAAAACAGGTGCCGCTGGTGCTCCTCCGATTCAACTTGACACGACATTCCTGAAAAAACGGTTTTTACCAATCGATCCGTCTTGAATTCAGCTTTAGGATGAGCTATAAAACGTCAAAATTCGACAAATTTAAGGTACTCTCCCAAGAAATCCGAAAGGACTTTTCCACCAACCCAATACTTTGTGCTCAAGTAAACACTAAACGAAGTAAAGAAACCCTTTCTGGCGCATTGGGCTCGTCATTTTTCCCTCAGTGCACCAGAGAAAATGTGTTTAAGCACAAAGCCTTAAGCAAAAAGTACAAAAAGTCCAAGAGTACTTTAGCTTTCCCCAAATGTGTGCTTGCCTTTTTCGGCAAATGTCGGCATGAATGCAAGAAAAACGAAAGATCTAACGATGAATGATGATGATAAAATTTCCTCTTTAAGATTGTCCATTAGATAAAGATTTACTTGTCTATTCATAAACACAATCAAAAATCGCACACAAACCAAAAAAAATCACAATCAAACCAAAAAAAAACCCTTTTGAACGAGTAGGCGATTAGAGAATCGTCAAGGAAAGCGAAAAATGAGAGAAATGAATGAAAGAAATGAATGAAAGAAATGAATGAAAGAAATGAATCAGAGAAATGAATTTTACCACATCTCAGGATCATCACAATCTTCCATATAAACATATTTCTCATCTTTTCGTTTTTTTCTTGGAAACGCCCGGGAATTATCCCAATTTCTGTTGAGATTCGGGAAATGATTGTTCATTTGGTGGGGAAAACGTGGCTGATGATGATGATGATGATGATGATGGGGAGGGAATGGGCAACTGGAATGGCAATGGGCAACTGGAAACGGGATTTGAATTGAATTTGAGAAAACGATAATGTTTTCTAGATTTATTCCCAAGTTTACTCTACATCTACACCTTTGTGCGCACTTTTCCTATCACTCGTAGGAAAAAGCGACGTCTGCCACACTGCCCCGGGATAGAAAGCCTGGTTTAATTACCCAATATCATTGTATTTCAACTAATTAAGTATTAAGCTCTTTTTAACCAGTTTTTTAAAAGGAAACCGATCTCTGAGCTCACCTTATTGCCCCTCCTCCGTTCATTCATCCTTTGTGGCTCTCCAAGTTGTGGCCAATTGCATTGATTATTCATCAAATGTTCATTCCTTTCATGCTCCTCATTTTCCGGTCGATTTGTGTTCATCTTGCTCAGCATTTCCCGAATCGCTTCGATATCTTTTCCCCGAGAATCTTTCGGTGAAAAGGAAATGTTTCGTTGTTGAGGTACAAAAATATTTTGGTCGTCCTAAAATGTGCATTTTAGTAATAATAATTTTCTCTTTTTCTACCATAAAGAATTCCCGATTTGGTCCCCAATATTTTCTTCCATTTTTAAGTGTCATTTGATAGAGTGGAATGTTGAATAGATCGTTTTTTGAGATCTTCAATGCATGAGCCGTTTTTTGCAACACTCTGGAAAGGTACTAAAGTTGAGAGTGTTAGGGTTGTGCATAAGTTGGGAGTTCTTTATGATTTCTTTGATTTCTTTGATTTCTTTATGATTTCTTTGATTTCTTTATGATTTCTTAAAAACCAGTCCAACAGTTTCATCTGAAATTTCTACTGAATAATCACTAAGTATATGTTAACTAGTAGCCAAAATTTGATAATGATTGCTTGGTTGAATCGAGAGAATGAGCCCCTAACGTTGATGTGTGTTTCCCTTGTAGCTCTAGTAGCCTTTGTAGCTGTGTTTCCCTTGTAGCTCTAGTAGCCTTTGTAGCTGTGTTTCCCTTGTAGCTCTAGTAGCCTTTGTAGCTGTGTTTCCCTTGTAGCTCTAGTAGCCTTTGTAGCTGTGTTTCCTTTGTAGCTCTATGGAAACACTAATGAAAAACAGGATCCAAAACATTTTTCGGAGGATTTCTTGGCCTAAACTCCGGATACAATTGAACTTAAATTAGCTCTTTTGCTCTCTTTTTTTAGTAGAAGTATGAAAATTTTCTTTTACAGCTCTATATATTGCTCTATACAATAGCTATAGCTCTCAAAATAAAGTCAAATGCAAGCTTGTTTGAACAGTGATATCTCATTCTCTCGATTCAACCAAGCAATCTTGATCAAATTTACTATCGTAAATCGTCTACTAGTTAGCAAATACTTAAAGATTATTTAATAGAAATTACGGATGAAACTGTTGGGCTGGTTTTTAAGAGATCATGAGGAAATCGTAGAGATCATAAAGAGATCATAAAGAGATCATAAAGAGATCATAAAGAGATCATAAAGAGATCATAAAGAGATCATAAAGAGATCATAAAGAGATCATAAAGAGATCATAAAGAAATCAAAGAACTCAAAGAAATCAAAGAACTCAAAGAAATCATAAAGAAATCATAAAGAAATCATAAAGAAATCAAAACTTATGCACAACAGATGAAACTGTTGGGCTGGTTTTTAAGAAAATCTGTGATTTTCCGAAAATCACAACTTATTGACAATTCTAATACTTTAGTTATAAAATGTAAAAGAGAATTTTGAATCAAAAAAAAAAGGGAAAACCTGGAAGCTTTGCAGTGATATCGATAAGTGAATGACGGTGAATGATAGGGGAATTTCGACAACAAAGTCTCCACACTTTTCTCGATGAAACGAAGCTAGAATTGCGGTACCGATAAAGAAGATAAGATATCTAAAGGGCACTTCTTAAAAATACTTTATTGTAACTAAAAGTAAGAGCTTTGTATAAGGATTTAGGGTAGGGTAGCTTGAAAGAGATAAAGGACAAGAAAAAAAAACTTAGGTAACTAGGTAAACTAGGTAACTAGGTAACTAGGTAACTAGGTAACTAGGTAACTAGGTAACTAGATAACTAGATAACTAGATAACTAGATAACTAGGTAACTAGGTAACTAGGTAACTAGATAACTGCAGCTTTTGTTTTGAACTCTCTAAAAGACACTTGTAGCTACAGGAAGTACAGTTTATAAGCTCAAAAATGCACACCTGAGTATCTTTATCGAAATTCGGCATTCCTTGATGCATTTCCTTTTGCTCAAAAGCATTTGTTTGCTAAAAAGATTAACTTTTAAAAGAAAAAAGAAAGAAAAGACTTGATTGTCAATGAAAATGTGACAGTTTCCTGGGTCGACATCAGCTCGGACAGAAATTGATGGGGAAAGTTGGCCGAGGATTAGACCTAAAACTCTTTTAGTGCTCTAACTGAATATCTTTATCTGAAAATGTCCCCCACCTTGTCCCAATGTAACGAAGCTTTCTTTGTGTAATTTGAAAATCTGATCTTTATCTTTATCTGTATAGCGTAAATGCAATAGAAAATAGCCTGAAAAAGGAGATTTTTGTGAAAATTTGAAAACAGAGATCAACAAACCCCCATTTTCTCCATTTCGAGACAATTCTTCACATCGTCGCCAAAGTGGAACATCCTGAAAGAGAAAGGTTTTTGTTTACAGATGAGTACAGAGTACAGGTTTTGTACTCTGTGCTCTGTGCAGGTTTTGTGCAGGTTTTGTGCAGGTTTTGTACAGCTTTTGTACTCTGTACTCTGTGCAGCTTTTGTACTCTGTGCTCACCTATAAACAAAACCTTTCTGATGCACTGAAATCTACACTTTTTCCGAATCATTTTATTAAAACCTGCACAGAGCACAAAGTACAAAACCTGTACTCTGTGCTCATCTGTAAACAAAACCTTTCTGATGCACTGAAATCTGCACTTTTTCCGAATCATTTTCAGCTAAATCCAAAACCCGAGTGCCAGGGGTCCGTTTTTATTAAACCCAATCCTAATCCCCCGCCACCCTTCTGTTGATGTGGCGTAGTCGGGAGGGCGTTTGGCTACAACCCGGAAGCCAGGAGAGCGGGCCCGGGTTCGACCCCTCGTAGTGTCAATTGTTTCTATTTTTTGGCACAACTAGATTATATTTTATGAGAACTGATCACAACCGATCAACCGATCAACCGATCAACCGATCAACCGATCAACCGATCAACCGATCAAACGAACACAACTGATCACAACTTTCCCGTGACTCACCTTCAATAAAATCTCTTTATTTATTTCCGATTCACACGCAATCAAGCAATTCTCTTTTTCGCGTATCGAATCAATAAAAATTCGCTCATTTTCCGCCATTCCTTTGCTAAATTCTGGGTTTTGGGTTTATAAGGAAGAAATTACGAAGAGACGATGAACTCCCGTGCATTGCAGTGCTCAATATTCGGAGTTCCGAGAAAATCGCCAAAGGTTGGACCTGGATTTGATTTTTCGAGTAATTGATAGCAATTTTGTGAGCACTTACTTGCTTTGTGAACTTTTTTGTAGAAAGCGATTGTATCATTGGAAAAGGCATCGAATTCGATCAAAAACCTGGAAGGGGAATTGGATTTATCAAGTTTTTCCCCTAACATTTATCAAAAATCCCCCAATTAACACATTCACGACTGGGCGTACAGTCGCATAGTTTTGCTTTTGATAAATGTTTTCCTGATAATTTTGTGAACATTCCAAGATAAACTAAACTATTGGGTTGTCCAGTTATGAATGCGCGTTTTTTACTATTTTGTAAATTTCTCAAGATACCGAAATCAAGAAAAAGATATATATGAGTATTATTCGAAAGCTGAAGATCTCCTCTACATTTTGATATAAAAAGTTTTTGAATTTGTTCAGCTTTTGGGCAAATTGACTGCACAGAAGAAGAGGTGGCCAAAAAATGGAAGGGTGCCTTTGGATCAAGTTTTGGCTCCGCTCAAATTGAGTTAACCGTTTGATGTTTGGCCAATAGATATATCAATACAACTTTTTTTAAAGTATAACAATTTCAGAGCATCTTTGCTTTTCTTTTCTGGGCGGTTATTTTACACCATAAAACTTGAGGAATAGCTAAGCTGAAATGGGTTTTTTTTGAAAGCGACCCCTCCTTTTGCGCAGTCGATTTCCCAAAAAGTTGAATGAATTCAAAAACTTTTTTATTCCAAAATGTAGAGGAGATCTTCAGCTTTCGAATGATATATAACACTCATATAGATCTGTTCGATATCTTGAGAGATTTGCAAAATAGTAACTGGACAACCCAATAGCTTAGCCTTCGCTTTGCCTCGCCTAGCTTAACGATAAATTAACTATAGCCTTGAATAACTTTGTAGAATACGGTGTCTAGATGTCTAGATGTCTAGAATACGACTCAATGTATGCCTGGATTGCTTTCAAACAATCTTTGAGACTTTTAAAGCATTTTAGAGTACATTTAAAATTCACTTGAACCTTGTGAATAGTTGAATGGTTTAGCTAGTTCACTTGTTCACTTGTACACTTGTTTTATGCTTAAAATAGTCTTCACTTGTTAAAGTAGTGCTATTATTTGAAGACTAAAAGCTATTTAATACTCATATACATCTGTTCGATATCTTGAGAAATTTACAAAATAGTAAAAACGCGCATCCATAACTGGACAACCCAATATTATACACATTTTTAAGAGGAGACAGCCTTTAATCTCCTCTTAAAAACTAATACAAAGTTGTCAAGAACTCTCTGCATAAATAACAAAATCTTTGACTTGAAAAGCTTGAGTTGACACGAAAATAGTCGTCATTAATACGATTCACCGGTTGCCACCGGTTGTTTATTTATTGAACACATTGGCGATACGTACGATACGTCAATGAGGTCAATAAATTGACGATACGTCAGTGTTCAATAAATAACCAACCATTGTTTATCTGTGTTCTCTTCTTTGAGCTCTTTCACCGTTCCATAAAGAAGTCGCGTGAAATCGTCGACCAACTGAAAGCTTGTTTTTTTGTAAACGTCTAAAGTCTGTATACACTTTGGTTACAGCAAATTACTCAGTGAATTCTACGATGCACTAGATATACCGTAATCAGTGCCCATTTCTAAGCAAATAAAAGAACAGCGCGGAAATCTTTTCGGTTTTTTTTATTCTTTTGATCTCTACGAGCCCGCATCTTATTTGTTATTTGAATTTGTTTGAAAAGTGATAATTCATTAAAAAGACCATCACAAAACGCCGAATTGGAAGACTAGATCATCCAGAATTGAGTTATATTGCAACTAAATCTTAACTTGATTCTTAGAAGTCTATTTTAAAAAGCATCAAACATTAGGAAAACTGATCGAAGAATAAATCAATGAAGAATAGACCAATGGAAATCATTATCAAGTCTTGTAAAGCTCTTGTAAAGTTTTTTATATCAAAAAAGTTGATCAGCTCAGATCAGATCAGGTCAGGCTCAGCTCAGGCTCAGGGTGAGATCAGCTCAGGCTCAGATCAGCTCAGGCTCAGATCTTTTACTTTAAAGCAGGCACGCCCCTTTTTCGATTCGTTTACCGTTGGCAATCGTATTTTGCTCGTATCTTAGCCGCGTTTGTTTGAAAAACGTTCAATTTTGCTTTCATTCGATAGAAAATTTGTTTTCAAGTCGAATGAAAGAAAATTCAACGCTTTTCAAAGAAACCCGATCAAGGTACAAGCAAAAATCGTCGATTGTCAACGGCAAACGGACCGAAAAGGGGGCAGACTTAACATGGCTGCTTTAAAGTCAGACCTGGACCAGAGTCGAGTCGAGTTCTAACTCTCCTAGCCAATTGACGCTCGGATTCATCGAGCATATGCTCGATGAATCCGACCGGCCCAGTAACCTATAAACTTACTTCTTGCAGAAAATTGGCGACAAATTTTTGTGGTCTTGAAGTGATCAACGAGAACGTGGCCCGATCATCGTCTCGTTCGGTGTATTTGTAGAAAATTCGACATTCGGTCATCGATTAATCTTAAAAAATGTGTGTTTAATTTCAAGGTAAATCTAGCAAAGTGTTTCTAATCTAGAGAAATAGAGAAATAGAGAAATCTGGGAGTGGGACAAATGCTACCTGTTTTTTGCGCACCCGGACATTTGCGCACCTTTTTTTCCGCACCTTGCCCATTAGCGCACCTTTTTTCGCGTTTTAAAAAAGCTAATATTAACCTAAAGCTCTAAAAAGCTAATATTAACCAATTTCTATTGCAAAAGTTGTTTTTCTAGGTAATTTTTAGGGCGTAGAATCGAAATTTTGACATAACAGAGCTTGTGGAACCAATTTGAAAGAAATTAAACACAAGACAAAACGGCTAGATCAAATTACAGAAAATTGTCGATCTTTCTCTTTGTATAACTTGGTCCGTTTGTTTCCACAAGCTCTGATATGTCAAAATTTCGATTCTACGCCCTAAAATTACCTAGAAAAACAACTTTTGGAATAGAAATTGGTTAATATTAGCTTTTAGAGCTTTAGGTTAATGTTAGCTTTTTTAAAACGCGAAAAAAGGTGCGCTAATGGGCAAGGTGCGGAAAAAAAGGTGCGCAAAACAAAAAGGTCGCATTTGTCCCACTCCCGAGAAATAGAGAAATCTAGAAGAATAAAGCGAAATGTTTGGCGAAAAAAAGAAAAAAAGAAATTCCAAGTGATCAATGTTGGTGAAAACGAAAGAAAAACGAAAGAAATCGACTAAAATTCTCTGTTTCTCTCAAAAATCTCTTATATTTTCAAATCCTGGAAGAGCTTTTGGGCCACAAAACATTACGCGAGGATTTTCGAGAGAAAAAAAAGTCATTTATGAGACATAGCTTCTATCTGTTGGTATTTTTTGAAAAAGATGACAAAAAAGAAAAGAGTTTCATAATTGACAAGAGATTCACCGAAACACAAAGATTTTGGCACGGCAAAGCTGAATTGGAAAAAAAGTACAAGATTTTGGTTAAATGTTATGGAATTTAGCTAAACAAATCACTCACCAATCCTCAGGATTTTCCTCCGATTTGAAGTGATCTTTTGCGAGTGATTTTTCGATTAAAGTCACGATTTGACGAGTTGTACGCCTTTTGATGATTGATCTGAAAGATGTAAAGATAAATTCTCGCGTCTCTGTCTGAGGCTTTTGAATGAATGGAGGTGAAAACGAACTGAAGCTGGGGAATTACAAAAGTCTTATGTTTATATCAGTTGTCTGAATGTTCGGCGAAATTTCTTTCATTCTTCATTTCAACAAACTATAAAGTTTACCTTCCCTTTCCTCATTCTTCATCTAATTCATTCCATTTGTTCTTGGCTGAAAATATTGGAAAAGCGGATCAGAAAATCTTGGAACGCTACCAACCCAAAACTCATTTTTTTATTACACAACCTTTTTGATATAACTTTATCGAACAAACCGTCCTGAAACAATAAAAGGACACAACAAAACGAAATTAACAACTTTTCAAAACGAAAACTACCACTAACTTGTCTGAATTCTAATAGCCTAGCAATCGCAAACAAGAAATGAACTAACAGAAACATCAACAACAATATAATCATAACAAAAGATAACAAATTTGTAAATCTAACTTTATCTTATTTTTCATCATCATCTTTTCCAAGGGCTTCTTTGAGTATTTTGAGCTCTTCTTCTGTTAGCACGCCACGAGCTTTATCGAGAATCGATCTAAATGGTTTATTGTTTTTATAAAATGAAAAAACTTTTATAGGCTTAGGTTACCAATTAAAAGGCAATCAGTTCATTAAAATAATATTTTATCAAAAACCCAACCTTCTTTTTCCTTTTCTTTTTGATGGTAATTTCAGATCATTAACATCGGCTTGTTCTTTTTGTAACTTCTCCCATTCTTCTTTGTCTTTCGCCGTTTGTTGTTTCTCCCGCAACTTGGCTTGTTCAGAACCCTAAATGAGAAAGCTCTATGTGGAAAAAAATTGCAGTCTAAAATTGTAAAAATTTTAACCTCTTTTCCTTGTGCCGCAAACAGGTCGACAATGTTCTCAACTCCGACTTGAATGACCTAAAATTAAGATTTGTCAATGTCAATACTTAAAGTTAGTTGCTAACAATGATACATGAGCGTTATTTACCTTATCCAATTGTCCATTAGCCGTTCGCATCGCCTCTTCATCGGGCATCATATCCGGGAATCGCAACGAGAGCCACAAATATGTGTCAATGATCTCGTACAACTAAATATCTTATGCTACAGTAATCGCATAAAAAATAGCGGTGTTCTAATGCACAATTAATGTGAAATATAAAATTTGCTTACATCTTCAAGTTCCTCCAATTCGGCCAAAGTTTTTGGTATTGCAGGTGGCCATTCCTCACATCCCATCACCGTATCCATCATCCAATCATAGGTGAGAAGTTGACCCGATGAGAAACTAAATGAATAATAAAGTTTATCAATTCAAAAACATATCAATCAAATAGAATTTAAGCTTACCGATTTGCCATTTTTACGAAAGCAGCCTCTTTTTTCTTGTCCTCCACATTCAGCGGACAAATGCAGAAAGTGTAACGAACCTGAAACGAAAAAAGTGGTGATACATTTGTCTTCTAGTTGAGTTGAGAAAATTCAAAAAATAGTACCCACCTTTAGTGGCAAAGCGACTCTATCAATGAGTTCGGCAAAATGTCGCATCTGTTTCACAGTGGAACAAATGAAGAAATGATCAGAGACGCCTAAATGAGTAATAATTTTGAAACAAAGTCACAACTTACTACACACAGAAACAAAGAGATCCAACAAAGTGACAAATGATGCTTGAGGTAAATGAAAGGAGAACGTTTCGATTTGCTCATAAGTTGGCGAGATTCCCACGATTTCGATTGGTGGAACCTAAAAAGGTAAAAAAAAATTCAGCCTATAGACTATCTGTATGTAATTAGGTACTCTTGATTCCTAAAGTAGTAAATATTTTAAGAATCAAGATAACAATAAAAAGCTTACCGGTTTCCCCAAAATGTCCCTGAGAGTGCCGATATCTTCTTGTCGAAATGTAGTCACCACACCTTCTGCGTATTGAGTTCCGAATCTAAAATTTCACAAGATCCTTTATATTTCTTAAGTATAAATTGTTCAGAGACCACTATTGAATTGAAATAACACACCTGCCAGCTCGGCCACCAATTTGCAACGCTTGATAGTTGGGGATGAGTTCAGATCTTCTTGTCAATCCGGCAAAAACAACTCGTTTTATGTTCAAATTGAGTCCCATTCCAATAGCATCCGTACTAACCTAGAAAAACAGCTGCATTAAAAAAATCATCCTCTAAACCACCAAAACATTGCACGGATCGTCGGGATCATTGAAGCGAGCGGCTTGTGAAAGTTTGGCTCCAGGTGGTAAATCTCCATAGATTACAGCTGGCTTAAAAATGAAGCAATTAAGAGCAAAATTTTAAATCAAACCTTGATTCCAAGCTTTTCGAGTTGTCTTGTTATCGAATAGATTACTTTCTTTGAAAAACACACAATCGCATCCCCTGGTTCAACCTAGACAATTTCTATTCAAAACTTTTCCATGAAATTTACCCGATCGAAACTTCTCAAGCCTTCTTTGCTGATATTCAATGGCGATTTTCTCTCGTATTCAAAGACCTAAAGAAAAAGTTAGGACTTCGTTGTTAACTGGTAAACTTTTTAAACTCTACCTCAACAGTTTCCCCAATTGGTTCGATCAATTTCCGTACCATGTCGATAGCGGCCGGCTCTCCGCATAAATGGACCTAAAAAAAGATTTTAAATAAAAACTGCCTTACAAAATTGGATAGTTCAAAGTATTTTTATCAAGTGACGAATACCATAAAAGATTTTTTTTGCTTACTGCGAACCTCATCAGCAGCCACCCCAAGCAGAGCTCTTGTCCATGCCCATCCTCGTTGCTCGTCGCGAAGCATTTGAATCTCGTCGATCACTGCCACCTAAAAGCAAAGCTATTTAATATTTTTAAAAGTCTACTTCATTTAGAAAATCTTATGCTTACCTCAACTCTCATAGTTGTTGAAAGCATCTCGACAGTTGACGAGAGATGAGTAGATGGATGAAAAGAATCTACAGCAAATCTAGAAAGAATTCAATAAACATTTACTATCAACTCCCACCTTCTCTCCTCTCCTGTCACCATGTCACATTTCACTCCAAGTTCATTCGTTCTTATAAATGCCTCAGCCGCCAACAACTTCAATGGTCCACAATAGACTCCGGATTTGGCTTCACGAAATCTAAAGTTGCCAATAATATTGCTTCTCGAATAACGTCTTCAATAAAAACTGTAGCTTTGCATTTGCATCTGGTCATTTGCAAATGTACGTCGGCTACCTAAAATCACAAGTTAAAATGTAAACTATTAACCTCTTCAATGCATTATGCGTTTTCCCAGAATTCGTTGGTCCAGCATGAAAGATGATCTTCCGTTGTATTGTGCGAGCATCTGGATACCTGAAAAACACAAAATACGTTTTCATGCTGCTTGCGTAATGTTTTCATCTAAAAACCAACCAATTATGTGGTTGTGTCAAATCGGAGATCATCTTTAATTCATTCATCGCTTCAATGTGTGGGAAAACCTAGATAATCATTAGTTTTTTTTAAAATGAATCGGAGTACCTTCTTTGCATGATTCAAGAAAAACTCGTATAACCGATCAACGTCATGATTTCTTTTGATGATATCCTAAAAAGTAGATTGCGTACAAATAAAAAAGTTCCAAAGTATTACATGAAATGTGACAAGAAGTGCCGGTTCGAGGACAGCATTTTGCGCCACACAATATTGTTTGAAAGAGTAGAAAGCCTAAAGATGCAAACAATTAAACAATAAAGATTAAGGTTTAAATCGGGTCACCTAGCTATTCTATTAAAATCTAACCTTTATAAATAGTTTTTGTCCAAGTCCATGATCGGCGGCCAATTGTCGAACGATCGGCCGTCTCGCAAATTCATCTAACGCTAATGCCAGTGATGTCTAAAAATGCTAACTTTATCTAAATTTCTCTCCAAAAAAACCTGATCAATTCCTTCCGTGAAATCATTGTCGAGCGCTTTATTCAATTGCGGCGGTCTGACCACTCGAGCTTCGACAATGTCTTCTAAAAAGGAATGGCATCATTATTGCTAGAAAAAACATTATATTAATAGTAGTATTTGTTCTTGGATTGCTTTAAGACTAAAAGCTAACCAAATTCGAGTCCTCCTTGATCTGCAGGCACACCACGTATCCTTCTAAGCGGCGGCTTTGGGCTTCTCGTTGTCGAGTTCGGCCTTGATGTTACTAAAAAGGAAAATGCTCGAATATAAAGATTGTTACTACTTTTAATATATTAATATTGCTTTTAATATTGTTAAAAAGTATTTTAGCACGTATGCTTTAAAACTTCTTAAGTTAGGAGCTAAAAAATAGATCTATCGTTAAAGGTTTATTTAGTTAGAGGTTTTTTCCTACTCAAATAAATCTTGTTCATTTGTGGAACAAGGATATTTCACTCTTCGCTTAAAGAATTCTGTACTAGCTTATCTATAGTGATTAAATAAACATAATAGCTTATCTATAGTGATTAAATAAACATAATAGCTTATCTATAGTGATTAAATAAACATAATAGCTTATCTATAGTGATTAAATAAACATAATAGCTTATCTATAGTGATTAAATAAACATCTATTTGCCAAAATCTCAAAATAAAACCAGGACCAACCAGCTAGAATCTGCGTCGACGTAGATGCGAGTGGTCGTGTGAGGTATTTGCTCGATCCGCCCATTCCTCGCCGTATCCACAGACTTGTTCCCTGTAGAAATGACATCTAAACATAGAAATTAGTTCTATGAAGTAAAAAAATTCAAAGAAAATGACAAAAATGAGAGAATTTTGGCGTAAAGCTGTAAGGGAAATGTTCGTAAGGGAAGCTGTAAGGGAAATGTTAGGTCGATAAGTCTTTGGCTTGCATTTTAAAAGCTATTTATAAATAATCAATTCACAAATTGATCTACGGTTTGCTCTATTAAAAAAAGCCTACTATTGGTTAGCGTTTTGCACAATTTTTGTTAACTTTAACGAATGTTTTTCAATATTTTCTGATTCAATAACAAATGTTTCTTTATAAATTAATGTTCGGACGCATTTTGAGATTTATTTCACAAACCAAATTTGGGGATTTTCTAGGGGTACATGTCACGAGAAATATCACAGATAAATACAATAAAGAAACAGAAAAAAAAGAGAAAGAAACCAGTCGAGGGTAAAGCTACTCAGAAAAAGTAATGAGCTATATGATGGACTAAACCAAAAATCAAACAATCACGTAAAACGAATCAAATAAATACTATGCTAAAGCTATTAGGCTTCAAATTTTTTGTTTTATTTTATTGAAGTTAAGGTCAGTTACATTTTAATTATAAAGTTACATTTTAATTATAAAATCAGAACAATTTTTTAATTTAATTTTTCAAATCAAATATTTATTTATTTTTATCGGTTTCGTCGAGTGATGGTAGATGAGGAACTGAGTGATGAGGAGTGGATAGTGGAGAGGGGAGCTGAAAAACAAGAGATATGGTTTAGACGAGAAAGTAAAACCCTAATGCCCGCAGTACGGGTTGGCAACTTTCCAACCCTAAATTCTAAAATACACCGAAGCTACCGTACTCGAGACGGCGTCTCCCTTTCCGTCGTAAAAGAAAGTCCCATCTCTTGAAAATTCATTTTTGGGGGTCTTCTTTATGAACGGGTCTCGGTAAAAACTTTTTTAGCACAGGGCTTTAAAGTTTTGTTTTTGGGGGACAAATGCGACCTTTTTTTCGCTGGAAAAGGCTGTCGAGCATCAAAAATGTCTTCATCCAAGGGAATCGTATGCGTAGATTCCAAATTTCGACAAATCAGACCTCGCTGACACGTCAAATTTGGGCTAAAAGGCAAAACCTACGCAATTTAACGCTTTTCCGCAGTTAAAAAGTCCGCTTTTCCGCAAACAAAACTTTAGGGGGTTGTGTTAAAAAAGTTTTTACCGAGATCCGGTCATAAAGGAGACCTCCCTTTAAAGAGTTGTTGCCCGGTCCGGCGCTTCGCCGTGTCTTTTGCGCGTGTATTTTTCCCCCGTTCCCCTTTCTCTATCTCGTTATAAAATTCTGTTTATTATTATGATTTCCCTCCTTCCCTGTTTCTTTTGAAATTTTTAAAGTTTCTGTACTTTTCCCGGTCTTTCCAGTTTGTTGGTATTCAGATCGGTCTTTCAGATCATCGATAAATTTACTAAGAATCTAAACAATTTCTATAAACGTCAGTCAATCCAACCCAGCCGCGAATCATCTTCATTTTTCATTCTCTTTTTTTCCTTCTCTTTTTTTCCTTCTCTTTTTTTCCTTCTCTTTTTTTTCCTTCTCTTTTTTTTCCTTCTCTTTTTTTTCCTTCTCTTTTTTTCCTTCTCTTTTTTTTCATTCTCTCATTTTCGCAAATCATTTGGAATTAATGTTTCGGGGTTACAATCTTAAGCAGTTTGGGTAACATTTCGACCCAGAATTTGGATGTTTGAAACCATAATACGCTACTAGAGTACCGTAAATGGAGAGTACGGTAACTAAAGCACTCTTTTGAACTCACTTGTGAACAGCAAATCTCGCACTCGTCAATTAGAGTGAGCAATTCTTGAGGAGATGGTCCATGCAATCCACCGATCACTCCGAGTGGAAGCTGAAAAAGAAAAGTAGTTTTGTCTGGATTTAACGATAAAATTTTAATCCTTGTCATTGTCCTCAAAGACATTGTCTATAATTGGATTTTTTTTTTGTTTCTAGTAATATTCTAGGTACTCCTTTGGTTTTTGAGGCATACATTGTCCGGTACAAGTGCATTTCATTCATTAAATAAATATTTTGTCAACAAGCTAGTATTCTCGACACAATGCCTGCACGATACGACACTATTTCTCCAACTTACTCTTACTTGTTGGTGGATTTTCTCTTGTGAAGGCGGATTTGCCCCTTGTTGAAGCTGATTTCCCTGCATGCCACAACCAGCTCCGGAAGCGTTGATGATCTAAAAGATAGATTTTGTTGTTGAAAAAAAAGATTTCGTTAGCTAATGAGCTTTAAATTCATTTTTCCGAACCTGATTTCCATTTGCGCATCCCTTTGAGGTGTTGTACTGATCGAGAGCTGTTGTCAGATCCCACATCTGAATAAAAACAAAAATCAAGCAATTCTTTTAAAAGCTTCAAACTAAAATCTTATTTCTACTCACTTGAACACATCCATTTGATGTCCCGGTGAAGAGGTATCTTCTCGGACGGCTACCCATTCTAGGATTGAAATTTGAAATTCAGAAACCCAAAGACTTGTCTGAAGACAAAGGACTTGTCTTTAGATTTAAAAGTATTCAGCAAATCCTTTCATTTTTACCTTATGGCGCCTCCTTCGCACTCGTGCACGGTGAAAGCTGTGATCGCCGATCCATCAACAGATCGAATGGTGCAGAGTCTGAATCAAGAATTGTTATAAACATTCCTGTAGTTTTAAGTTTTTCAATCTTTTACCGATCTCCCGTAGATGCTAATCGTACAAAAACATGATTTGTATCAGGGACGACTCTTTGAACAAACACTTGCTCTCCATCTTGATCACCGTATGGCCCTGGAAACGTTTGGTAAATATCGTTATCGGTCGAGAAAACGAGGGGGGGATTAGGTTCGGGTTGAAATTTCCCCACGTCTATTAACTAGCACGAGCTGTGTGGGTAAACTTTAAATCTTTTCGCTTATTGTTAGAATTAAAAGATAACTTTGCTATCATAGGGCCTAATTATTAGAATTAAAAGATAACTTTGCTATCAGTAGTTTCTCTTTACCCGGATCAGTGTGTTCCCTATCCAGCGGATCATCTGCGCTATCCAGAGTGAGCACCTGAAATGAGCGGACTTATTTAGCTGACTATTTAGCTGACTTCTTACTTTAAACGAAGCCAAGCTTGTGCTTCCTGGCTGTGTGCTGATCATTCCACGAAACCTCGTCACTCCCCATGAGCGCACGTGATTGTATTCAGCACAAACTGGAAATCATTGGCATTGGTAAAAACTAGCCAAGGTTTATGTGTAGCAAGCTTTATATCATTAGGTTTCCGTAGCTTTGTAGCTTACGGTAGCTTTGTTTTCAATCTCTTGATTTCATTTTTCCTTTTAACCTACCACTTATCAAATGATTGGTCGTCAAGGCGACACGGGTCACTGGGGAATTGTGAACGGTGTACGTTTGGAAGAGTTGCGGCCCATGACCAACCTGTATGATTTAGATTTATACAGTAACGATACAGTTATATACAGTTATACAATAGCAATACAGTAACGCATTATATTGTACTCAATACTTGTAGAACTTGAATTCTCACCGTTTCTGGATGTTGAACGATGACACGAACAGCTCCCGACGAGGTCCCGTAAGCGATTTCGATCCAGTTGCCACAAAGATCTAAAAATAACTTTCGTTTTGCTACAAAAAAAAAAGATTCAATGCACCAGATAGCAAAAGTTTCCGCTATAAAAAGTAATTTTAATTTTTTTTGGATTCCTTACTCGTTTTTGGTGTCAGATAAACAGAAATCGCCGTGATCGCATCTCCATTCGGATCCCGATAAAGCTCAGTCACCAACAGATCGTTGTCTTTCATTCGAAGTGGAAATTTCTGAATTTCGAATTGATTCATTGTCGTTCAACCGGTCATTTTACCTGCATATCAATGTAATACATCGATCCATTTGTGCACCCGAGAAGAAGTGATGAACCGGCTGTGTCATAACAGGAAATAGCGACAACATCTGGAAAGCGAGAAAAGTGTTTATCAGGATTTTATTGTCGAATAATAATTTTCACACCGACCTTGCACTTGCCAATTCCCAGTCATCGAATGCCAGATCCCGACTTTGCCCGTTCGACTCAACGCCACCATTTGACTGCCAATGAAGAAAAGTTTATCGACAGCCACACCCAACGAATATTTGCCTGAAATCTGTTGATAAAAGAAATGCATGATAAGTTGAAACCTTTAAAGTGTTATAGAAATTGTATCAGATAAAAAAAATCTTGCTAGTATAAGACTTGAACTTGAAGCTTGAAGCGTGTAAACTTTTCGTCTTTTCGGCTTATTACAGTACTTTTCTGTGAGACTATAGTAGTTTTTATGCAAATTAGAATTTACAATTTTGTCCTTTAAAGTCCTTGTCCACTCTAAAGGATGCAATTACCATTGTATCCTTTAGAGTTCTTCAACTAACCTACGGTCACCCCATTCTCTTCTCCAAGATTCCACAAACAGACATCTCCATCATCCAACGCCACTGCCAGCATTTTCTCCGTCGATTGAGAGCCGAATTTCGTGTGTAACGCGACGTGCTGAAACAATTGTAAATATTTGGACAATTTTTTAGATCAAAAAGTTTGCATTTCTTTTCCTCACCTTCACAAGTGATGGCATTTTCGGTGATCTGTACGCAGATTTCCAGCCGACTGATTCTTTCACTCTAAATTTTTGCATTCAAATCTTGAATAATTTAAATGCCGAACCTGTACACACAGACATAATAAGCATATGCGACTGCAATCGAGTTGTGATGAGCACGAATTATGCGTACACGGAGTGTATCCGTTGAATCATCTCCGGTTGAAACGGCCAAATGCTTGCCCGTCTCACAACGCACCGCCAGCAATTCGGAGAGCTCATTTTTGATCTGAAATTATGTTTAATCAGAGGCTTTAGTCTAACAAAAAATATGGCTTGATTATGATACGGCAACTTCATATACAATCCAGCACTTACATATCGGGTAAATTCAGGGCCGGATCTCCTGTAACCGTAACTGCTTTTCGGGGTGCTGTTTCCGCTCCAAAGCTGCTAAAATTCCTTTTCACATACAGTTATTTTTGTACAAACTTGATCAAAGCTTTGATCTCTGTGAAAATTATTCGCATTGAACGAATGATTATGCTGATTCCGAGAGCATTCCGCATGAGTTTTGTCTGAAAATGAACGTTTGGCAAGCCTTGACGTTTGCTTAAAACCAGTTAGACAAAAATTACTATGATCTTCATCAAAAGCCGCAATCGGGGCTCGTTGCTTTGGTGAGGTGAGTGGTCGACTTGACTCGACCAATGGAAGTGGTGGAGCTGGGATGAGGGCGTGGAAAAGAACACTACCACAAGCGGATACCTTGATTGGTTTAGAAAATTAGAAAAACATGTACAATCTTTCGAAAGCCATTCGGTTGTTGAAACCAAATGTTTTAGCTGAAAATTGTTCTTACCTCGAGTTCTTCACATAGAGTCAACCGCCGAACAAGTGGAGCCAATCCAAAAAAGAGAGCTTCGTGTTTCAGAGAGCTCACGCTCACAGAACTGTATTTTTGAATAGAACTTTTCTCCTCCTGCTTCAAACCGTAGCTCCACTTGTTTTGTTCGTAAGTAGTTGAGGATAACTCGAAAAACATCCGGGTCTCGATCGATGAAAATCTATAAATGCAACGATGCCTTTTATAATCATTTTGGACTCACCGCCCCTAACTCATCTTTGACTGTCGGGATTCTGCCACTTACAAGACTAAATTCATTTGCATATACAGGGTGTTCAAAAAAAAAGCCAGTTCCCCTTAATTTTCTAAAAAATCTTTGGTGGCTCCTGGTGGTCGTTGTGGTGCTAAAGTAAATGTTTTGCGATGGAAAATTGTTGATTTTTTTACTTTTTCGCGATTTTATGACTTCCCAATACATTAAATTTCTGACACCATGGTCACCACCACCAGACTTTTACCATAAAATTAAAACTTTGTACTGGCATTGTGGTGTCATATTTGAGTTAATATATAAACTCAGATTTTTAGCCAAACACTTTATTCATCTACATTATATGATAATCTGTCGTCGTACATAAGCGATTTTCAATCGGCTTTTTTTAAAGAAGTGTCCCGTTTTTCCAAGGAAACGCTGATCAATAAAGTGTATGGCTTAAATTTTTAGCTATCATACTAGTGTTATTATGCACCACAATGCCAGTACAAAGTTTTAATTTTATGGCAAAAGCCTCATAGTGGTGGCCCATATGATGGTGGTGACCACGGTGTCAAAATTTCGTTTATTGGAGAGTAAAATCGCGCAGTAAAGAAAATCAAAAATTTTCCAGCTCAAAATATTGACTTTGGCACCACAACGACTACCAGGAGCCACTAGAAGTTTTTTGAACACCCTGTATTTCCGATGTTTGTGCTAACTTTATCTCATACCTAGTAAAAAACGAATCGGGTATCCACGTTAGTGTTCCTCGAGAAGTGGAGAATCTTCGACCCCCAACGTTGAGATTGATGATTGATTGATCGGAGGCATTTATTGGATTGGTCCCTGTGCCTATTCCATTCATCAGTCTATAATTTCCCGCCGTGATCACTTCTTCAGACAACAACCATTCAAAAGACCAAACTCAATGGTGGGAACAACAGTCCAGAATCCGATCGAATTTCGATTCAATTTTAAAAATATCCGTAAAAACAAAATTTTATTTAAACGTATAAGGCAAATCATGACAAACGGCAACATGCGAGGAACGAATACCCGACAAAGACATGAATTAACATGATAAAACTTTAGAAAACTAATTTACAGCTTGGTTAGAGAATTGAATGGCGCTTTCTCTCCCTCATTTTCGTCGACCTGAGCAGGGACAACCTCCTTGACAGCGCCAGCCATTTTTGCACAGTTATTAATCGCATTTACTCGATTTTCTTCATTCTCAGTTGTATCAAGCAACGATTGGACGGTAGTCTCAACTTCTGTTGACCGTCCTTGAGACGGCGAATTCGCTTGATCCGCTGACTGAAAAGATACTTCTGTGGTGGTGGACGTATGTGATTGAGACGAAGCTTCTGTGCTGGCCAGTTGGGATTGGGTCGATGCGTCAGCTTCAGCCTCTTGCGTGTTGTCGGTAGATGGGCCCTTGTCAGCCGCTTGCTGGGACTGAGTAGTCTCTTGCGACCCATCCTTGCCGCTGCGAGCATCCAACTATAAGCAAGAATGTTACTAATTTAAATTATGCTAAATGCTAAACGAACCTTAGTAAAGTATTCCGTAACACGCTGGATTTCATTGTTATAGCATCGGTTGTCCACTTCCAGAAATAGGCACAGAACAACTCGATCAATCTGAACACCAAAGGTGTAAATTGTTATATCATCATATCTTACCTTATCTCTATGTTGACTTTTCAAGAAGAATTTGCACAAAAAATTCATGACAGAAGTTGCTGCATCGTCATTTGGATATCCGTAGATGCCGGTAGAGATGCAGGGAAAAGCAATTGATTTCAAACCGTTTTCCACAGCCAACTCCAAAGAGGTTGCATAGCAGTTAAGAAGTTTTACTCGGTCGCTTTTGGTGAGATCATCCCAAACTTGTGGTCCAACTGTGTGCAAAATTTCTAAACAACGTAATTAATCATCCGCGTAACAAGCTAAACAAACTAACTTTTAACATGAGTTAATTTGCAAGCACTTGTAGCCACCGTGTCTCCAACCGCACAACGCCCAATCTTCCTGCATTCCGCTTGAAGCTCGCGGCGACCAGCCGCATTGTGAATTGCCCCATCCACACCACCACCTAAATTTGTGTCAAATCGCTTGATTGGCTACTTAACAATAATGCATTACACTTTAAAGGAAAGTAGATCTCTAAAATACATAAAGGTAGCTGTACGCAGACTAGATTAAAGTGTTTTACAAAAAACTAAATGAAAAGTTTACCTCCTGCAAGCTCACTGTTTGCCGCATTAACAATGGCGTCGATCTCGAGCTTTGTGATGTCACCACGCCAAACGCTGATTTTGTCGAGCACTTTCTTTCCCACATTCACTAAAAGAGAAAAATTCTAGGTACAAGTCAATTCAAATCCTTACCTTGGTCGAAAATGGTTTGAATCTCGCGCAGTGTTGTGACCATCTTGGCTGACATACACTAAAAAGATCAATTTTGTTCATAGCCGTAAAAGCAGAAAAAAAAAACATTTGAAAACAAAACTGAAAAACGAGAGTTGATGGTGGTTTTATGTCGTAAATCAGTTGCTAGCCGGTTCATCAACTGAGTATCTTTAATCTTTGTATAAATCTATATTCCTTCTTAATTTCTCACACCACAAAAAACTTTTTGGCACGCGTTCCTCTGTTGCTAATCAATTGGGCAGCTTTGTCGAGAGTCGGAGAAAGAACATGGGCATGTATTTATCACGAAGAGGGGGATTTACCCCACCCATACTCTCCCCAAATTCCCCGATCTCTCATGTCTGTGCTTCCTTTTGCACTCGCCAAATGTGTTATTTGACGCACCTCGTACTCACGTGGAGATCGCTCCGCTGAACCACCCGCAAACAAAGAAAAACGCAACTTTTTGCTGAGCCCTTGTCGTCCCTTTTCGCTTTCGGCTTGTACCGCTACAATTGGTCGTTCTTTTCCGTACCTTTACGCAATCTTTTTATAGTTTTACGCTCGTAACGTGTGGTAAGGCTTAACATAGGTTATCTAACCGTGCGTTTACTAGACAACGTTTAGTCTTTAAGGATTAACGTGCTAATGTTTATAAGTTTGTAGGTAAGGAACTTGGCTGTATTCCAATTCACTTGCAAGCCTTGTTTACAAGGTTCTAGCTACGCGAATGTAACACAACATGCATTAGGTGTTTCTTTGATAAGTTTTTGCTTTATTCTTTGTTTTCCACCTCGTAAAATGTTTTTGACCATGATATACTTATGATGTTTTAGATCAGCTGACTGGAGAGACCATCAAATCCACCAACTGTCGATGACGAAGAATTTTGATGGCCGAAGATTTACTCAACGCTGAGCCGATCTTTTTCCGAAAAGCTTCAAGCGTCGATCAGAAGATTGGTTTTTGTACCGCGTCTCTCAACCAGTCGATATTTCGTGTCTTAAAAAGTGAGTTTACCTTTTTCATGTCTTAATCTGGTTAATCTAGCACGAATATTATTTTCTGCTCCAAAACTAACCCATTTGTCCTGCATTTCTGGAGCGAACTAGGTCTATATGTTGCATCATTTAGAGCTTTATATTAAAGTACTCAATTTTGGAATTTTTAGGTTCTACGCCAAGCAAGAAAAAGAAAACAAAGAGGTTGAGTGGAGATTTAACCCCAAAACGCGCTAAAAAGTATACATTTGCTTTTCCATTAAGCTAACGAGGTCTTACAGATCGCCTATGAATGGGAATTCGAAGAACGGTAGTATAGCGCACCTGTTCAAGAAAAACTCTGAAGAACAGGTAACATTAGATTTGAAATGGTTATGTATTAAGATCTGTAAAGGGTGTAATTAATTAGGTATTAATAAAAATTTTGTATTTAGATGGCTCCGAGGACACAAATCTACTCATCCACCGGTGCAACTTTGGCTTTATTACGACAGACTGCCGGGTTTGACACTTTTTCCACTTTTTTTTACTTAAAAAACTTTTTAGAGGAAACGAACCTGTGGCGGCTAAGAAAAATCATACGCTTGTTGACTACTCTGACTCTGAGGGTTCTTCGGACGAAGATGAGGTGAAAATGCTTATTTGGAATTAAAAATGATGTCTTCAGAAAAAACCAATTCTTCCAACACAGAAAATACGTGATGGTGGAGGTGATGCTCCTTCTTCGCTTTTGATTAAGGTTTGGATTCTTTATAAACATTTCGAATTTATTTTAGAATAAGGCTCAATCTTCGGATTGGTTTACACAACCTTTCTTTGAAGCTAAGGAAGAGAAACCAGGTTGTTTTTAATTTTTTTTGGTTTTGTACTGCTTGTATTTAGTGCCATCTGCTGCACTTTCACCCAAAAAGCCAAAGGAATCCCCTGCAGTCTCACCCAAAAAGGAAACTTTGAAGCCGTTTTCGATTTTGAAAACAAATGGGCAGAGTCAACCGTTGAAGAAGGTAATAATGATTCCTTTCAAAATTTTAATTATGCTTGAATTTTAGGAAGTTAATGGGAATGGGCTCTTTTATGGACCTCAACTTCCACCAAAGAAAGACTTGCTGTTTGATGACGAAAAGCCAACACCGTGCACGTCAAAATTGGTATTTTACAATTAAAATAACAATACAGGTGTTTTAGGTTACACCTATCCAGAGTTCTTCTGCTCCTAGATTGGTACCATCGAACGTATTAAAACAACAACGTCTCAACAAATCGTTTGATGGGCATGTGAGTTTATTAGAAGATGTGCAAAGAATTTCCATTTTTAGAAAGCAACAAACGGTTTATTACATTCGAACAAGGAAAATGGACATCAGGAACGAAGATTTGTTGGTTTAGTTTTTAGGCTGATCTGAAAGTAAAATTTAGCTGGAAAATGGGAATGGAGTTGAACGAAGAAATGGAGAAATTCCTAACAAACGGATATTGGATCAACGCCAAGGTAGCTTGAAATTTTAGTCGACTGACTGAGAATTATAAATTTAGATGGCCCACCACCACAAAGGAAACGGCTTTTGTCTGAAAGAGGCGAGGAAGAGCGAAAACATCCGATAATTGATCGAACCGTGATATCCCATTGGCGCTGGACTCAAAATAATAGAATAGTTAGTGAATGTTGGTAGCATGCAAATAACAAAGTTGATCTTTTTAGGGACACCGCAACAAAGGGTGCGGATTGATTAATCACGCTAACGACTGCTTTTTGAATGCGTGCCTTCAAGTGGTGGCTCATACAGCACCACTGGCAAAATTCATCGAGGCTCACGGTGAAAAGCCACGGAAAGGGATTGCGAGAACTGGTGATACCGGGTATGGGTGGATTTTTGATGGTTAAGACTAGCACATGCACAACTTTTCTTTTTACTTTAATTTAATTTTAACTGCACAACATATAAATTTTAGGTTCAGCAGCCTTTGTGACCGCTCAATCGAGTCTCATGCCAGTAATTTTAATTTAAGTAAGCTTGTGAAAAATTATTTAGGCGTACAGTTAACTTGCTTTAGGATGCCGTGATCCATGTCTTCTATGCATTTTCCGAACCCATATAAATCAAGCCTTTCACGCAAATGGCGCTTTTGTCAGCCCACTTCTCAAGTTCACGCGTCGTAAGTTGTTTTTCAACTAAAATTAAATCTATTAATTCAGTTTTTTTCAAAACACACATAAGAGGGCGACAAGAAGACGCGCATGAAGCCTTCCTTAACCTACTCGATGGAATTGATGGTATTGCACTCCCAGGAATCAAGTCAGTTGTTTATCTTCTTTGCAGCTTTAATTATTTTTAGGCCTGCTTCACGGACTTCAAGTAGTGAAAACTTGAATGAAATGTCTCAAAATGCATCGTAAGTGTGCCAAAATTGGGTTTTTACCAAGAAATTCAGATCAAAATCGACGCCCTCTGAGCAAATATTTGGGATGACAGTACGTTACAGAGGTGATGATTGTTTTTCACTTGTGCTTGTTTATTAATTGTTTCAGGCCTATGCAAACATTGTGGTAAAGAATCTAATGGTTATGAGAGGCATCGCGTTTTACAACTTGGGCTTGACAAGGTATGTAGAGATTTTATTTGTCTTCAAAAGGTAAATTTAGTGGAGGAACACTTGTGCCAGTGAATTACTTCAACGCTTCTTCCGCACCGAGCAACTTACTGATTATAAATGTGAAAAGTAAGTTTTAAGTGTTTATTTCTGTGCATAATGATGCTCTTTTTAGATGCGGTTTTCGAGGTGCCTATCTTCGAACAGCACAAATGTTGCGACCACCAGCGATTCTCGTGCTTCTCATCGGGAGATTTTCATTCCTCCGAAAAGTGCGCGACCAAGTGCTGCCAAATGTGAGCCATTCCTAGCGTATCATCAATCAAGAAAGTTTAGACTTTTCTTGATCTTCAGCCTTTTGTCGTTGATCAAGGCGGATATAGTCATGGGGATAATCGCTATCAGCTGCGTGGTGTCGTCGACCATTTGGGGTATGTTTTTTTGTTTGTCAATTTTATTGCTTTGCTTTAGAGTAACGCTGGATAGTGGCCACTATCGTGCTTTTCATGTGGATGTAACCGGACAACAATGGTTCGAATTCGACGATGAAATGGTTTGATTCACTCTAGAAGTTTCTAAACGATACTTTTATAGGTCCGTCGTACTGACGAACAGTCGATGAAACGAGATGTGGCGAATGGTTGCTACATGCTAATTTACCATAGAAAAGCAAACTGCCCTTAGTTGTGAGTGGATTTTGCATGTTTCTTTCAAAGTTGATACTTTATGCACCCTATCCTTTTTGGCTTCATTCTGATTTTAATCCTTTTTAATGCCTCTTCTCTTCAACGGGTTCCCACTATTGTTACTTTGCTTAATATTACAGTAGTCTAGTATTTTTTGTTACCGACGTATTTCTAAAGGGTTATCTCTTTTAAGGTCTAGTTGATGGTTGTTTGAATGACCCAGATGTTTTTGAAAGTTTTTGTAGCATTTTCGGGTGATTTTGTGATCACTATGTTGTTATACTCTCCGTTTTTCAAGTTATAGCTATGGTTTCAACGATGTCTCTGTTGTTTGTTTGATTGTTATTGTTTTATCGCTTCTACAAATAAATTTACGAATTATCTGTGTGAAATAAAAATATTGTTTTAGTGGGCCAAGTAAATACTATAATTGAACCCCGTTCGGTTCTGTTTTCTCCCTCCCTTTCTAGGGAGGGGTTCTATTTTGCACCATTATTAAAGGAGCAGGTCGTCTTATTTTTCATTACCCAAAGTTTTGCGGCTTTCCTCTCTAGGTGGTTCGGTCCGGCGCATTTAGTCGGGATTTACTTCTCTTAACCAACGCATATAATTAAGATTAACAATTTGCGTATCTTGCATATAAACTTTCACAATCACTCTTGTGATTATAAAAATACATGAACAGATACGGGAAACAGAAAAAAAAAAGAAAAATTACAGCAAAAATTATAAACCCGAAAATACGACAAAGCCATTTTTGTCTTGGCTGCCGTTTCGGACGACAGCTATCTATGTTAGCTGTAGATCTGAAAATTTGTAATCGGGGGCATGCTGTGATAGAGAATCTAAAGTTCTTATTAGTTTTTGAGCAACTTTAATTTCCAAGCCAATACGGTCATCACAAAACGCTCTAAAAACTTGGTTAATTAAAAAAAATTAGAGAAAAAAGAGCGAAACCAAGTTTAGGTTCTTTCCTATATCCTTAGAGGCCGTGTGCCAGAATTTACACGATTATGTAAAAATGAAAATTTTCACGTTTTTATAATCGCGCGCCTTCTGGCATACGGTCCTAGATGTAGAGTCGCACTTGTGTAATTAAACCGAATGAAATATCCAAAAATAAAGCAGCTTTCTTTAAAAACCAAGTACGGATTCGAATTTCTTGACCCCGAAAACCCCCTGGTGCAAATTCTCAGCTCAATCGGCCTCAAAGTGAGGTACGTACGACCCACCAGTGGGCCCGATCATTGCGAATGTTAAAATGACAAAAATTTATTTTCTTCCTTGGAAATAATCAAAATATTTCGAATATTATAAGGCAAATATTTCGATGTTATTGTAGGACAGCAGCTTTAACGATTAGCGTTAGCAGAATATCGAGAGGCAAATTCTATAGAAAATAGCATCGATCAAGACTCCCCTCTAGCATAGGCCGCAAATAATTTTTTCCCACCACGGTATAAGCATGAGAAAAACAAAAACATTGTTCTTGAGGGTGAATTTACAATCGACTTTGTATTGGACTGATAAAATTACCATTTTAAGGGTTTCAACGAGAAGAAAAAAAGCAAGGATGCGCCTCATTTTCTACAAATTTATCCGATCAATTGATTTTCAAGCTGGATATCGCGGGTGAGCTTTTTTAAAATTTTGTTTAAATTTTTGATGCTGGTTTTAAAGTTGTGAATTTAATGTCTTAAATCTTTAAAGTTTAGCTTTGAATGGGAAAATTTACGGCCAAACGTATCCACGGCCCACGTACCGGTGCCGGTGAAATGATGGACATTGTGCTTTCGAGTGAGACTTACTCTTCAAGTTATCAAAATAGTTATTCATTTAGATCAACGTATTTGTGGTGCCGGTCGTTTCAGCAACGGTATTTTACTTATCGAAATTTTGCACTTTTCTAATTCTAGTTTACGTGGCGAAACTCGAGGAACCGGTGGAAATGACTGTTGCTATTAAAAATGTTTGGTAGGCTTTAAATTTGTGGTGCATATGTCTATGTTGCCTAATGCATATGTCTAGGTTAACGGCGACGAGCGGGAAGTACTCCAAAGAAAACAGCAAAGATCACGTGCCCAGCACCGAACCTCTTCCCAACCAAGGAGGCAATTATGCTGTAAGTTGCAGAAGCTTGACTACAAGTCTAATATTACTACTTTAGTCTAATATTTATTTGAGAAGCCTATCTCACTTGAGTTTTAGTTGTGATAAACAAGGATCTGTGATAAACAATTACTCAAAACTTTTCTTTAGTATGCTGAGATCGGTGTTTTGGCAATGATTCGACATCCACACATTGTTCGCCTTCTCTATCATTTCTCAAAACCCACCGAAACTGATGTCATTTTTTGATAAGATTGTTTTTAAATTAGAATTGACTTTAGGAATGCTACAGTCTAGTGCTCGACTTTTTGCCGCAAGAACTTGGGAAATTACTCAAAACAAAGAAACAACCTTTCAACGTGCTTGAGACCAAGGTTTTGTTAGCCTTAGTTTTGTTAATTTATAAATTTTGTTATTTAGGTGCTTTCGTGGCAAATTTTTAACGCTTTGGAGTACTTAAACGCCTATGATATTGCTCATCTTGATATAAAGGTATGCTTTATTTGTACGAGTGCTTTATCTGACGTTTTTTTTACGAGTTATTAAGCCAAATAATTTGATCCTCGATGAATCGACGCTACACCTCAAACTTAGCGATTTTGGAAATGCTCGTGTGTTGAATAAGGAGGCCGATTACTTATCATATCAGGTTGACAATAATGTTGGAGTTGTTGAGTTTTTAAAACGTTCAATTTTGGAATAACTGCAGTATATTCAATTCTTTTTAGGTGACTCGTTTCTATCGTGCACCAGAGCTTCTTTTTGGTGGATGTCGCTTCACGACTTTAATTGGTTTATTTCTTTTAATTTGTTTACTATTTTTGTTGTTACTTTCCAAGTAAATAAAATATTTTAGATGTCTGGGCGGCTGGTTGTGTGATGGCGGAAATTTGCACCGGCAAGGTTCGTACATTTTTGATGTTTATTTAAAATTTAGCTTTTTTGATTCTAGGTACTTTTTCGAGCTCCCGACCCAAAGAATCAAGCTCGTTTGGTGGTTGAAGTTCTCGGGTATCCGACTGATGAGGATGTTAAGGTAATCGATGCAAAAGTTTGGCATTTCTTAAACAAGCTGATTTCTACCTGCCTGTTAGAAAGCAAGCAGCTTGCCAACAGCAAACAGCAAACAACTTGCCGCACAGTGGCGGAATCTAAGCGAGACCGCTTGACTACTTCACTATGTGAGGCATTTTTCAACTTTTTCAATTAGCTCTAGCTTTACGCGGAAAGGCAGACCAGGTAAAGTACCAACGTTAGCACCAAGGCTTCATGCACGGTTTCGAAAAAGCGACTGAGCGAAAAAAAAGTGTCAACACAAAAAGGCTTGTATTTTGGTGTAGATGTGAGACCAAAAGTTAATTTCTGCCGATTTCAACAAAAGCATACGGACGGACGGAGATGTTATTTATATATATATATATATATATAGATTTTTCTTAGGCAATGGACGTTGGAAGACCACGAGTTAGAAGGGGAACAACAAAAGGAATATTGGCGGTTTGATTGAGAGAAATTTTGAGAAAATTCCTACTTTTAGCATCAACCTCAACTCCCAAAAGAAATGATCTCGGTGTTGCAGAAGATTTTTATCTACAATGTTCAGAAAAGGTTTGGTTTATTGCTGATGATACATTGCTTTTAACCTAGATTAATTTGTTGTAGGCATTTAGTTTTTATGATTTTTTTCAAAGTTCTTAATTTATCTTTCTTTAGGGCTTCAGCGGCTCGAGTGATGACCGATGAATTCTTTGCCGAGTTGAAAACGCTGCCGAAACGCCCGAACGGAGTCCCGATCAAGGATTTTGGATACGCAATTGAAGAACAGGTGCTTTGAATTGAGAATTAAAAAATAAAAGGTTTTTGTAATGGGATATTTGGATTGTTTACCCAAGCAAGTGTATAACGGCTATTTGTTGTAAATAACGAAATTTACGAAACTTTTATAGTTTGTCTTGTTGTCTTTGTCTTTATCTTTGTCTTTGTCTAAAGTTTGTCTATGCACCGGTTTATTTGTACTTTTAGCCCATCAAAGCGACGAAAGCGCGACTTGAGCGATCGAAAGAGCGTATGTCATCCACGTGCCATCCGGCTATCAAACACTAAAAACGAAATTTGATTATTAGGTGCTTAATTGTGAAATAAATATTACCTATTTTGAAATCTTTATCAATGTGATTTTTATTCTTGAAAACGTTGATTTTTTTTTGTATTTCCGCCTGCCAATCGAAGGATTAAGGTCATGTCAAATATTGACAAATCGTTGACAAAAAAAGATATACCAAATCTTTTTCAATTCAGGTTATCCGGGAAAAATCCGGATCACTAGCTAATCGTGTATTCAGAAAAGAGCTATCTTTTTGGTTTCTTGGGGGATTTGATTTGAAATCGGAAAGGAAAAGGGGTCATCGAGTTGAGGGAAAAGTTAAGGGGAAAGGGGATTTCACTATGGTTCTTTTTCGGGATGTCTTCCGGTGGCCATTCGTGGGTGATCAACCGTGACATTGGAGAGGAGAGGTCGGATTGGAAAAATGGGAAAGATTTACACTGGATTCGGATTCGATCGCATCTTGGGTCATCAAATAGAAGCAGAAGTACTTCTGCACTTGGGATCTCTTTTTCTCTACATTTTACTGCAATACATTACAGATTACGGTATTCCACACTACTTGTATTCTGTTTGTTGTTTGTTTTTAAGATCTTACAGTATTCGGTTTCTACGGTAACCCTTGTCTCTCACGAGATTTTGTCTTTTGCTACAGTTTCTCCGCAAATGTTGAGGTGAACCATTTTGGGATAAGAATATCGATAACAATATCGGTTTCAAGTCGAGCCCATTCAATCCATTGTTTGTTACTTGAAAAGTACTATATTGTTAATATTCTGTCTTAAAACAGTATACTTTGTTGATCTAGACAAAAAGCAATGCATAATTTGTGAGCTGTCTACAACTGTAAACCAAAAAACAAAATTTAGCAGAGCAGGGGAATCGAACCCTCGTCACTCTCGTCGATTCTCTTCTGTCAGTCAGACACTCTACCAACTGAGCCAAAAGGGCTTTGTTAACGTGCGAGAAAGGAGGGACAAAAAGAGAGAAAGTGAGAAAAGCAGAAGCGGTCTCCTTTTTCCAAAAGAATTAGTGTAGAAAAGTGAATCGCTTCTAAAACAAGTCAATTTTCGAAAGCTTGGCTCTGTTCTCTCCGAAGCAAATATGCAGAGCTTTGTGCAGTCAATTGGAATTTCTTATCTAGCTAAAAAGAACAATATCAATAGGAATAAAATTCACTGGTAAATGGCAAAACAATCCGCTGACAATCCCCTTTACTCTGAACACTCAAATCTACCGTATCATAAAGTTTCCCCGAAAATGTCACTTTTTAGTTTCCTGATGTTTCTTTTATTGTTTCTTCCATCTGTGCAATCCCTTGCTTGTTCACCGGATACAGAAGCTGCACTTCTCTTTGATGATTTCAGCGAAAATACGAATTTCATCTCGTGCTTTCGACAGTGTGCTTTAAGAAATTGTACAGGTTTTTGAAAGAATCGTAAAATTGTGAAGCAAAAACCTTTCAGGAGTACTTCTAGCGGAAAACACTTGCATTTCGCTAAACACTGCCGATTTCTATGGACCATTGGATATCAAGAGATTCGTCGAGAAAAAGTGCATTCCAGGTTGGCTTTCGGAGGGGATAAAGTGAATCGATTTATCAATGATTTATCAGTAAGACTGAAATCAGCTTTGCCGATCGTTTTAATCTTGCGTATTTCAAATAATTTTGGTTTAGAGGGATCAATTTCTAGCAAAGAATCAGCTAAATTTGAGGTAAAATTGATCCCAGGTGTTTGAGGATAGAGACGGCCAATTAGGTAAAGGTGGCTCAGTCGCTAATCGCTCCAGCCTTCACGGTCTCGAAAAGGGAACACCTATCTATTGGGGACGCGTTCCAGATAGAGTGCGATTACGTGGCCACATAAAGAACACCTCGCCAGTCGCCAGGAATTTTTCTTTTGCTCTGTAGCTGTAAATTTGTACCGGGGTTTTCGAAATCGGCGAATCGATTGGTGCTATTCATTTTACTAATTCTACCAATTAGAACTTGGATTTTAAACTCTAAACAATTAGATTTAGTGAGAATCGTGAAGGTAAATGAAGTAAACAATTAGTTTTTGTTTGATAAGCCTAGTCGAATCTAATAAAATTACTTGCTAGATTTGGTTATTTTTTATGTTTTCTTCTCAGGTTTAACAAACCGACTGTTGATCAAGAAATCGACAAATCGTGTGTTGATTGGACAGACAGAAAAAGTGGTGCGGGCTGTGGACGAGTTTGACTGTGCGCGGCAATGTTATGAAGAAAAGGTTTGTCAAACGTTTACTTTGAAAAATTAAATCGTTTCGTTAGTAAACCAAGCTTTAGCTTCTAGTAGAGCTGTACAGTTTGAGGCTATAGCTAGCTATAGCTATGACTAAGCTAGCTATAGCCATAACTAAGCTAGCTATAGCTATAACTAAGCTAGCTATAGCTATAACTAAGCTAGCTATAACTATAACTAAGCTAGCTAAGCTTTCTTGTACCAGAGTTGAAGTGTTATCGTTAAATCTGTAAAGCTGTAAGCAATTCAGAGCTTCCAATGCCAATCAACAATGTTTTACGGTGATGTGAACGATTGCTTTTTGAATTACGCGAATTCGAGCGCTGGCCAAATGAGCAACGATACAGATGGGTTTTCGGTGGATTTTTTCGAATTCGCGACATTATCTGAAGAAATTTGTGGCAAGAAAAAGGGAAATATGAAAGGATTTACATTGATTCCGTCAAGAAATCAAGTGATGATACGCGGCGATGTCGAGATTGTCGAGAGTGGATCGGTTGAAGAGGTGGATATGGGAAAATGAATTTATTTTTTGATTACATATTACAAATTACAGTACTCCTTTGCGATAGTTAAACAGGAGAATATCTAAATGCAAATTTTAGTGTCTAGACGGTTGTGAAAGTTGCGATTTCGCGGTTTTCGACGAGGTTTCCAGTGAAAAAAGTACAAATAAACGAATTTTTAGAAAACCTCAAGTTGTCAACGAGTTTTTGAGAATCTTTCTGGGCAAGAGATCTCAAATTCCGAAAATGGAGCTATGTTTTTCGAGCGTTTATGCAGAACGAGACGGGCAATGTGTGGAGGAGAGAACAGTGTTTATGTGATGAGGGATGGATTGGAAGACAAAATGAGAGAGGAATGCTTGACAAGGTCGGCTTTTTGATATTGTTAATCATTTGAATCATTTGAATCATTTAAATCATTTGAATCATTTAAATCATTTGAATCATTTGTAACATTTGTATCATTTGATCATTTGAATCATTTGAATCATTTGAATCAGTTGTATAAGTTGAATCATTTGTATCATTTGGATCATTAGAATCATTTATATCATTTGAATCAGTTGTATCATTTGTATCATTTGGATCATTTGTATCATTTGTACCATTTGAATCATTTGTATCATTTGTCTGCTTGCTCTGGTTCTTGGCCTGCTCCTGGCTTTGTCTTTTGGTTCTATAAGCACTAGGGTTCGGCTAGAATCTAGAAACGAATTCTGATTGCAACAAATCCATCTTTTTAACCCTTTCAGTTGCCTCAATTCACCGAATTGTACATATGTTTATTCGACGAAGAATGGCTGTCTTTCATCCGATAAATCTCTTCATCATCTACCGCGAATTCTTGAGCGAAAATGCATCAAAAAGATGCCGAAAATGGAAAATGGTAAAAAGAAAAGCGAAATTGAATATTTTGAGTTGAAAGCCTGTTTATTTATGTTTATTTATGTTTATTGAAATGTTTCTTTAGGGATAATCTTCGAGGAAAGTGCTAAATGTTTTACGGGCGCTTTGGAGAAGATTGAGAAAGTGACGAGAAATGAGTGCTTTGTTGCTTGTTTCAATCATCCAAACAAGAGGTTTTTCATCTTCTGAATTGATTCTCTTGATAAACGCTAATTGTTACTCAACTAGCAAGTCAATTACGTTACAAAAGTCACAATAATCTACTACAACAGTCTTTTTGACTGTTGTAGTAGATTACTATAACAGTCTACAACAGTCTTTTTGATTTTAGATCAAAAAAAGCTTTTAAAAGCTTTACATAGTGTTAAACTGTACTGTTTACTGTAGTCAATTGCTTAGCTGTGGTTCGATATCGTATCACCGAGAGACAGCGCTTTGCGAGCTTTTCGAGATCGATGAGGAGAAATTTTCGTCCGAAGAGGTAAAGAGAAAGTTTTCTAAATTAAACAAATAGCTGTCTAACAATTTGCAGAAATGTCATCACTACGAATTGAGCGTTTTCTCGTTAGAAGAAGAGCTTATCGAGAATAGTGTCACTGGTGGGTGAATTCGAGATCTTAAAGGAGAAGTTTTCGACTTTCAAGCTCAATCAGCAAGTCCTGTAAACTGTACTGTAATCTATAAACTGTACTGTAGCCTGTAAACTGTACTCTAACCTGTAAACTGTACTGTAGCCTGTAAACTGTACTGTAACCTGTAAACTGTACTGTAAACTGTACTGTAGCCTGTAAACTGTACTGTAATCTGTAAAGTACTACACTATAAAGTACTACACTGTAAAGTACTACACTGTAAAGTACTATACTGTAAAGTACTATTAAACCATAGAATTCAATCCGTTTACAGTATAGAATACTATTCAAATATCAAAATAGCAAACTGAATCCTTTTAACTTCTTTAAATGATCGTTAATCCGTTAATCGTTAATCCAAATTAATCCAAATCTTTTAAGAAATCCCTTCAAATTCTCGAAGCTTTGAGCTCCCGATCAAGAAAATCTCTGGCCAAAAATCGTTAGGGACAAAGAATTTCCCGTTACGAGAAATCTCTGGAGATTCGATTAAACGAGAAGAATTTGTAAGAAGAACGGAGAAAAAGAAGAATATTCAAAAAATGGTGAGAAAAGTAGAACATATTATTTAACATCGTTTTATTTAACATCGTTTCTAGAAGCCAATCAAAGCTGTAGAGAAATCGGAGAAGAAATCGGAGAAACTTTTCGAAGAGATCCAAGCAGAGCCATTGCCCGAGATTTCAGTCAAACCGATTTGCCGTTTTGATATCATTTTTGTTGAGGTAGGGAATGAGAAATGTTTTTCTGGAAAACAAAGAACAGATTCACGCCGAGAAGCCATTTAACGGTACGGTTTTTCCAAGAAATTTACACGAGAAATGCTCGATGAAAATTGTGAATGGAAAAGGGAATCTCTCGTTGGAATTGGGGGAACAATTGGGGAACAATTCGAGATGCACAGCTGAATATGATGAGGTTTGGAAATGGGATTGATTGGGAGGAGAAATGGGATTGTTTGGGAGGAGTTGAATAAAAAAATCTTCTAAATCTTTGCTTCTAGAAGAACGATCTCTACAAAACGGTGTTGATCGTGAAATCGAAATCGGACGATGGCCGAATATTGACTGAAGACGATCGCTTATTTCATATCAGTTGTAAATATCGGGGAAATCAAACGGTGATCGCCAAATCGAAACCGTTGGGCATTGAGTGAGTGAAAGAGAAATGCTGAAAGCTTTCAACTTTGAAAACTACAGTGATCTTGTCCGATTTGTTCGAAATTTGACAAAACCCTTTACAACTCCGATTTAGACCTCCATCTGCTAAAGATCTAGCTGTTCGCGGGATCGTCTCATCACCAAAACAAATGAGTTTAAAAACGATTGGACGGAGTACGGTAATTGAAGCAAGATTATAGTTTTTTTTTCTATTTTAAACCTTAGCCAGAAATCGTTCAACTCGGCGAGCCGATTCAGCTCAATTTCGCAGATCCGAGTCTGAAAGGAGGCTTCAATTTGGATAAATGTTATGCAACTGATTCGAAGGGATCCAAAAATATCTCTCTAGTTCAATATGGGTGAGTTCAAAAGAAGAATGGAACAAAGAGATTACTGGAAGTTTAGTTGCACTGTTTCTGGGAACGACAATGTGGTGACTCATCGAATTCGTTATCAAGAGGATGGGTTCACGTTTGCGATCAAGTAAGAGCTTTTTGGTCTTTAAAAGGTGATAAATCTAGAAATATCTAGCAATCTAGATAAATATGTTAAGCAGAGGTTTTAAAGCAGAGGTTTTAAAGCAGAGCTTAAAGCAGAGCTCTGTTAAAAGCTCTGCTTTAAAACAGAGCTTTTTCACCTTTAAAAATGTGATAAATCTGGTTAATTATAATTGTATAATAAGTTCTTGTTGAAAGTCTATTTAGTGGCACTCCTAGGCTCAAGGCTTAGGCTTAGGCTTAGGCTTAGGCTTAGGCTTAGGCTTAGGATAAAAGTGGATTTGAGATCTTAAGATCTCTTAAGATGAATATCTTAAGATTTTATTTAAAAAGATTGTTTAATTAGCCTTTCTAGATATTCTTTTTTAGTGATTTTTAGTGATCGATTGTGATTTATTTAATTTTATTAATGTTCGCTTTGTCTCCTTTTAGAGCTTTCAAATTCGCCGACGGGGAATCGGTTCGAATCACGTGTCTCGTGAGGAAATGTGAAGAATGCAAAAGGGTGAGTTCATAAATAAAATAACTGGAAACTTGGAAAAGGAAAATCTCTATCAAAATCGGATTCAGTAGCAATTGATGTAATCACAACGGGAGAATCAAGCCCCACTGAGTCCCCTCCAACTAGTATGACACCAAAATTTGATTTGATTTGATATTTGAGTAGACAACAACAGCAAATTTAGCCAACTTGTCACCAAATCGCGAAACGGAGTCTGAATGAGACACTTTCCGCCGAAGATCCAGCTGATTTTCAAGAGCTCGTTGCTGAGCTATTTGTGCAAGCGGGTAAGACAAAAAGAGTGTTGTAGACTTTTCAAATTCCAAGTTACAAAAGGACTGTTGTAGTAGATTATTTTTTTTTTTTTTTTTTTTTTTTTTTTTTTTTTTTTTTTTTTTTTTTTTTTTTTTTTTTTTTTTTTTTTTTTTTTTTTTTTATTTTTTTTTTTTTTTTTATTTTTTTTTTTTTTTTTTTTTTTTTTTTTTTTTTATTTTAAAAATTTTTTTTTATTTTAAAATTATTTTAAAAAAAAAAAAAAAAAAAAAAAAAAAAAATAAATTAATTTTTTTATTATTATTTTTTTTTTTTTTTTTTTTTTTTTTTATTTTTTTTTTATTTTTTTTAATTTTTAAAAAATTTTTTTAAAAATTTTTTAATTTTTTTTTAAATTTTATTATAAAAATATATATTTTTTTAAATATTTTTATTTATATTTTTTTTTTTTTTATTTATTTAAAAAAAAAAAAAAAAAAAAAAATATATTTTTTTTTTTTTTTTTTTTTTTTTTTTTTTAAATAAATAAATAAAATAATTATTTTTTTTTTTTTTAAAAAATAAATTATTTTTTTTTTTTTTATATTTTAAAATTTTTTATTTTTTTTTTTTTTTTTTTATTTTTTTTTTTAAAAAAAAAAAAATTTTTTAAAAAAAAAAAAATTTTTATTTTTTTTTTTTTTTTTTTTTTTTTTTTTAAAAAAAAAAAAAAAAAAAAAAAAAAAAAAAAAAAAAATTTTTATTTTTTTTTTTTTAAAAAAATTTTAACTATTGGTCAAACATCAAACGGTTAACTCAATTTGAGCGGAGCCAGAACTTGATCCAAAGGCACCCTACCATTTTTTTTGGCCACCTCTTCTTCTGTGCAGTCAATTTGCCCAAAAGCTCAACAAATTCAAAAACTTTTTATATCAAAATGTAGAGGAGACCTTCAGCTTTCGAATAATACTCATATATATCTTTTTCTTGATCTTGATTTCGGTATCTTGAGAAATTTACAAAATAGTAAAAAACGCGCATTCACAACTGGACAACCCAATAGGTTCCAATACGGTTTTTATTTTGATCCAATGCGGTTCCAATACGGTTCCAATATGGTTCCAATAAGATTCCAATACGGTTTCAATAAGATTCCAATACGGTTCCTATAATACGGTTTTTATTTTGATCCAATGCGGTTCCAATACGGTTCCAGTAGAACGTCCAATATGGCTCCAATAGGGTTCCTTTTAAGGTTCCAATACGGTTCCAATACGGTTCCTATTTTGATCTAATGGGTTCCAATGCGGTTCCAACCCAATAGTTGAATAACAATTAGCGTTTATCAAGAGAATCAATCCCAAAGCTGAATAAAACAATCAAAATCAATTCGTAAAAAATCTAGAAATCTAGAAATCTAGAAAAGAACAATGGGAGGGAGGGGAAATAAAATAAAATGGCACAGACTACGGGGCGTTCCTAGTGACAACCTAGATAGACGTGAAAGGTGCACTTTAGAAAACGACAAATTTTATGGGAAGTATAAAAGGGTCTCTTCACAACAAAGACAAAAATCTTTTTAGAAAATTTCCCAAAAATGATGTGCTCTCCGAAATCTTCGTTTATTCTATTTTCTTCGATTTTCGTCACAATCTTACTCGCTGAAGCTGCTTTTATTGGTGTTTTGTTTCAAAAAGACAGTTTGAGAAGAAAATTTAATCATTGATAATAAAAATATAATATTATTTGACAAAAAAAAATGCAAACTAAGAGAACAATAAGAATAAGAAAAAGAATAAGAATAAGAAAAAGAATAGGAATAAGAACAGGAATAAGAATAAGAAAACAAATCTTAATAAGATACAGTGAAAGAGGTAGAAAAAGAGCAGATCAATAATGTTTAGAGTGTGCTCCTCGTGAGTAATGCGCTTTTTTTAAAACGAAAACCTGGGGGAAAAATTATCGTACTTTTAGCGAAAATTATTGCAAAAAAAGGGGTAGGCTAATTTCCGCATTTTTTTGGGTCATTTGCGTTTTTGGGTCAACAGGATCATTTGCGCAACTGGATCGTTTACGCAACTTGCCATAACTTTCTTTCAAGTGGACCAATCTTTATGATTTTGGTGTCATTTTGTTGCACCTATTGAGATCTACAAAATGAAACCAAAAGCATAAAGATTGATCGATTTAGAAGAAAGTTATGTTAGCGCAAATGTCCCAGCAAAGGACGCCATAACTTTCTTCTAAGTCGGTCAATCTTCATGCTTTTGGTTTCATTTTGTAGATCTCAATAAGTGCAACAAAATGATACCAACACCATAAAGATTGACCCATTTAGAAGAAAGTTATGGCGAGTTGCGCAGACGGCCCAGTTGTGCAAAAAAAATTGCGGGAATTAGTCTATCCCCAAAAAAAATGGCGCAAAAAAATGATGACTGTCGAGTTATATACGAGTCTTTTTAAAGATATTCAGCCGTTTAACTGATTTGGTGGGAAATTCCCCTTCAAACGTAAAGATATTCATTTTACTCGAGGTGTAAAGAGGGGTAACTCGTAGTTACTCGACAAAAGCGATTAATCGAGTGGAAATTACTGATGCAAACTTTTACTCGAGTAATTTTACTTACTCGCGAGTAATAGGAACAAACTGTTTGATTAATGAATAATGTTTGATTATTGAATAATAATTTTTGATTTTACACAGAATGATATCCCCTTGAGTACCCGGTTTTTGATAGAAGACTTTCCATTTCGCTTTTAACATTTCTCTTCAAATAACAATCAAAGAAAATCTTACGGAAAAGAAGGAAAATTGTGCAATTGATGATGAAAGCGATGCTGAGAATCATCCAAAATGGGAGTGGAGATGAGTGCGGAGAAGCCGAGACTGCAATTGAAAATAGAAATTGATTGGGTAGAAATCCTATGTTTTCAGAGCTTCTTATAAGCTAGAGATAAGCTGATTTCCTTTCTTTCTTCTTCTTCCCCCTTGTCTTTCCTATTTTCTCTTGGCAAATTAAGGACCGGATAGCTCAGTGGTTAGGGCTATTGCCCAGGTCGGTCGGTTGGAAAGTCAAGTCGAGGGTTCAATTCCCTCCGGAATTTTTTTGCGAATTTCTTCACTTCTTTATTATTGTACTACAGTACTATCATAGATTGTCTTGTAGACAAGTTCTTAGGCTTGAAGTTGGCAAAGTTGCAAAGCCAGGCAAAGCTGCAAAGCCAGGCAAAGCTGCAAAGCCAGGCAAAGCTGCAAAGCCAGGCAAAGCTGCAAAGCCAGGTAAAGCTGCAAAGCCAGGTAAAGTTTCAAAGCTAGGCAAAGTTTCAAAGCCAGGCAAAGTTGCAAAGCCAGGTAAAGCTGCAAAGCCAGGCAAAGCTGCAAAGCCAGGCAAAGCTACAAAGCCAGGCAAAGCTACAAAGCCAGGTCAAGCTGCAAAGCCAGGCCAAGCAAGATCAAGAGCAGGCCTTGCTTGACCTAACTTTGTACAGAAAAAAGATGTTAATTTTAGCTTTGCTTGGCCGAAATTATTCTTAGAACAATTGAGCTTGAATCTCACCCAGAAACATGATTGAATCCTTTTCCCAAAAGAACATTCGAAGGCTGAGAATGGTGATAATGATCACGAAAATTGTCAAAATCAAGCTCTGTATCATAGCCAATCGCTGAAATAGTCAAATTTGCTCTTGTTTTTCGAAAAAAATTCACCTTGTAGTGTTGTATGCGTTGCTGGGGACCAAGGCATTCACTGGAAATTGGATTTTCGAAATTTATCATTGAAACAGTCAAACCATGGCCGATTCAATCCCATATTGAGATGGCATGCCTTGTGCACTTGACGGTACGCGAGTTCGGCTCGGATCTTTGTCAACACTTGCCGAGCCCTTGTCACATCCGGATTGTCACCGTTTTTCTGGGAATTTAGAAATTTGATTAAACTATAAACGGCTTCTACTTACAGCTAAACAATTGATGGCCAAAATGAGCTCATTTTTCTCCTCGACACTTCCATCGATGGCGAGGATATTTCGAATGGCTCCCTGGATTGATCGGAGCTCGTTAAGTCTAAAATTTAGTTTGAAATCTGCTTGATCTTAGCTTTAGATTCTAACAATTGCTTGAGGGTAAACTGCTTGAGGATAAACTGTTGAAGATAAACTGCTTGAGGACTATTATGCTTTAAAACATTACTGGGTAGACACTTCTCGACTTTGACCCTAATTTTCTCTATGTTTTTATCAGTAAATTTACAAAACAAATTCGATATTTCTTTAGTCAAATTTAATGTAGATTCTAATAAAAGTAACCATGAGTTGATTGAACTCTTGCATCTTGACTTACAGACCATTTAACTGAATCGACCCTTTCAGGTAGGTAGTCCAACTTTGACTCAGATTTTTTCGATGTTTTTATATCAAAGTGTAGTAAGTAAGTTGTGGATTTCTATAACGGAATTTCATAAGGAACATTTTAAGACCAACCACAAGTTGATTGGTCAACTGGAAGTTGAGATATTGACGGAAAAAAACCAACCGCAAATTGGATACAGGAAATGGATGGATGAGAGCCGAGATCTCGGATCGATATTGAATCGGATGAAGATGCATCGGGGGAAATCGATGAATGATTTGAAAAGATATCAAGAATTTGAATGGGACATCAATAGCGGATTTCTTTCTTTTTCTTCAATCGTTTCTCTTTGACCTCAATGTAAAATGCCCGAGGCGGAATCCCGAGATTTATCACAGTCTTGGTGACAATTTGATTGGGAAAAGATTGGAGAAGATGAAGAAAGAGAGCGGAAAATGATTGAGTTAAGAGAATTAAGAAAGATTTGAAAAGATTTAATAGATTAGGCTGATTATAGTACCTGTTGCCGTATCCTTATCATTCTAATTCTATATCATGCCAGAAACCCTTGATCCCGGTCGACCAGCCCCCGACACTGCGCGCAACCGGAGGAGACTGGCGAAAAGAATCGAATCGGTTTTGGGTTTATTTTGATGGCCCACAATGAAAGGACTTCAGTCTAACCCTATCATTTCGATATTTTTCCATTAGATAAGTTTTCGTCTAAATCAAAAGCTTGGAGTGGGAAAATGTTTAGAACTGTTCAGCTTTCAAAGAAATATCGTAAGAACCTCAGCTTGGCGTGCGCCAAAACAACGAATTGACACAATTCGCACTTTTGTCATATTCTAGAGAAAGGACGTTGCTAATTGTTTGAAAAGACGCGTTTTTCGGATTCGGATTTTCGGAGGACGGGCTTAAAACAAAATAAGAGACAAATGTGCTGAGGGAAATTGGGATTGTAAACTAGAAATATCAATCTAATTTCTACAGTATATCATTTCAATTTCTTCATAGTTATCACAGCATACAGTAGCCCTAATAGAAGGCTCTTCCCTGAACCGATTGGTTCTCTGAACCGATTGAAGGCTCTTCTCTGAACCGATTGAAGGCTCTTCTCTGAACCGATTGGTTCTCTGAACCGATTGAAGCCTCTTCTCTTCAAGTTCTTCTCTAAAATAGTTGTCTTTCAGAAAACGAATAAGCCAAGAGCCGAATAATTCACTGAATGTCCTTTGTTCCAAGTTTTTTCGAATCACTCTTTTTTTTGGACAAAGTTCATTAGATTTCCTCGACAAGACTCAATTAAAGAAAAAAATGAACACGAGACTCTCTCATTTCAATGTTATCTTCCTTTTTTTCACAAAAATCTTGACCAGAATTCGCCGCCAGCTCAAGTTCAAAAGAGAAAAAGAGCTCATTGTTCTTTTTTCTTGTGCCATTGGACATCTTATCAAAGGGCAATGTTAAGGCTGGACCACGTTTTGCACCGACAGCAATTTTTCTTCTCCACAAACACATATAAAATAAGGAAAATGGATGGAAAAGACAAAATTTTGATCGAAAATCTAACGATTTTGTTTCGAGAATTGTTTTTATTTTGTTTTGAATATCGGGAATCGATTGAAGGAACAAGGAACGAAAGGTGAGAATGAGTTTTTTTGTTTTGTTAACAGTCTTGTTAACAACTTGAGCTAATAGAGTTGTTGGAACTTGTTGGAAAGTAGCTTTGCTGCTGCTTTAGCTTTGCTACTGCTTTAGTTTTGCTGCTGCTTTAGCGTTGCTGCTGCTTTAGCTTTGCTGCTGCTTTAGCTTTGCTAAAAGTAACACCAGATAACAGGGTTCTTCCAACTAGGAACTGTGCCAGGGCAGATCAAAGTCAAGTCAGAACATGGCCTAAAGCAAACAGGTTTTGGCAACTTTTTTGGGCAACTTTTGACCTTGCTTTCCCTGGTCCTGAGTTAGTTTATTCTTTGGATTAAATAGTAGCTAAAGCAATGAATTAGCCTACTCAATCCTACGAAAATATTCAAGAAGCTGGGTCCTAGAGTCTTCTACGCAGGCACAGCCAGTACAAAGCATTGAGCTTGTACTATCCACTTTCAACCTGGTTCTCGAAAGAACTGCTATTTTACAGTGCCTAGTATTTTAGGCGTACATTCTCGTAGTCGTTACTGCTCTGGGTGTACATTCTCGTAGCCGTTACTGCTCTGGGTGTACATTCTCGTAGCCGTTACTGCTTTGGGTGTACAGCCTTGTAGGCACTACTTTTCCACTGATAATTTGGTGAAAATTCAAAGATAAACTAAACTTTTATCGTGATTCGATAGCCCTGAATCTCCTCTTGAAAACTAGTATAAAAGTGACTCTTTCTGCAAAATAAATAACCAAATCCTTACAAAGATTGAGACAAAAATAACGTCATTAGTACAAATCGTCAGTGTTAACATCTCGTCCTTTAGATGTCAGTGGACGAGATTCGTCGTCAATTACCCAATTTCTTTCGTTGCCCTTTGCCGGATTGTTGCCTTGATTTTTGCTCTCCAAAAGGAAAATTGCTATTTAAAGAAAGTCTCAATGAAGGTAAATAAAGATAAGCAATCGAAAGATAAGAAATTTCGTTTTCCCAGGTGATGCAAATATCTACTTCAAATTAGCCGCCCATTTTCACACTCAATCCGAGCCACAATGGAGTTGCGGAGTGTCGGCATTAGGTGCGATGACGTTAGCCTGTTATCTGAAAAGCATATCTTTTCGAAAACTATAATTTGATCATTAGCTTTCATTTGATCAGTTCAATTTCGTTCAAATTCGATAAAGGAATCAATTGACTGAGCCTTGATTCCTTCATCGAATCTGACGAGCTGATCAAATCAAAATGACAATTGGATTCCAGTAGTCGGATTCCAGTAGTCGGATTCCGGTAGTCGGATTCCAGTAGTCGGATTCCAGTAGTCGGATTCTGGTGGTCGGATTCCAGTAGTCGGATTCCAGTAGTCGGATTCCAGTAGTCGGATTCCAGTAGTCGGATTCCGGTAGTCGGATTCCAGTAGTCGGATTCCAGTAGTCGGATTCCAGTAGTCGGATTCTGGTCGTCGGATTCCAGTAGTCGGATTCCAGTAGTCGGATTCTGGTCGTCGGATTCCAGTAGTCGGATTCTGGTCGTCGGATTCCAGTAGTCGGATTCTGGTCGTCGGATTCCAGTAGTCGGATTCTGGTCGTCGGATTCCAGTAGTCGGATTCTGGTCGTCGGATTCCAGTAGTCGGATTCCAGTAGTCGGATTCTGGTCGTCGGATTCCAGTAGTCGGATTCCAGTAGTCGGATTCCAGTAGTCGGATTCCAGTAGTCGGATTCCAGTAGTCGGATTCTGGTCGTCGGATTCCAGTAGTCGGTCTGATAAGGTCTCAATCCTAAGACTTTCTAAAACTATTCTACAAAATAAATACCACCAAAAATACTTTTCTAATCAATCGTTTTCCTTTAGCAATGGTTTTAAATGCTTTGGAGATCGATCCATGCATCGTTTGGAAGCACTATTGGCGATATTTCGATGAAACGATTGTAAAAACCGGAAAATCGATTGAAGAGATTAAAAAGTGAGTTGAATACAATATCTAGATATACAATACAATACAAAATACAATCTTTGCGAATTTCAGAGACGGAATCAATTTGCTAGAGTTGAGCGAGATCGCTAATGAAAATCGAGCTCATTCAAAAGCGAGGATTTGCGAGGAAAATGAGGGTAAATTCAAATAAATCAGAGAAAACTGTTTGGATTGAATAGCTATTGAATAACTATTGAATAACTATTGAATAACTTTCAGAATCGTTATCGATTTTCCGAAGGGAGATCCAAGAGAGCGCTCGATCCGAAGACACAGCGATGATTGTGAGCTATTGGAGGAATGTCGTTGGGCAAATGGGTGATGGTGAGTGACTTTTGGGAGTGGGGGGGTACAGGGTAGATAAGGGCCTGCTTCGAGGGTGATCTGGGGGGCTGATGTAGCTCAGTGTTAGAGAGCTAGCCCGCCGGGCGAGAGATCGGGGGTTCGAGTCCCGGTGCCGACACTTGGTCAAAATCTTAGCATCTTTCATCCTGGTTTTGCCTTCCTTTCCTCTTCCATCTTCCGTCTTCCATCCTTCATTTCATTATCTAAACTACCAAATAACAAACAATTCGTTCTTTATCGTTTATCGTCTACTTTTTGTCATTTTAAAACGCTTTTTAGTACTTTTTAGTATCTACGAGAACAAAAAGCAGTATTTTTAAAAATATTGAAAAATGAGCACATAAAGAAAACCGCTAAACGGATTCTTTTGAATTTTTGGTTATAGACGTAACTTTTATCATTAAAATAGGTTTCATTGGAAGAAACGGTCGAAACGAATCAAATTTCGAAATGGCATCATCGTTTTTGAACACTCGGCTTTTTGCCAATAAAAAACCTTCAAAACAAAGCTTTTCAAAAACTTTGAAAAGTCATTTGCAAGAGAAATGATTGAGCTATCTAATAAAAAACACTGTATTTCATTTGGTAGCTTGAGACTTATTCAATTAGAAAGTGAATTTCGGTGAAAGACAGTATTCAAGTTTAGCTCAGGATCTGGTTAAATTGGCGCTAGAAAGATCGATATTAAACGATATTGATATTAATGATTAAACGATTAAATGATAACGATGATAACGATTAACGATTAAATGATATTAAATGGAAAATTCGAGGCTATTAAATGGAAAATCGAATCAATTCGAATTCTTTCATTTTCAGGTCATTTCTGTCCAATTGGCGCCTACCATGAAGCCACGGATTCGGTGCTTTTGATGGAGGTTTCAAGGTCAGCTTTCTACAAATGATAAAAGAAGAACAATGAAGAAAAATGAAGAAAAATGAATCTGAAAAAGATCTTTGCTTTTTTAGATATAAATATGGACCACATTGGGTGAAAATAATCGATTTGCATCGAGCGATGTGCGTTTTTGACGAGTCGATGAATCGAAATCGTGGATATCTCTTGATAAAACCGATCATTTCAACAGAAGGACCAAAGATTCGCCTACAAACAGCGAATTGTTGCGAAAATCGAGAGGTTTATAGCATTTACGATCGAATAATTTACCAAACGCTGTAGGTACTTTAAAAGCTCTGGCTACAGTACCCCTGGAGTCTAGTCGCTTTTTGTTTGGGTTATGGGAGAAGGCTGGGAGAATGCTGGGAGAAGGCTGGGAGAAGCCTTTAGAGTATTCATAAAAATTGTTGGACCAGGGTTGGAAAACCAGGGTTGGAAAAACCAGGGTTGGAATCGAACCCGCGTGGTGTGGACTGTAAATAAACGCCCTACTGCGCCACGGCGACATGGCAAGCACCGAAACATCTAGCCAGGTAAAAACATCCAAGTGGCGCCACGCGAGATCTAGAAAAACCCGCCTGGATGTTTTTAGCTGGCTAGATTTTTGGACCGCGGAGTGTCACCGTGGCGCAGTCGGGAGCTTGCTGGTCTAGAGCCCAAGCTACCCGGGTTCGATTCCCAGCTCTATCACCCAAGTTTGGTTTTTAATATCTTTTTTAAATGGCACTTCTACAATATATTCTAAGGTTTTCTAAAGAACTTTTAGCTTTATTGATCAAAACACGGCTGAGAAAAAGGCCTGTACAGACAGACAGACACCACTCTATTATATAATAGTTCTGAAGGAAATTCTAAAATTGAAAATTCTAAACTTGAAAATTAATTCGAATTTTCTTCAGATCCACTATATAAAAGAGCAGTGTCTGTCTGTCTGTACAGGCATTTTCTCAGCCTAAAATTGAAAAGGTTCATCGAAATTGTGATTCAGACGATCTCCTCGATCACCTCTTGGACGCAATTTCTGAAATCGAAAAAATCGCCGAATGAAACAGAAGAAAACACGAAAATCCTCGCAAATCTCAGCGAAATTTTCCCGAAAACTCAGTGCTTTTACGACGAGACAAAAGATTTGCTGGTTTAAAAACAACTAAAGCGAATTTTTTTCTAAAATTGAAAATCAGGATTTGAACAACAACGAAGACGATGGAAGGAACGATTTTCGGATTCATGCGGAGAACTTTGAGGATTTCGAGAAATTGGACATTTTTCATTGTTTAATCGTGTTGGCCTGGCCGTATGTCGTGAGTTTTTTTGGCTTTAGAAATGACGAAAGATGACGAAAAATGGCTAAAAAGTTCTAAAAAAGGCTAAAAATAGCTAAAATGGCTAAAAATGGTTGAAAATAGCTAAAAATGACGAAAAATGGTTAAAAATGGTTAAAAATGAGTGAAAAATTGGAAATTTTACATGAAAAGGGGTATGGGGATTGGGCAAGGAAAGTTGAAAATTTGAAATTTTCAGAAAAATTACTCGGATCGCTCCGAGCGTTTACGGTTATTGGCGGAAAAATGGAGGAAAAGTGCAAAGGTTTGCGAGGAGTTTCATTTGGATTTCATTGGGATTTGATGGAAATTGATGGAAATTGATAGAATTTGATGGAATTTGATAGAATTTAATGGAATTTGATTGGAAATTGATAGAATTTGATAGAATTCGATAGAATTTAATGGAAATTGATAGAATTTGATAGAATTTAATGGAATTTGATTGGAATTTGATAGAATTTGATGGAAATTGATGGAAATTGATAGAATTTGATGGAATTTGATAGAATTCGATAGAATTTGATAGAATTTGATAGAATTTAATGGAATTTGATTGGAATTTGATAGAATTTGATGGAAATTGATAGAATTTGATAGAATTTGATGGAAATTGATGGAATTTGATTGGAATTTGATAGAATTTGATGGAAATTGATGGAAATTGATAGAATTTGATGGAAACTGATGGAAATTGATAGAATTTGATGGAAATTGATGGAATTTGATTGGAATTTGATAGAATTTGATGGAAATTGATGGAAATTGATAGAATTTGATGGAAATTGATGGAAATTGATGGAAATTGATAGAATTTGATAGAATTCGATAGAATTTGATGGAAATTGATGGAAATTGATAGAATTTGATAGAATTCGATAGAATTTGATAGAATTTGATAGAATTTAATGGAATTTGATTGGAATTTGATAGAATTTGATGGAAATTGATAGAATTTGATAGAATTTGATGGAATTTGATTGGAAATTGATGGAAATTGATGGAAATTGAGATTTTTAAATGAAATTTAATCAAACCAAACCAAATCAAATCAAATCAGATTTCAATGCGAATGCAAACTCCAGACCTTTTCAGATCTCATCTCACTCACAAATCGAATCCTTTCAACAGCAAATCATTGTCTTTCTCGAGTGTGCAAGGCTGAGATGAGAAACTTTTTTGGGAAATTCGATTCTTTATATAAATTTGCATTATTGAGTGTCACTGTTGAAGGTTCTTACACACAAGGGAACAATCCGACTACCGGAATCCGATTACCGGAAACAAGGGAACAATCTTTGAGCCTCCCGTGCCCTTTTCTGATCAGATATAGATCATTCGACGCAGAATTTTACCCTGATTCCAATGAGATAAAAATTAGCTGCCGAATCGCGCGTAAACACCACCAAACTGGCATAAACATTTTGAGCCTCTCCCTTTAAGCCGATTTTCTTCAAAACAAACTGTTCATCGTTGGTTGAGTGGTTGAGTGCTTGTGGCTAAGCTGAGGGGCAAGAGTTCGAACCCATCTCGTCTCAATTTTTTGCTTTTTTAGCAAAAAAAGCATTCTACGTTCTTTGTGGGTCTACATAAACGCTTTCCTTCTGTTCGATTGTAGTTTGTCATTGATTCCTGAAATGGCTGGCTTAAGTAAACGATAGAGAATTGTTTTTCGAAAGGATTTCTTCGAAAACAATAAATTTCCAGTTTTCCTAAGGAATCAAGGATCTATTTGGAAAGTTTCTGAAGCAATTCTGAAGCAATTTCTAAAGCTGAAGCAATTCTAAAGCAATTTCTAAAGCTGTAGCATTCTGAAGCACTACTTTCCAGTGATAGATGCAATTGTTTTTGTTTTAGAAACTTCTTTCGACTCAATCAACAAACTATGAACGATTTCAGCTCAAGATTCGACGTGAATCTGAAATCGTTGATAGTTTGTTGATTGATTAGAGATAGATGACGTCATTCGCCAATTGGTTTTGGCTTGGTTTTGCCTCAATCGTGCCTGTCTATGATCTTGATTGCTTTCCTATTTCAACCTGGCTTCAGCCTGTCTGGTATTGATGTTCTAGCCGGGTTCTAAAGGCCAGATCCTGGCCTGGCCTTTGCCTGGTCTTATTGAAATCAATTTGTTAAAGAGTTCATTGAAATAAATTCTTAATACTAATCCTTTAATAAACAAGAATAAAGCTCTAGCTCTAGAATAAAGAATAAATGTCAGGATTTTCATGTCAATGTCAGGATTAAAGCTCTTAAGTAATTAATTTGGAGGGAAGAGTCAGCTGTGGGGGATCCTCAAGAAAAGATTTCCTCTTTTTTTTTTTTGACCACAAATCATCAAAATGTGTCAATCATCTTTTCCTTTTTTCTCTTTTTTTCTCTTTTTTTTCTTTTCCTCAAAGAGTGACGAAAAGTCTATTCTTTTAAACAACTTTAGCGTTATTGATTTCTCAAATTTCTCCCTAGACTTCCCTGGACTTCCCTGGACTTCCCTAGACTTCCCTAGACTTCCCTAGACTTCCCTAGACTTCCCTAGACTTCCCTAGACTTCCCTAGACTTCCCCAGACTTCCCCAGACTTCCCCAGACTTCCCCAGACTTCCCTAGACTTCCCTAGACTTCCCTAGACTTCCCCAGACTTCCACAGACTTCCCTAGACTTCCCTTTCCCCCTAACCATCGCATAGATTTCTTTCTTGTACTTTGTGCTCAAAACCCGAACCCGAAACACACCCTTTCTAGCGCACGTAATTCTTATCACTAGCAATGATTGAATAAAGCAAGAAAAGAGCACCAGAAAAGGACGCGTTTGCATTTCTTTGGGCAAAACCATTTACAATACAAACTGTTGTAACTCTAGAAATTTACCGTATCCCAATTGAATCCGATCTTTTTTTGTTCTTTAAATGCTGAATCCGATCTTTTTTTTGTTCTCTAAATGCTTTTAAATCTTTAATGCTCTAGATTTAGACCAAATTTTTGACATATTCAAGTAATAGTTTCAAAAAAAGCTCTCCAATTCAATTCGTTTTTTTTTAAACCCATCAAAAACTTTACAATTAATCCATTTTTGAGTCAAATTTTAATCCTGAATCAAGTAGAGAAGAAAGTAGAGAAAGTAGGAAGAGAAAGTAGGAAGAGAAAGGAGGAAGAGAAAGGAGTAAGAGGAGAAAGTAGGAAGAGAAAGTAGAGAAGAGTTTGAAATGAGAAGTAGTCAAGAGGAAAGAAAAGAATTGCCCGAATTGAAGAATTGAAGTCAAATTCTGGCAAAGATTCATGTGCACGATAAGCACTTCATTCAAAATGGCGGAGACGCCAAAGTGACAAGAGAAGAGGAAAGGAAACGACGGGCGATTCGTCCCTTATGGACTGGAGATTGGGGACAACGACTGAACGGGGACATTCATCCAACCCTCCCCCCACTTTGCACCTCATCCATCACTGGCTTCAGTGCGGAGAATTCTTCAATCAATCTTCATTGTTTTTTCTGTCTATTGCTTGTTCTTATTCTCTGTTTGGCAAGCGGGGGATTCGAACCCAGCAAAAACAAAACTCTACCAGTTCTGTAGACCACCACACTATCCACTACACCAAGCCTCCAATCGAAACGCCCCTCTTAAACTCGACTCAAGACTGTACAGCAACAACTTTTGGGTAAAAACTGTTACCCATCCCTTTCCCAGGATTGTTACCTTTCCCTTTCCCATCTCATGGTCAAAAATAGGTGAATGCTGTGTCCTTTGTGCCAAAAATGCAAACACATCCTCTCTGGCGCATTTGAAACATGTATTCAGTGTGCCAGAAAGGTAAAAAGTACATCAGAAATTCTTTTTTTTCCCCACTGACCTCAACCCCATTTTTCCCTCATTGTTCTCATTGTTCAAACCACAAAATTGTCGGTTCTTTTCAGCGCACCTCGATAATTACAAGCAAACGAATATCTTGAGAACAAAAAAAACTAATTTCAAAAGGCTAAAGTATTGAAGAAAAAAAGAAAGAGAAATGTCTCTTTGATCTTCATTCCTTCATTTGATCTTCATTCCTTCATTTCCCCATTGTCCCACTCCATTGCCAAGCCATTGCCAAGCCCATCTTTCCCATTTTCTTCAATACATACATAATTTGTGTGACGAGGAATGTTTGAGGAAACAAAAAACGGATCAGAGATGATTTTTATTCAACAATTTGCTCATCTCAACCGAATTTTTGCAAGCTTTGTAATCAAAATTCTGAATTATCCCAATTCTGATTAATTTTTTGGTTTTTAGCTAGCTTTTCTTAGCTTTTCTTAGCCTTTTCTTAGCTTTTCTTAGCTTTTCTTAGCTTTCCTTAGCTTTTCACTTACTTTTAAGATCAAAAATTCCGTTGTAGATGATTAAATGCAAATTAAATGCAAATATTTAAATATTTTTTTCCCTTCCCTTCCCTCCTTTTGTTTTCTTTTTTCTTTTTTTTTTTAATTTTCTCAACAATTTTCTTTTTTTACCCGCCTATTGTCTGTGCACCTTCCGGGGGTTACGGTATCTGTCTGTCTTTCTGTCTGTCTTTCTGTCTGGCTTAATGTCTGTCTTTCTGTCTGTCTTACTGTCTGTCTTACTGTCTGTCTTTCTGTCTGTCTTTCTGTCTGTCTTACTGTCTGTCTTTCTGTCTGTCTTTCTGTCTGTCTTTCTGTCTGTCTTTCTGTCTGTCTTTCTGTCTGTCTTTCTGTCTGTCTTTCTGTCTGTCTTTCTGTCTGGCTTACTGTACGGGCACTTTTTCATTTTTCATATTTTGACCAATATTTCATTTTGCATGAATATTATATTTGAAGTTGTTTGAATTTGAATTTGAAAAATGGAGGACTGGAGATGTCCCAGTTTGAGCACTTTCTTCAAAAGAAACCCATTTTGGTGTCAATGGAAAAGTTGTAGAGAAACAAAAGTTAAGCTTATATCCAAAGTCCCGCAGTTTTCAATTCACCAACCTAATAGATAAATTTACGATGCTAAATCTGATTGCAGAGTCAAAGTCTAACCATTGAATTCTCAACGGGAAGTTCATTCAAACTTTTGAACGGGGTTTTCGCTAAAAAAAAAAAGTTCAAAATCTCCGTGAGTGTCATTTTCTTGAATTGACTCCTCTCTTTTCTTTTTCTCCTTCTCATTCTCGTTCTACACTTTTTGAGGGGTTGGTGTGGCTAATCGATGGTGACAGTTTGATGTCTCTCTCTTTCTTTCTTTCTTTCTTTCTCCCTTTCTTTCTTTCTTTCTTTCTTTCTCCTTTTCTCAGTCTTTCTCCCATCTACAGTCTCTTTGATCGACCAGCCGATTCCCAAATCCAAATTTGTGCACTCAAGAACCCCAGAAAATCATTTAAAACTTTAAACTTCTCAATCCATATTTTGTTCTTAATCTTATTTTGTCTCTAGAACTTTTCTAGAACTTTTCTAGAACTCTTTGTCTTGATGTACTTGATGTACTTTGTGCTTTAGTGTACTTTGATGTACTTTGTGCTTTTCTTGATGTACTTTGTGCTAACGCACCCTTTCTGACACTCCTTTAATATCCAAGTGATCAGTGTGTTATGTTTTATTAGAAAGGGTACATTTCCGGAAGAGTACAAAGTACAGCTAGTATTTGACAGCACTCTCAATTTCAAAGAAACCCTAAGGGACGCCAATTTGCATTTGCAAATTGTTTCTTTTGTGAACGGTTACCGCCGAGAATTTTCATGAATTTTTATTCATTTTTAAAGTTTAAAAGCTTCACTATTCTCTTTAGAAATGATTACTTTCAACTTTTCATATGAAATAAAACTATTTGTACAGTGTACAGTGTACTATTTGTACAGTACAATCTTTCATTCAACAATCTTTCATTCAATTCCCCCGTTCATTCTCTGTAAGATAAAATTAGCGAATGCTTGAATGAACAACCCGGTCACACACAGAAAAAGTCATATTTTGTGCGGAAATTTTCTTCTGGAGACTCAATGTACGTTTTCGATTTGGATTTGGATTTCTGATGTCATTCGCTCCCTTTTTCCGCTTCTGTCTCACTGCACTTCATGCTTAACTATTGAAAATAGTTAAGCAGTTGGAAGTGAAGCCTTGGATCTGACTTTTGCCTGCCCTGGTTGAGTTTTGGTTGGTTGGTTCAGTCCCCTCTCCGGAAATCAGTTAAAACTAAGG